ATACGCGTGACAACAATATAAGATTTACCGTTTAAAGTTTAGACCGGAGGATTAGGGAAGAGTTGTAAATTTATCATTTTAAAATTGATAATTTGCAATTTATTACCCTTCCCTACTCCTCCGGTCTAATCAGATAAATCTGATATAAATATATTATGCATGTCAAAATGATTCCTATTTGAAAAACAAAATTATACATTTAGTTAAGGTATATGAAGTGGGGGTGAAAAAATTCAAAATGGTTTTCAAATAAATTTTAAAAGATTCTACAATAATTAAAAAAACAAATTCACTTAAAATCTTCCGAGAAAATTTCTGGTTCATGATAAAAAAAATCATCCCGTATAAATTGTTTGGAAAACCGCAAAAATATCATATTCTTTAGTTAGCTTTAAATAGGTATATAGCTCTATGGTATTGTATTATAATATCTATAAGATTGTGATTACAGCAATGATTCTCGGTGGCCCTAGTAAATTGAAAAAAAAAAAATTAAGTACAGAGAAGAATTGTTTCATATTTTTTTTTTAAATGGATACGAAAAAATGTCTCCACGGAATTTTTCTGCGTATCTTAAATATTATTGTCGAGTGCTGAATACCTATATTACAAAATAATGGCGACAATAAACCAATATAATTCCTGTTTACTATAAGTATAAGTAAACGAAGTTTACTTATACTCGAAAAATACATTTTAATTAAAATTATGCAAATTATACTATTATTTAAACAGCGTTTAATATCATTATACCTACGATAGAATATAAATATTAGAGAGTTATGAAAATAAAAATTTAAGTATACCTACGCGTATTAGGTATATGCATTTATAATACGAGTTTCTAAAAAATAATATTTAAAGACATTTATAGGAAGGTATGTACAAAAAAAAAAAAAAAAAAAAACGTTTTATTATGTTCAGTCTTCGTTAAGCTTAGAAATAAAAGAGCTTATATTGGAATCCGGGGTGCCACTGTTGTAGGTGGAAAGTTGGGAAAATAAGATACATTAAGTTAGTTTACTAACGAAAAATAAAACATTGCACAATATTTTAAGTAGTTAATATAATATTATAATATTAAAATCAATATTGTTTTATAAATTATGGTAGAAAAAATAGCCCTCTAATAAGCAACGATGACTATGAGCTGAAAGCATCTGTTGAGTTTACCCCTAGCAAGAGATTCGATGAGAAGTTATAATAAATTATAATTGAGTACATATATAAAATTATAATTTATATGCATATAGGTGTAAGAAATAATCAACGTGATTTTAAACTTAAAATTTAAAAATAGCCTACTTCGGATTATATAGATAAATTTCTATATAACATAATTCCGTGACTTGGTGCAAGAAGTGCCAAAGCCACATTTTTTGATTGTTGTGAAATGGGCTTTGAAATTGCAATTCCCCGTAAGACTGAATATTTTATTAAATGTGTAATTTTAAATTTTTACAAAAACTTTAACACTTTTTACTTTTTTATTTCCAACTAATTTTTTCATAAAATTAACATTGCACCAAGCCACAGAATTGTATGCAAGAGTACAATCATAGTATGTGACTACAAAGTTATCATCATTTAAAAGTATAATTAAAACAAGCTTAACAATTCGTGCATGTTGAAAAAATTATTACACAGGAAAGTACGCCCTATAGTAGAATGGAAAAAGGAGAGGTTTGTGTACATGACACATATTTGTTTCCCCTCGCCCCTAGGGACATGTTAATACATTTATTCCCATACACATACACGCCATGCACCGTGCTAAGTAGTAAAGTATATATCAATACTCACCGAAAATTATGAAATATAAAACTAAATCGAAATAAACTAAAATTAAATCTAAACACTTAACGATAATCAATATTAAATATCAATTAAAATTATAACTGAGGCTAATTGCGAATATGTCTTAAACTTTTGTAAACCTATCAAGTTACCGAAATTTATAATTTTATTTTATCGAAAACACACATTGCCGCATTGATTTATTTTAACCGTCAAGTTACAATTACAACTAAGCTATGCAATTATACCTATATAATAATGCAGCAGCAATACCATTTTTTTTTTGTTCTGTAGATTTTATTTCGGCTGTTTTTTTTTACTAAAATAATCAATTTACTCGAATGTATACATATATTTACCTATATAGCCATTCGCCATTTATTTAAACCCCTGTCCTATCTACATGTATACGGGCTTTACCACTTAGTTACACGTGTTATTAGGCGAATCGTTTTATGGGTTATAACAAGCTAGCAAAAGTTGTAAAGCTTATAAGGGTTCAACCTTAAAATTTAATTTGTCGCAAGATGTCTTCTTCGGCATGCATTCTACATAAATTATAACTTTTACAACAACATTAAAATTGAATTAATTATTTCAAAAACTCGTTGCCTTTAAATCAAAAACTAATTTAATTACATTGGATAGGTACCTATATGTCATAGACATAAATGTTAAAATAAGATTTTTAGTAAACTTACCTAATCGTATTATTTGATACCTAGGTTTTTCAATAATGTGATTATTATATATATATATATATACGGAGTGATTCAAAATGTATGTTACAGCCATTTTGTCGTGTAATTTAATGTAAATATTCAAAATAGAGAAAAATCTATACCTAATACAAAAGTGTTTCAATTTTTAAACATCCAAAATAAAAATCTCATTTAAATTCCAAAAGTTGACTCCCACAAAGACAGTAAAAAAAAAAGTACAAATTATTTTAAATATTTACAAACTAAAAAACTTTTGTATTATACATGTATTTGTATTTAATTATATCATACATTTTGAATCACCTTATAGAATGGAGTAAACAAATAAAAATAAAATCATTAAATATTTACAATAGTAATACGTTTTTGTACATTCGTACTTAATATAATAATTACTACTGTGCACATAAAAAGATAAAAACAAAGGCATGATCAACTGATTTTTTTTATCCTTCGCCTCACTGTTTAACTTTAAAAAAATAAAACTAAACTAGCAGTACAATTAAACCTAATTTTTCTAGTGCCAACTATTATATTTGAAGTACCTAAACCTTATTTTCTGAAAAAAAGAAAAAATTACGTCCAAAGTGACGTCTCAAGAGACAGATACGCACGCCCTCACTCCCGGTTAATTTTGTCTACCTATATCTCATTATATACAGGAGAACTATACTTAGTGAAAATTGAGCAGCTTACCCGAGAATTAACTAAACCTAATCAAATGTTCAGGAAAGAGAAACAAGACTTCCAAAATGTGTTTCCCTTACACATATTTGTTCATACAAACGCTATACTAATAGGGTTTAAAAATAAACTGCACCCCTTCCCTCCCTAAAATATTACGCATATGCTTACTCAGTGAAAATAAAGTACAAGTATAGTATGTTTACGTATACCTAAGGACTTACTTATTAAAAAATATATTTTTAACAAAACCAATGAGAGTTTTTAAAATTTCATTAAAAATGTCTCAGTGACAAGAACTGAAGTGTTCCCGTGGTCTTCGAAGACTCAAACTAAATGGGACTAATAATTTTACCATATATAAGTAGGGGGCCGAGCCCTCCTCCATCACCCACAATTTAACCACTGGCCGTTCTTCGTGACCAGGCTATCACTATGTCATTGTATCAAATATGATAAATATGGCATCAAATTATATTTTCAATTAATTTTTAAACAAAAATTGGTTGTCATCATAACATTTGGAGGGGCAGAGCCCGTAAGCCTCTCCCCTGACTACGGCACTGTTTAAGCATAATAATGTGTATATGCATATACATTATAGATATATACATACGTTTTATACGGGAAAAACAAATAAGTATTTTTATTTGGCAGGTATTGAATAAAAAAAATTAAATAGGTATACCTACTAACAATATACAATATATACCTAATCCATTTATCCGTATCGACCGTATCGACTTAGGAGAGGAATAATTCAAAAACGTGAATTGCATTCATAACGATAATTTGATTTTGATATAATAATATAGGTAGGTAGGTACTTCCGTAATATATAAATATATTTAGATACAGGAAAACAGATTGATGTTGAAGTGAGGACCGTCCGTCTTGATGAGATTTTAAATCTTTCCCCCTTTGATATAATAAAGATGGTAGGAGAGACGCAAAAACAGATATGCCGTAATTGTATCCCAAGAGAGAGGTGATACTTAAGTTCGTCAGCATTCAAAGTCGCATTAAAGTAGAAACCGAGGAAATTTAAATAACCGTACTTGGATAATCTTGGATTATCATTTAAGGCCATGGTAAGTTTTTAACTCTCCTGCGCAATTTCCCTTCGGGCACCGCAGGCGTTTCTAATTATTGAAAGTTTATTTGAACATCGACCAATCGGCTGATTTTGATTTGCATTTAGTTTTTATAAAAATAAATGGATTATTTTACATTTACCTTAACATGCTAAGGACAAATTGATCATTTATTTTATAATACCTTATTTCAACAAACAAATATTTATTTCTTATTTTCTTAAATTGTATAGGTACCTATCTATTATTAACTTTACATTTCTAATCTAATATTATTAAATCGAATACGCACAATACTGATAATAACAGTAATTGCTGTACGGTTAGATTGAAAGATAAGAATAAAAAAAGAGCTGATGTGAATCATACAGAACATCTAACATAATGCCCCCATGTTCTGTAGATGTGAAATTAAAATCACCACAGAAGATGAATATAGTGGATGGATATTTCTGGGTAAGAGTGTCAAGGGTAACGACGTGGGACAAATATAAATCGGAAGTGAATGAGGGAGGAAGGGAAGTAGCCAGCACAGAGAATGGAAGAGGACGAGTCCAGCGTGAACTGAACAAACAGATGCTCATCAGATAAGTCAGGTATAGGAAGGTGAATGAGAGAATATTTTTGTGAATGCCAATAAGTACGCCACTGCCACGTTTACAATGACTGGTAAGGGGGGATCGATCGCAAATATTATGAACTATTAAATTGTATTTTTATTATTCAATTCCATTTCTAAGCTTATATTGTCATTGGTTATTTGTAGAAGCTTATCTTTTAATTTTTCTATTTGAAGCTTTATATTCAATACAGTAAATTTTGAATCATTTTCGATGAACGATATTTCTTTATCTAACTTGATTATTTTTATATTATTCAAATTCTGAAATACAAAAAACAAAAAATTCATTTTTATGCAAATTTGAACTTTAAAAAAAAAAATTTCGTGTAAGGATTTTTGATAGGTACTTTTATAGTTATACAAAATAATAAAGAATTAGAATGTATGGTGAATCGTACCAAATTTTCAAATATTTTTAAGAAATCAAAACAATATTATCCACATAAAATCAAATAAAAACACTCAAAATTTCAAATGGCTATAAATAGCTCGCTCAAGTTAAAAAAATTTTAAAAATTTGATCACGTCAAAAATAATCTAAGTATTCGGTAAAAATTACAGGTCTCCAGATACTTCATATAGTATTAAAATCGAAAATAAGCATAAATAAATAAATAAAACAGAACATACAATTTGTCTTGTGAATTCTATTTCTTCAGCTTTTAACTGTTCGAAACTCTTACCGTGATTTTTATATATTAACTCATGATAACTTGATAATAAATCTAAAATATTAAAACAAAATAATAAATTAAAATACATACTATCAAATTAATGAAATATTACATATCTACCACAGTAGGACCTACCTATCATCATAGTCAGTGACCACCATAGAATTATTATTAATTAACATAAATAAGAATTAATATAAGTCAATCATGGTGACCACCGAGATGAATTGATGACCCTTGGATCAACCTGGGTAAATCCATCTGGGTGATCAATAATATATTGTAATTGATGATAATAAATATACCTAATAGAATAAAATAAATAAATACAATAATTTTTTGGTCCTTCAAAAAGGAAAATCAAAAAACATCTTTCCTAGTGAGCAACTAGATCCAAATGCAACAAAAAAATTCTCATTTCTCAATTGGCATTTTTCATTGAAGTAATATTTCTGGTATAAAATATAGTTCGTAAAAATAAAAAACCATTAAATTGGAAACTCCGCGTTGCATTGTAAATATTTGCCGTTTATCCGATAATTTGTTTTCCTAATTATTATAAAAACCCCTCGGAATATCAAAAAATAACTTTCTCAATACAGCAATTAGATAAAATTTCCTTTCAGAAAAGTTGCTAAACTTGATACATCGAAACAAGTTTTCTATTCGAAAGGTTGTTCACAGAAACACAAAAAAAAATACAAAACACACATCATAGTAAAACCGAATAGGTACACTCCTAATCTAAAAGTATTTTATAATAAAGCTTCAATTAATGAACTATTATCTATTTGTCACTTATTTAAAATTCTTATTCACCGTTATTATTATTATCTAATGACAAATTTATGTCCTTCAAACAAATTTCAAATTGACTGTATGTTTTGATCTTATTTTTATAAGATGTAATTGTATTATGTATCCCACTAATAATTTGGGATTTTTCTTTCATTGTCATTTCCATTGTAGATTTTTTTTTATTAAATTTATCCATCATTATTTCTTTTCGTTTTGTTAGCAAGTCATTATGATTTTTCTCTATTGTTTCAATTTCTTTATCCAAAACCGCCACCTAAAATTGAAAAATAATAAAAGGTACATTTAATAAGTAGGAACAGCCTGTAATTTATTATTCGACAATATTAGATAGGTAGCTATTTAATAATGCATAGTAAATTTATCAGCGATACAAGTCGCAAAAAAAAACCCTGTATCATGGATGTAGAAGGTAGGTAGGTTGTGTAATAATATGGATGCCTACTTAAATTATAGAATAAATTGACAATCAGTAAGGTAGATAATAAATAATAATAGATCCAGAGCATGCTGCATTGCAATAAATTGTATGTAAAATTAACAATCATAAAAATTAAAAATTTTAATTAGATACCTACCTACCCAGGTGCGTACGTATTTCATGGCGGGACCTTTCTCAAATAGGCCATTGATTTATACAGGTTTTTCTACTCCTATTTTCTCAAATTACCTTTGTAGCTTTGTGATTTCTTATAGATAGGTAGGCTGGTACTTGAAGGATGTTTTTTGATTTATGTTTAAATGTGGGTCCTATTTAATAATTTACCGGTACACAAATAAAACTCAATACGCACCTGTACTTACCCTATGTAAAATAAAAATAATGTAGGTACCAATTTATTTATTTTAGGAAAAGCGGGGTTGAGTTATCAACTAGGTATTCAAATAACAGGTTATTGGAATATTGGATAGGTAGTAATAAATAATAAAATTTTAATAATAAATATTATCAAGAACTTGTAAATAAACTCAATAAGAAATTCTTAATAAATAAAATAAAAAAACATTATTTTAGCATAGTGTATCTAATAATAATCTAATATAATTATTATGGTTTTTATTTTTACTGGTTTGTTCCATAATTTGTCCTCAAATAAAAATGTTTGGTGTGCATTATTCAGTTGATTTGTATACTTTTGGATGATTCGATTAAATAACAAATCAGAATGCTGTAAATCATCATTTACCTTTGCTTTCTTTTTAGTTATTGAAGTTAATTGAGTGTTAGACTTCTGTATTATATCATCTAAATGTCTACAAATCGTAGAGAAAAAGGAAAATAAACTTTAATTTTCCAAACAAAAATAATAGTTTTTGTATAATTATAATGTTTAACACTTAAGAATATTCTTAAATATAAAACTACTTAGATGTTTGTATTTTTCACTTTTTAGTAGCCAGTAATTATTAAATTTTTGGCTAAAATGTAAAACTATCTATGGTATTAGTACAATTTGTTGAAAATTCAAATTATATTTTTTCTGCTCACTGTCTTAGGGCAAAATATCAAAATTGATAAAAATAAAATATTTAAATATATAGGTGCCTAGGTATTTATCTTTTTTGTTTTTTTTTAACCAAATTAAAACAAATTTTCTTAGAAAAAGAAAAATACACTATTATTTGTAATTTAATTTTTGTACAAGAAGGTATAATAATGAGGTAAAAAATTAAAATACAAATGAACAAAGAAGTAACTGGTGGAACCTAAATATTACTCGTCTATTACACCACATAATATACATTATACTTACCTAATATTTTCAATACATTCAACTTCATTTTTTAATTCGTCCAATTCATTGTCTAAATTTTTGAAAATTTGTGTATGTAAATCACGTTTACTTCGTACATTGTCAATATACTGTATAGTATTCTTTAGATCTAGAAAATTTCTTCATATGATTAACCCATAAGTAATAATTTAGTTTATTTACTGTGAAAGTCTGAATATTAAACATATATAACTATTTATAAATATAAAACTAATACAATTTGATAGGTTAATTTTAATACCTAAAAATTAGGTAAATACCTAATTTTAAATTAACAGTTGTTAGCCACTTTTACTTAAAATAATTCAACTACTTAATGTTTCTGACTGCTATGGTAGAACCAGAAAACAATTTCATCTTTAATCTACTAGCAAACATAATTCCTTTTTAGATCAACTATAACTTACTAAAAGTACATGTTTTAATATTATTTGTAAATCTTACTTTCATCAAATTCACTCTCCATACCATTTAGATTGGTCAATGAAGTACTGACTGTGGTCACAATATCAGACATCTAAAGTAAATTAATGCAAACACTAATAAAAAAAAAAATGTATACAGATTTTGTTTATAAAATATATTTATGCGCATGAATCAGAATTATATTTTTTAATAAGTATATACTATAAAGGTTGGCGAATATAAGTACAGTAGATTCCGCTTAATGTGGTCACCAGTTAAAGACAGCCATCTAATATGGACATAGTGGTCTGGTCCCGTTCTAATGTTTAATGATACAACTTTCGACTAAAATGAGCAAGTGCTTAATGTGGGTAAATGTAACTTATCCCAACGTGCCCACATTAAGCGAAATCCACTGTATACAAAAACTATAATTATTATGAATTAAATTATTTTTTTGAATAAATTCTTCTTCTGCCTATCTCTAATACTCTCCAAGAGTTTTTGCCACTATTACTAAATCACTCAGTATTAAATAATATTATTGAATACTATACACTAGCTGTAATACTGTAGGTTTAAAAATTGTTTTATGTTATGTCAATAGAAGTTCATTATAAATTGAATTATCGTGTTTAATAGGTAGAGTAATATGCCATAGCTACATGTTTCAAAACAGTTTTGATATTTTCTATTTGCGTTTAGCATAGTATACTTAAATTCAAATATTGATTATTAATTTATTTGTGAAATTTAGATATGTACACTTGTAACACACATAACATACAATAATAATAGGTACTAACTTTATTTCTCAAAAACAAACATTTCGTTCTTATTATAAGTAGGTTTAGTGAGGTGCTTCAAATTTGTTGTTTTCTTATGAGGTATTTCGTTAATTATTATTAAACAATTTAAATAAATAGGGAATAAAAAAATATAAAATAATTTTTTTTTTATAGTTATTATTTCAAAACAAATTGTTTTTGTTTATTTTTATAATGTATCAATTAAATATTAATCATTATACTTCTAACAATTTACAAATTATTACCTGTTGCATGTTGACAATATAGTTTTCTTTTGAAAAATTGTAATTCATTAGAAACTCAGACCAATTAATTTCAAATAAATTTCTGGAATTCAAAATGATAAAATAACCATTTATATAACAGGTGTAATAAAATTTTAGACATCAGTTTTTAATTAAAATATCTTGACAAAAATCATTAAATTTAGATAAGTTTTCTAATTAAAATTAAGTCTAAAATTATAACTTTGAAAATGTAGTAACAATTACTTGTTTTGGGGAAATATTTGTAATGGTTTTAAATGTTTTAATACATCCGTATGATTAAACAGATCAATTGTATTTCTGAGTTCATTATACAAATTTAATAAACTAGACTCGGAGCTCACAGCGTCTTTAAGAAACTTTTTATTCATATTATATTCTCTAAATTAAAGATTTAAATTATATTTATAAATATTTTCGATTAGATATGCATTTTAAAATAATTATAGGTAGATACCAACTTTTTAGAACTATCAATTGATTCTAATAAAAGCTCCTTTGAAACATTTGTAACACTTTTACTTATATCTTTTAAAATTGATTTTAAAACTGTATTTCTGTTTTGTAATTTAACTTCCACAGATTTCATTTGTGAAAATATCGAAACTATCTGAAATTCAAATATATTCAAATTATTATCATAATAGTAAAAGCAGTGGGAGTCGAAGTCCTAAAAACGTAGTAGAGCGAAATATATTTCAAGACCCAATAATTAAACACAATTCAATGATAACCAAAATTATAGTTAGCATACATTTTTATTTTTGGAATGAGGTTTTCATTTGGTAACTTTGGCCCAAAAAAGAGTGTTTTTTTTTTTAAAGAAGTCGGGTCAAGGTCTAACCTTAACATAGAGTTTAACGCCATTGAGTAGAAGTCGTGTATTTATGAGAACAAATTCAAAGGAAGATATCATTAACACTAGGTAACTGACTTTGAATCTACTTATATTCAGTCATCTGAACTTTAAGTTGATTAGGGTTAAATAATTAACTATATTAATTACTATTGTGAACTGTAATCATAGATCATCACCTATAAGTAACCAATATAAATAATTTTTATGAAGATAAAACATATGAGAATTCACTAATGTATATTTATTAACACTTAGTTATATGTATATTTCATATAACATTTCAAGTATATTTATGCCTATTAAATATAATTTATGTTTAATAGGAATAATAAGGTATAAATGATTTACTTTTTACCAATAGATATCCCACATTTTTAAAACTTTTAATTAACCATTATATATACATTAGGGAAATTAAAACACTCATTGATCTAAAACAAATATGAAGTTATAAGGCAATTAAGATATTTGTTTAAAATTAAATAATTTAAACATATTTAAACAATATCTAGGATTAATTAATAAAGGACTTAAAGGAATATTTGGTACCTAAGTTATAAACACAGTTTCTGATTATATAATATATTTAAAATGTTCAACAATCAAGTATGAGTATATGTAATCCAATAAAATATGTAATTATTTGTAGAAATGTTTCTTAAACAAAAATTGTAATATACTAAATCTAAAGGATATAATATTAAATATTATCTAATCATAAATTGTAATTAAAATTACAATTTATACCTAATCAATCATATTTCTACATTATATTATTTAACATTTAAGTTTTCTTAAATTATAATTTATTAATAAAAGATTAATTTTGTAGCAAATGTAAATTGCTATATAATTATATCATTAATCTTTATAATTTGTATTATAGAATATAACTGATTAAATTAGTAGCTATTCAAATAAATCATATTTTATATTATCTAATTTTAATAATCTAGTATTGACAATTATTATTATTTATTCAGTACCTTTTTATTTTGTGATAGTAATTGGCCTTGTACGTCTAGTGATGAGTTTAATACATTTTGAAGCATTATATGTTTAAGTTGAATATGCTCAATTTCACGTTTACTTTTACTCTGTAACATTCTTATGAGTTTAAAAATATATTATTTAAAATGTACGTAAACACACATATAATGTTACAATAATTGATTATAGATTGAAATTATCGTCTGTATAGGCATTGAAAATAGTTTTCAGTATTTTAAATCTACACTCAATAGTATAATTTACACTTAAGACCATATAGATTAATAAAATTAAAATTAGAAAGAACAATAATTAAATATTAATATTTGATTTACCTCAGATTCAAATCTGTTTTATTTAATTCATTTAGTATTTTATTTTTTGATTCAATTGAAGCTTTTTTTTTTTTTAATATTTGGTCCCATGATGTTTTTGATTGAGAATCTTTGTAATAGATTAAAATATCTGAATAAAAATGAATTTATAACATTAGACAATATATATAACAGACCAAATTTGATAATGATTTTACTATTTGATTTATTTATATTTGCTCCCAAATATTTTTCAGCTATATCTTTGTCAATTATCCTTTTTTGAATAGTTAATATAAATTTATGGTGTTTCTCTAATGATCTAAGATCATTTAATAGTTTGATAAATATGTATTTTTTGTTATCAAACTCTAAAGGATGTTCTATAAATATAAAATTATAAATATAGAACATATGATCTAAAAAATACATTGAGCAGCATACTACCTGCTAATAATGATGTGACATAATTGAAAAGTAAATTAATCTGAATCATTTTAATAAATTACAAGTTGTAATGATTTGATTAATTTTATAAAATACAATTTTCTAATTAATTGTATTACCAAAATCAATAACTAGTAAATTGTTTTTAAAAAAACACTAATTGACATGGTAACACATACAAACATATACAATTTATATTTGTAGAGATTGTGACTAAGAAATATTAATTTAATTTCCTGAGAATAGTAATAATATATTTTAAGTTCAAATATTAATGATTATTTTGAATTACTTTTCAAATAGTCTCTTTACAAATATTGGTTTGGTTAAAATAATTTAAATTTAATGTACATAAGTATTAACTATAAATTAGTATATTATGTAATATATTTAATATTTGTACACATTCAAATATCCATGTACAATTAATTAGATATATAATAATTTTACATTCAATTAATTTTTTTAAAGCATAATAAATAATCAAACTAATGGTAATAATACCCAACAAAGATATACATAAAGCCTTTTTGATTATTATTATTATTATTATTATAACTTAAAATTCAATATTCATTATATAAATGTAATAAGATTAACTAATAAATATAGTTTTAACAGTAATATTATTTGTAATAAATACTAACATTTCAAAAATGACAAACAGTAACTTGGGGGACCCTATTTTTCGGTCCATCAGATTATCATTTAAATTTTAAAATAAAATTTTTAAATGGACAATTACAAAAAATAGAGTCTCTAAACATTACACAGCATTAATGTGTGATTTCAACAGATTATTATATAATTAATTTCTGGTGCCTATGTACACAGCAATTTGACTAAACTAATAGTGTGACAATTATGTGTGTTGTGCTATAGAACACATAAAGGCAATATTCTAAAAATATTTTAAATATTTAAATATTAATTACCTTTTTAAAATAAATGTTCAAATAGTATTCAATTACTCAAGTACTTTTCTCACAAATTCATTAGATTAATAAATCAAATATTTGTACTAATTAATACTTTAAATTATTACTAAATCTCTTAATGACACACATAATTAATTTTTTGTTACATCAAACTAATGGAATGTTAAATTTTATACTATAGATATATCATAAATGGAAATTCATTCTCATAATAAGTTCAAATTTTGCGTAAAATATTAAACTACACTTGAAAATTCAATGAGAAAATGCAAGCAAAATGCAATTTGTCTTGTGTTATAACTAAATTATTTGAATAATTATAAATAATTTATTATAGGGCATGACTAATAAATTAAATTTTAACTATATTGTTGAAAAACAAAAATAAAAAATAACTGTATGTAGGGTACCTAGATATCTATACAGAAAATAAATATTTAAAATATAGGACAAAATAACTGTTTAAAAGTATTTAATAACAAAAAAAATATAAATTTAATAACTTTTATTCAAATAATTTAGAACGCAGTTTTTGTGGTAGTACTAATGCAGCTTGAAAGTCACATGGTGTTGCTGCTGTCGTCTCTGTTGCTGCTGCTGTTGTTGAATATAATTCGGTTGGTTGAATTGTTGCTGTTTTGGAAGATTAGATGAGTTTTTAGTGGGCGGCGACACATAAACCATGTTGTCGTGATCTTCAGATTCATGATCAACAGTCTTATTTTGCATGGGAGGTGGCTTACAGACTTCAGATTGGTTATCTAAAAAACAAATTTTATGAGGAACTACGTACCTATACAATTTTTTTATAAGATAAGTACAAAACTAATAAATATCATTATTAGTAATTTAAAACAGATTGGTAACTTTTTTTTTAATGGTGATTTAAGAAAATTATCTCTAGTACTTTATCAAGCAATAAATCATTCAAATCACAATAAGAAGTCCAACTATAAAAAAACATTTAACTGTATCTATTAAATCAGATGTTTAGACTATCAAGACTTAGTATTAATCATCAAGAATGGTTGTAAACAAAATCAATTAAGTACAAATTTGTTTTGTGTACTTTGTAAATTATTTCTGGCAATGGTACATTTGCTTTTTACAAGGTGATTAAGTAAATTAATACAGTGAAGAAAAATTAAAACTTATATGAGAAATTAGAATAGATACATATAATTCAGATTATAGTAATAATTCAACAAATCTAGGCAGTACCCATACAAAATACGGGTTTTAGAATGTCATTGATATTTGATTGAAACATCTAGATTACCAATAAACTGATATTTAATGATTGGTAAATTATATCATTATGACCAATATTCATAGCTCTAATGGTTTAATTAATGTAAAATTTAAAATACTATGATATAATTAGTTATTAAATTACAATAATTAAATGGGTTATTTGGAAAAAGAAACCTATCTAAATTTCAACATTATCAGATTTTCACGGAAATATATGTTATTTGAATCTGTTTGGTGTGAATACAAAACATTCCTAAGTATGTTGTATTTGTTATTATTATTTTGGAAAGGGTACATCTATTCGATATAAGAGCAAAAAATGAACATTATGATTACACAATATATTATTTATAGATTCTGAACATAGCGAGAAATGTTTTGGTTTTACTATGGTGTTATATTACTTTAATTTTTATTAGTTATTGTTAAGTATTATTTTTTTATAGTCAAACTAAATGTTAAAAAAATTAAGCATAATTTAACGAAAATCTTAAAAATTAAAAAAATTCAAAAACATATTTAACAGAATTTTGTTCAGAATCATATTTTTTCATAAATAAATTATCATTACATACAGATATAAACTTTATGTATCCAATCTTCCTATCTAAAACTGTGCCATCAGCAATATCAATTTTAATTTTATTTTGAGATCTTTATTTTATAAATAAAATATTCAAAAGATTATGAATATTTTGATTTGTTATTATTTTTTAACTAAAGTCAGTGTATTTTTTTGTTAAGGTCATAAGTAATCTTTATTAATCAATAAATACTTTAAATCTAGCAAAATTACAAAAATTAATTTGATATGGGAACATTTTGTCGGTTACACAACAAAACCTTGTAAGTCAATTTTATACAATTTTACAGGAGAAGCAAAAAACTGTGACACATATTATTATTATGTGTCATCCATAAATGATAACAAATTTAACTGTTTGTGAAGAAGATAAAACGCAGAGATAAGAGAAATGACAAAAATACCTATGATTACTAGTTACATGAAGAGTCGAAGATTGAAGTGGTTTAGACACATAAAGCAAAGAGATGTAACAAACAAAGCTAGAGCAACTAATGAATGGCAACCAGAAAGGAGGAAACCAAGAAAGAGATTAAAGAAATGGTGGATAGATAGCATACAGCAAAGACCTATAGAGATTGAAAGCTACGGATTGGGAGGAAATGTTTCCGAACTGTGGAATCTGAAGAGCTCTAACAGTGGCAGCTAAAACTCTAGCAGTTATGAAGCTATATGATGATCATTTGAACTATAAGCTAACTATTAGGAACAATTTATTATTAGCTAATGAGAGCTCTTTAACATTCATTTCATTAAAAAGAGTTGCAAGAAATGTCCAATAACTTGATATTGGATAAAAACGTTTTTAACTTTGGTAACTTGCATTGAATGAACAATTCATGGACAATAAACACATGGTAGGAAACCTAACTGTCCCTCCTAAATTTCCTCCAGAAATATGGAATGTATATGAACTTGTAATAAGCCGAAAACAGTGAATTAATAATGAAAAGATAGAAGGTTTCTATTTGAAACTAAGAAAAATACTGTAACTCAGCATTATAATATTTGGAAGTTTTTAAAAAATACAAAAACATATTCAAGAATATAAAGTATAGAGTATAGAGTAATAGCTTATCATTTAAAACTGCACAATGATCCAAATGCTGATGTAATAAACTAATTTTACAATAAATATGTCATTTGTATTTATTTGATTTTCGTAAGATATAATGTATAAAATAATATATTAAAATTCATTGGACATTAAAATAATAAACAAAATTATATGGGACATAATTGATAGTTGGACTAAAAATATTGAACCTTATATATTGGATATATAGTATATTCTTATAACCTCTTATAATCTCTATATTTTATTCGTTAATAAAACTTAATAAAATAAAATCTGTACACAACTTTTTACAATAAATATCTGATTTATTTACAGAATTCTGTAGTTTAACTTATATTAGTAATCCCACATCAATTCAAAATCACTTAATCATACCGAAACACACCTGCACTAATATCAATATTCATCACATTATTTTGAAACCAGAGTTGTTCAATATACTAGATAAGTAATGTAATTTTTTTGATTTCCCAATTGAGCAAAATCAAAAAAAAAAAAAAGAGAAAGTTTGTAATAGAAGTAGTCATAAGAATTAAAACAAAATTTATAAGAAAATAATAGTAAATAATAATAGAAAAACACTGATAGTATTTAATAAATTACATGCTGTAATGAATTACATCTTAAAAAGCTTAAGCATAGAAAAGGCAAGTTTAACCTAATTTGTGCTTTAGACTTTGGCCTAGAGCTGGTATATATAATAAAATTTAAGTTTTACATAATAATAGAGCTAATATAGCTGTTTGCATTTAGATATTAATAAAGAAAGAAACTTTATTTTATATATCAAATTTAGTGTGCCAAATGTTTAACTTTTAAGTTATGATTAATATTATGAGTTATCTCCTTTTATTTTATTTCATTTTATTCTTAAAGGGTGTTTAACCATTAATTTATAAGTTATATATTATAATCCAATGTATGTATGTATAAGACAGTGTATTTAATATATTTTATACAGTTTATACAATTATAATAAAATTGTATCATACATAATCATACATTATGATGTAAGATAATTCATTTCATGTGTGACTTGCAACTAACCTGACATAGCACAATTTTTCATCTTTAAAGACATAGTGGACATATCTTTATTTGGTGAGGCACTAGGCGGTCTTGTCAAATTGTGTGGTTTGTTTACACTTGGAGTCTGTGGTGGATGTGTTGCTCGCCAATATGACTCTAAGAACTGGGATATATGTTCACATGCATCCTCCAAATAATTCTCGCTAATTATTATGTCATACATTTCTGGTGGACATTGTGCCAACTTTTCAGATGCCAACAGTTGAACATTAAGATGTTGACTTTGGGATTTTCCACGTGATTTAATCAACTGCTGAAGTATCTACAAGCACAGATAAAATAAAATAAAATATAATTCTAATTGTTATAACTAATACTAAACCCTAAAAATAAAATATGCTTTATATTATGCATTAATATTGTATACTTTAAATATATTATAAAGTGTGAAAAAAGGAAAAATACTTTTTAGATTCAGAAACATAAAACTATACATGGCTACAACTTGAATGTTTTGACTCTACAGACAAAATCCTTAAGCATGTTTTTAATTTCATAAAAAATGTAATTGACACAGTATTAATATTTAATATTGTGAAAAAATAATATATTTTCATAACTTTGAGTTGTCGTGATTAAATGAATATTTACCCAATAAAAATATTATGATTTCAACACCAATATTTATAATTTATGCCATTGATATTATTTCAATTTAGAACTTGAAAAGAGATTTTGAAGTCGAGTAATAGGTATACAAAAATAAAGAAAATACTAATTATATTCACAATATTATCAAAAAACAAATAAATAAAAAATAATTCATTGTATTTATAATTGCAAATATTTTAAAAGACTATTAAAACATTCAACAATTAATAATAAGAAAACACTCATTAAAAAAAAAATGGACATACTTTCCATGATGAAGGGTTGGTCTTTGTTATAGGTGAGAAATTGAAAAGGTAAAATATAGAAAGGAATTTAATGTATTTTTATATGCAACGATTAATCATTGCTAACAAAAAAATAATTTTGAGCAGTTTGGTTATACAAGACAATAATATTTATGATTTTTATCAAAATTTGATACTAAAATTATTATAAAAAAATTAAAATTCTACATTGAACAAATAATGACTTTTATTGAGTACGATTTCAGAAAAGGTACAACACTTAAAAATATATGCAAGATTTCTGGCAGAATTTGTGTACACAGTACAAAAAAATTTAAAATATAAACATCAGTATACAACCAATAAATTCTTCGCATCACTCAAAATCTAAAAATCTCAAGGGTAGGTTACAGATTCCATTTCCATATTATTTTATTTTAATCTTTCCTTAATTCATTAAAATATTCATAAATATCACTTCTTACTTGTGGTGAAACTTTTAAATATACCAATGTAGGTGCCAAAGAAGTATTTGCCAATTGTGATGGATGATTGATGGTATCACAATCTAAAACAATAAGCTAAAAACATACCATAACTATTAATATTAATCATAATTTAAATTGTTTTAAGTTTTAAAAAAATTACTTTTAAAGTTCTAGCGAGTTCAAAAATTCTGTCAACTTCTTGTTGAGCAGTAGCTAATATATTTGATCGTGATTTTGAACCTGGTTTGAAATCAATTACAGTTTTTTTTGAAGGATCATTAAAAAGATTCTTTTTAGCCAATGATATATCTGCCATTACACGAGTAATAATAATTCTGAAAAATATTAAGGAACAATGATATTTGTTAATTTCAGTATCACATTATAGAATCCTATGCAATAGTAAAATTTGTCTTTTATTTTCTATCATTTATTTTTATTTTATTGATTTTTTATAATATTAACCTTCCTTCAAATCGACGTTTCAGAAAATCGAATATTGCTTTTTGCATCATATCAGTGACCTCATAACCTTTTAAAGATGGTCCAATAATCACAATTGGTCTCATTGAAGGTACAATATCATAAGGTGGTATCACAGTGTTTTGTTTTTTAAAAAAAATGTTTCGTTTGTCTTTTACCACGGGAATGGTTAGTGCTGAGATGCGGCCACCTTCAGCAGGGCAATCTTTTGCTATAATAATTAAAAATATTATAAAATAAACATTAAAATTAATGTTATCAAATATTATATAATATCAACTAAAACTACTAAGCTTCAAATAAGGTAACCAAATTAAAAACATTTTATATTCTATTTCTAGTTGTATCATCTTATTAAGCTCATTCTTAGCATTCAATTTCGAAAATGAAAAATGTTTGAGGATTTTAATTTAAAAAAAAAAAATTGTATTCGACTAAATATTTCAATAAACATTCACAACTTTGAAGTTAAGTACTGAAAGTATGATTCAAATAATCCTACAACATTTATTTTCACTACCATTAGTATATAGAATTATAAAAGTATTGTGTACATTTTAAGTATTTGAAATTTTAAAATACTGCATAAAAAACTAGTTGGAAAAAAATTAAACAAACTAAAATCAAATAGATAAAAACTAAAATACGTCAATAACAATAATCTTTAAACTACAAAAATGATAATACCCATGCTACCAAGTCAATACACACTAAATATAATGGAACTTATAATAATTAACTTAAAAACACCATTTTCTTAGTACTCACAAAATAACCACATGCAAATAAAATTGACATAATTTAAACCAAGTCGCTGATAGATAATATACTATAATTTATCACCACCTAACGAATGCGATGGTGAATTCTTGGAAGTACTTTTTGACGTATATGATTGATCTGTCTGACGCATAACTTCTATATATGTAGGTGATGGTACGAAACCCAAAGTAGAACCTTCTTTTACCAGACGACCTATCCACCAGTTTTGATCATACTTATCCTGAAAACATGGAAAGTGACAAAGATGATTAGGGTTTAAATGGTTCTGAACATAAAAAATATTCTTAAACTTGTATACATTAAGTTTTTAAGTTACTTTGTTAATTAATTATTTATATATGTTTAAAGTATACTCAGGATAATATACTTATAAGTATTGTATAAAGCAGTTATTAGTGCTAATCATCAGTTGACCAATACAATTTTACCGATTTTCACAAAAAATAACTGCTGATTAGCGCTGTTGAACCTTCTAGAACCCCTACAGAGCATTATAAGAACGATCCTTAATATACCTCAATAGCTTATCTGAACTTGCACTTTCACATTACAGAGACAAATTAATATCTATAATTATATGGTTAACAAATACCTTATAACTGTATAGGTAATATTTTAATTTGAAATATTGTAAATATTTCAACTTAAAAGTAAAAATGATGATGGTATCATTGACGTCATATACCCTAGCGTTATTTAGAAAGCCTCACTATCCAAATTGGTTCAGTGTGAAATTACGTAAACTTATATAATCAAAGAATATTGCCCACAAAGCTTTTTAAATATCTGGTAGTGCTTGTGATATGATACTTTTTCTAACCTTAGGGACTAATGCAAATTAAAAACCAGATACTGCTATCAAAATCACTTACAACATACCCGAAAATTGGGTATCAGTTATCTGGAGCCCTATGCAACTTAGTCTTACGGATAAAATTTAAAAAGTGCAACGGCGTTTCTTTTGCATGATAGCACATAAAATTAATTTGACTGGTTTCTTCTGAACTTGAACGTCAGTGTAACATGAATTCTTTGCAATCTAGATGACATTTTATTGATATATTTGTTTATTTATGTACTATTGAACAATTCCATAGATTCCTGGTTTTTTGGAAAAAATAATGTACTTTAACATACAAGTAAATACTTGTAATTTTCGTTGTTTCTATAGTAAACTTCACACTAAAAATTTTGTTTTATGTAGCCTCTTATATGGGACCTTGAACTCTTGTAAAGGTTTAAAAAATTTTAATTTTTTTATCGATAGTTCCTTTAAATTAAAACAATGTACCCTTAATGTAGCTTAGTATTTAATTTATCTGTTTATAAGTAAATAATATTATGTATACTGTTATATTGTACACTTACCCCATCGGCGGGAGTAAATTATTACAATTATAATTATGATAATTATTATAATTTTATAATCAATAGTGAACCTATAGGTATCCACTTTATTATTTTTTATTTTTTGACCCCAAGAGCCAGATTCAACCCCAATTTATTTACAGTCGGGTTTACAGCTTATAACAATTAATTTAACAGCAATTAGGGGCAAAGGAATACCATTTGGCATTGTTTTAATGTATAATAAATTTTTTCTAATAACTATTTTAATATTCTTTAATTATTTTGAGTATTCTAGAAAATAATACACAAACATACCACAATATGCAAAAATTCTTGAGTTTTAAATGTGATTGTGTAACCTTTTAACGGACCATCATCATCAATTTCAGCGTCATATGCAACGTTTGTACGAATGGTGAATGCCACTGGTTTTGTCTAAAAAATAATAATAATAATAATTATTAAGACACAAAAATCATATTAATTGATATAACTTAATATAGTATATTAGCTGAAAAAAAGTTTTAAATCAATTAGATAAAAGCAATTAATATAGTATATCAATAGGTATTATATAAAATTTGTATACCGCTGAATTATCGAGTTGCATGAGTAATTTCAGATCGCAATCATTCCGGCTAGACATTTTACTCATTTTAGTATGATCGTCGAGAGTTCGAGACGTCGACTTGATAAATAATGAATAACGAAAAAATCACATATGTGAAGAAAATATATTTTGCTGCACTGAATTTAATACTGAGGTAGACAAAGGGGAAAATCAATCATCCAAGGCCAACAACTTTACTCCAGGATCCAGGGATCAAATGAACCTCGGTAAAGGTGTCTCAACCCCTGATTCTGCGACAACGAGACGGAAACGTCGGAAACGTATGGGATATGATAACAACGTTATCAATAACAAACATTATATTATTATAATATGATAACGGGGGTATTTTTCGCGCCGTGTTGTAGGTTTGTGATTTTTCGCCAAATATTGATATTAAGATTGTAAAATGTTTAAACTCTAAAACTCGGAGACAAATAAACGGAAAATAAGTCGATGTCTCGGATACCTACTCACCTTTCGGACGTCTTAATTCTATGGGCTCGCAAAATGCTATTCTTGAAGTATGCAACTATCTATCTATATTATTGCAAATTTGTACAAATCTCGATCGCATTTTTTATATAATGTTGATTATTTCAGTAAAACGAATGTATAGGTAGATACTTACGCTTTATGAACCTAACGTAATCCACCTACCATATTCTGTACCTTTGCTGTATTATCCGTACAAAATGGCAAAATGCATAAATAGTCGGGATGAAGGCGAAGGAGAAGAAAAAGGTTTATTATCTATGGAAATCTCGCATTTGAAAGGTAGAATTGAAAATCTATACATAAAAAAAGACGTATTTCTTGACCTAACTTCTCGAATATGGTACAGGCTGTCCATAACCCGCGAAACCGTGACCGAGTTATCATTTTAACAGTGGGTCTTGAAGTTTAGTTTAAAGTACAGACTGTCAGCTGTCTAAATAATGCCCGTATGCGCCGTAGCGGGAAATTGAGAAAACTTCAGCTGTCTACATATTGCGCAGCAAAATGTTTGTACAGATCAGCTGGTTTCTGGTTACCTACACGTATGGTGAGTAGAACGTTCCCTGGACAAATTGGTCCCCGTGGAGAAACCTGGCACCTACGCCAACAATCGGTCCCACGATATACCGTACCTACTCGAACAATTGGTCCCCAATTTTTTATTTTGTTAAAATCAATAATTATGTTTAACGTTTAACCCCACCTCGTCTATGGACCTCTTTTTGATATAATAAAATTATTCAAACTTTATTAACTCGTAAAACGAATTTAAAAAGTGAATATAATATCAATATAATGCATTAATATACGTAGGTATTGAAAACATTTCAGCAATTTTTGTGGTATTCATAATCATTTGACATTTTCGATTTTTTTAGTTATTATTTGATTTTATGTTTTGGCCGATAAGAAATGCTTAACAATTTTTACGATTGTAATCGTAAACTACACTAAGTATCTACTAAGTTAAGTAAATACTTAAGTAGTCCCCCTCCCCACGATCCAAATCCAATATAGATTTGGAATCTCTTGGCGTCAATATTAGAGCCATGAAAATATCTAAAGCAAGCAATTTAACCCTATAGTTACAGAGAAAATCAATAAAGTAAGAAGAATCAATAGAAATATTGAAAGCAGCAGTCTCTAAAGTTTTCAGAGAAAATTTGGCTGTAGAATATGAACCAGAAACGGCTAACAGATATACGGGACGTAGATTCTGAAACGACGACAAACGAGATAAAGGAGGCCGTATACAGGACAGGGAAAAAAAACTACTTGAGTGGTACTTAGTGTCAAAATAGATCAAAATGTTAAAAGTTGAGAGCAATATAATAGAAGTTTTTTATTAGCGTTTTAAGTTCAAATTTTGATGGAAATCGTAAAAATTAAAGCTCGCGTTTCGTTAGCAATGTCTTATTGTTGCGCATATATATAAATTAAATAACTATATGGATATCCCATCTTCCAAACTTCTCTCGTGCAATAGTTGCACACCTATCGGCAACATCAGCTCTTTTTTTTATGAATTTTGAAATCAAATTACCCTATACCTACTGTATTATTATAAATCTTACGAAAAAATGATATAAAATGGCCGAGGAATTATTATAATGGAAACATGTAGGATAATAAAATCAAACTATATGTCAGGTTGTGGAATATATCCTATGCTCAAAGATCTGTTCTAACAGACTTTTAAGTAGTCGATATAACTGCGAACTATATATAACCATCACTCGCATCATCTAAATTCGATTTTTCACGATTTATCACGCAATAGGCGCAAACTGTATGAACCTACCTATCTTCATCATAATTTGATAATATATAATAATAAACTATTTTAATACTGTATGATGTAAATTTAGGAAATATTGCTGGCCTATTTAAATATATATATATTATAATAATATTTGCGTTGTCTACACAGAATAACACGTTTACTCATAATGTTATTTACTCGTCCCTAAATAGTTTAATGATTTTTGTTGAATAGCTTTCGAAACGTAATAATCATTAACATTACGATCTTTCGAACGTATCGGATTGCAGTATATGCGTTTATTTAAATAAATTATAATACTGTTGATAAATTCATCATGTCCGACAAGGAGGAGAGAATACCCGAATCGGGAAATGTGTTATAGGAGTAAGCATTTATACTAAAAAATCTCTAAGACCAAACACAGATAATTCTTTATTTTTGATAGAAATAATATAAGGGGAGAATGATAGTTTATTGTCAAAAATAATACCTAGGTCTTTAACTAGATTTGTACGAGTGTATTTATTCAGTTTATAATTAAAAATCAAGTTAGTGAGTTTCTTAGAAAAAGTAATATTGTTTGAAATGTATTAATATTTAAGGAAAGGCTATTAAGTATAGGCTATTATGCACCAGTATTAACACTTAAATCATTCTGAAGTTCCAGGTTATTTCTGACTATTAAATTAATAAACCTAATGCAGGCGTAACTCACCAGTAAAACTCAGTGAACCGCGATAAATTTTACATTCAACTCAAACCTGTTTCACTCCTGGCGCATTTTACGGGATAACATAACTTTATCAATTAATAGTTATCGAGTTAACTAAAAACTAAAACTTTGATTAAATATTAGCCATTTATGTTATGTTTATATAGAGAAAAAAATACATCTTAACGCATTGTAACAAATATTAATATTTAAATTATTAAATAAAATATATGTAATAAGTAAATTATTTCGGTTTACTAAATTCCTGAAACTACTTTAGAATTGACAAAATAGAAATTTTAACAATAATAAAATCATTATTAGCAGTTAAATACGAACTTAAAATTGTTTTAGAAACGATAACAATCGCGCAGTCTACGGAAGATCATATCCGGGAATATTCTGAACCTTCATGGGAAATCGTAATAATTATATGAAAACAATTAAATCAAATATTATCACCTTACTATATAGTAATCGTTTCAAAATTATGTATATCGTATAATATTATGATATTAGGAACGCAGAAGTCAGCGAATTTTGCACAATCCGTGAACAAACCAAGGAGTACCGGAATATTATGATTGGCCCAGGGAGGACGAGTTGACTGCGAATAATAACGGGATGAAAAGAAACGCTGGTTATTCGTTAAACGACGACGATAATCTGCAGGCTCGTAAGAAACGCAGAATGAGTACGTGCCTATAATCAAAATTATTATAAACTGTCCGTTCCTTTAGTTTTAAACGTGAATCGACCGCAGGCCGGTTATTGATCTGTACAGAATATATTTCTTTTGAATTTGTTACGCGGTATTCGTGCGAATTCTATACCGGAGGGGGGGGGCGTCTTTGAAGTATTTACCAAGATTGCATTTTGACCAGACTATAATTTTTGTGCGCCGCCGGGAAAACATTTTTTTTTTTCTCGAACCGATCTTAAAGCATTGATAGCTATATACGGCCATAAGCTATTGCGACAAGTATAAAAAAAATTGTTTTGTAATAATTCTATATACGAGTATAATAGTAAAATATATATTAGCCCGTTGGAATTTTGTTTGGCCTGCCCGGTTGTTTACATATAGGTACCTTTCAAAAAGTCGAAATGACGTCCTTTTACTCGTCGACTTTTTTTCGTATAATATATCGCCGTATTTGGCGTTTACATTTATAGGAAACAGGGGAGAAGAATTCAACGCTGCAGACAGTCGTTATACTACAGCGTAGTAATTTAATCGACGGTGCAGACGACAGCCATCGGTGCAACTATAATAGACTTACGGTGTATGGGAAACGGAAAACCGGTGTAGTAGTTGCACCAACGCGCAATCGAACGATGGAACCGAGCAAATAGTACCACGCCGGTAGGACATGTTACTCGGGATCGAACTGCCGGTTCAGTCAGTTGTTTTTATAGTTTATAAGTTGATAATTTTCTGTTTGTAAATATAAAATGTGTAGAATTTGAATATATACAAATATTACAAACTATTAATGTTGAATTTATATAAATTGTTAATAAAATCATGTTCAATACGAAAAGGTTAGTTTTAGATAATTTAATTTGTATCTATACACGCAACGATATAAACCATTTCTAACGAAAAACGATTCAGTGCAAAGATTATTTCACTATTCATCAATAATTTGTAAACTATTGTGGTTTATTAGTTTAGATTAAATATTAATTTTTTTCCATTACAAATAGTTCACGAATTCACGAAATTATATTGCAAATATTTGCAGTACCAAGTAGAAAATTAAATCTTGTGTAAGAATAATTAGTAATATTATAGATTATAGTTTTTAGATTCTCAATGTAGTAGTGAAGAATATATTGGTTTTACAATGATATTTATTTTTTTTTTTATACTGGGACAAAAATATCTATCAGAAATCTCGCTCCAATATGTACTTTTTGTTTTTATTGTAATTCAGTACAAAATATTCGTAGAGACTTGATATTTAGACAGAAATTTTATATTTGCTTTTTTTAGACGTGGTAAAATTTTCAAAACGTTTTGGCCATTTTTGAGTTATTTGTCGACATTTTAATTTTTTGAGTTTTGTAATTAATTTTTATTCGGTAAGTACTCAGTGGTAAAATTGTTAGACTCAACAGAAATGCTTGAAAATTGAACAGGAGGTTAATTATAAGTTCTACTTTGTAGTTAAAACCAAAAAAAAATTAATTTTATGTACTATATTTATTTTTATAAGAATTGTAATATCAAATTTTGACGAAAATCGTTTAAGCAAAAAATTATGTGAAATAAACTTAATTACTAGTCCATATAAATTATTTCAATAAATATATTTATTTAACTATAATATGGAATATATATTGTTGAAAAAGCAATACTATTAACCGAGCTCCGCTCAAAATCGTTTTTCGTAAGCAATGGTTAATTTTTGCTTTATCTTTACACATTAAATTCCTCTCTATATCCTACCTTCTAAACTTCTCATCCACAACCATCCATCGTGTGAAGTATGTCCGTCTTTTTTTAAATATTTTGAATACATAATAAATTATGTAAACGATCTAATTTTGTATAGACTATAATGTTTAGTTACTTTAATATGAATAAACAGAGTAGCAATTATATTAACATTCATACAATTTGAACTTTATAATTAGTTAATTATTTGTCTATACATTTATGTAAAAATTAAAAATTATTGTTATGTAGTTTATTGTAGCATTAGGTGGGTGTAGGCGGCAATGCTCCCCACGGATATGAGTATCGTTATACATTTTTCTAGCACCCCCTAAAAGACTGAAGGAATTACAATAATAATTGTTCACACATTCCTATTTCTAAAAAATAAGGAATGTGTGTTTGCGTTCCTGCAATTGGAATTGATTCCTTCGTTTGTTGCTCTCAAAAGAAATCTTGAAACATGTAAGTTTAATCGTTATCATACTTAGCGTCGCTGATTTTTAACCGAAAATGGATTTAAAATTTATTGAATAGTAAGTTGAGCAAAATAAATAATAAATAATAAGTAATTAAATTCAATTATAGACGTCGTTGACCGCTGTCGTGCCCGTTGTGGCAGAGGCGTCGGAATCGTAATGTCGCTGCGGCGTCGGGTGGCGTTGGACACCCTCGTACGTGACCGACGCCTTGTAACCGCTGTCCGCGTCCACGCTGTACACGACGGTCTGTGTACGGCCGTCGGGTAACTTGACCCTGTACTGGCCTGTAACTACACCGGGCTGACCGGGCTCGCGACGTTCCCATTGACCGAAATCCGTTCCTGCATACTCGTCCAGCACCGCATACTCGAAACCGTAGCCCCTCTGCGGGGGTTCTCTTATTTCGTCGTCATCGTTGTTCACGTCGGTCAGCGTTGATGGTCGTTGGTCGCCAATCACCGACTTCACGAAAGGTCCATGTTTTTCCTCTCGGTTCTTGTTAAAAACCAAAACACGTACATTACTAAACAGTTTTTTTTTTTTTTTTAAAAAATGCTAATTCACAAGTTGTACACTAGTTGCGTCTCGAGTTGATAATGAGTGGAATAGAATGTACCCAAGTAGACACTTACATCGAAATGAGAAGTATAGAAGAAAAACAAATGTATTTTGCAGAAAAAACAATATTTTTCAAGGAGAAAATGACTGAAAAAAACATGGCAACATGTTTTTAACTTTGTCAAAACGCTCTCTTATACATTTTTATCTAAGTACATTTTAGTACATTAATATTAAATAAAATCAAATAACACATTTTTAATTATTTTTTTTTTTTTATATACTATATTAAATTAGTATTTATTGACCGGAGGCCCACCTTCTGAATGTTTTCCAAAATATTTATTTATCTGACAAAACAAAAATGTTTTAATCTTACCTGTGTTTTATTATAAAATATACAAATCACCGACAGTCATAAGTCTGTAAAAATGAGAAGACATTTTTTTTTTATTGCTTGTAAACATTTGGACCCAACTAGTATAAGAACCTGCCGAAAGCCGGGGCCCAACTAGCATATAGTACCCGAAATTCATTGGGACTCAACTATATTGCACTACCTATCAAAACCACTTGGATCCCGGACCCGACTTGAATATAACCGAAAAAATTCCTGCTACAGTGCTACATTTATATTTTACGTACACTTACATGGCTTACGTTTTGTCCTCCGTAATAGTTTTGACCGTCGCCAATTTTTTCCCCGACAAACGGTCGCTGTACAACAGCAGTTTGTCGCTGTCCCGACTGCTGCACTTTTCGTCGTCTGCCAACGAACGTGGGTGGTCTGCGACGATTAAAGCCGATTACGGCCCGCTCAACGAGTGGCGTCCGATGATTTTGCGCGTCACCGATTTCGTTTTTTGCCGCACCGACCGTTGTCGTCACTACTGCAACTACGTTACTGTGGTTATCGTTGCCGAGCCGTTTGAGTTTGGCGTCTGTTGCATTACTCGAATTCCGACTAGTTTTGTTGTTGTCTTGCAGCAGTCCGTTGTGCACTACGGCAGCGGTGTTTAAGTTATTCGGCCGTGTTACGTTTCTTGTACCGCCAACTGCGCTCAAACTCCAACTCTCCGGTTTGTTGTGTTTTTGACTATTGTTCGAATGCACGTCGACCATAGGACGCACAGTGTCTTTTTCACGGGCTACCGTCGTCCGCGCGTCCGTGCTCGTCGTTATCTGCACGAAATCGTAACCGTCGTCACCGCTGTTCTCGGAATTCGTATTGTAATCATTTTGACGCTGCTCGTTATTCTCCCCTTGTACTACGGGTGACGCGTCGTGTATTTTACGGAGTGTATCGTTCTCTTCGGTAACTGCATCGCCGTGATTGTTTCGACGGCGGTCGACAAAGTTCGAATCGTCATTTGCGCGAGAGCTATTAATATGAATTGCAGTTGGCCGACGTTTATTGTTCTTATTTTCCTGGACTACCGAGCTGGCGTGGTGACGGTAATAATTGCCGTTATTAAATTCACCGTCGTCGTTTTCCATGGTCATCGTCGGTGGCCTAAATTGCAACTGTTCATCCGGCGGCAGCGTTACGAACGCGACAACGTCCGGTTGACGCTGCAGCGACCGGTACCGATCCTTGATGGACGTGATGTTTTGGGGTCTGTTGGACTGGGCCGCGAACGGTGTCCAGACGATCGCAGTTTCCGCGTTATACGGCGGCGCCGGGTCGTGTTGCAGTTGATGCAGACGTTGTCGACCGCCGTAATAGTTTTGTTGCATTTCCGGTTGTTTTCCAGTTCCGGCAGCGACGGTGAATATTATTTTCTCCGAGTCCTGTGTTTTTTCACCGTTGTAGTGGTCGTTGCGATCGAATCCTTTACGGTAGCCGTCCTGCACTTTTCGGACAACATCTCCCGCCGGGTCGACTACCGCCGCTAATGTCTTTAATAACAGGGACTGACATACACATACATAATAATTTATAATATTATTTTGTAGTATATTAACATGATTAACACTATTAGAGTATATTATGATACCACATAAGGTAATCGCAATTCACTATCGAAATTGATAAAGAAAACGGGTACCTATTATAATTGGAATAGGAACTTAGGAATAGGCATTCTTAAGTTTTGATATATAAGTATACCAGGTGATCCATTTAAGTGGATACACTCATTATGTCGGAACAAATTCACTATTTCCGGAATTTATTTTCTAGAACATTTAAGAAACAAGCTGCTCTACAATTTTATTTCTATGTTATTTTTTATCACCCTTATTACTGAGGGTAAAGTCACTACTTAGATTTTTAAATGGCAACCCATATTAAAAACTCCATAAATAGATGGGATATGGGTTGAAATAAATTGTAGTGTTTAAATGTTTGATTTCCATCGATCCGTTGACGATATATTCAACTTTTAAGTTTGGGTTAGAGGAGAGTAGTAGAGTATCATTTGAGTGGCTCTACGGCACGCGGCGTCCACAAAATAGCAAATACATATTTTAAAACGAAATACAAGGGGGAAAAAAAGCTGATACTGGGGACGAGTGTAGCCACTGTTGTAGGAGGGAAGTTGGGAATATAGGATACATAAGGTTATTTCATTTATATCTGATAGCAACTATATGTAAGCAACGATAAACCATTGCTGACAAAAGACGATTCCGAGCATAGTTCGGTAATATATAATTTGAAATGTCGTAATTTTTTTTTGCGATTTTCGTTTAAATTTGATTTAAAAACGCTTATTAAAAAAAAAAAAGTCAATCGATGATTTTGGAAATTTTACCACGTCTAGGTAAGTCCAATATAACTATTATTGCCAAGTTTCAAGTCTCTACGTGTATTTATAACCGAATTATAGCAAAAAAAAAAAAAAAAAAAAAACAAGAACATTTCCTTTCAGAAAAATATCTACATCGTATATATTGAAGTAAGCTTTCTGGTATAAAAAGTGTTCACATAAAATGCATAATATATATCTGTATGCAACGATAAACCATTGCTAACGAAAAAACGATTCTGAGCGGAGTTCAGTCGATAGTGTTACTTTGTCAACAATATATACATACCTATGTCACATTATGGTAAAATGATTGTCAATGTGCGTTTCCATGAAAACAATGGTTGCTAAAAAAAAATTAAAATGATAAAAACTTAATAATAACAAAAAATAAATGAAAATGGTTGCCAATGACAATTAATTTTTAATTTTTCAATCTTTTTTAATCTAAAGAACCAGATTTCCTTCATTATCTCTAATATTAATGGAAATTTCAAAAAATGACTTCTTTAATGCACCAATCAAAGAACATTCTCTATCAGAAAAGTTGCTGTACTTGATAATCGGAGTAAACTTTCTGGTATAAAAAGTGTTCACATAAAAAAAAAAAATAATAATGAACATCTTTGTGAAACCAATACATTCCTCGCTCCACTCAGAATCTAAAACAAAATCGAAAATAATGAAACCGTTATTACCTTAATCTTTATTATTTTTCCTACGTTATTCCTGACTTATAATAAAACTACAAAGAAAATCATAAATACGATCACTCAATGCATTTACTGACAAATAGACTTAAGTTGATACCAAAATGCAAAAACCAACCCTAAAATTAATGATCGGAAAAGATTTCTGATAGAAAAGTAGTTAACGGGCAGAAAAAAAACCCGTTATAGTAAAACCGATACACACAGTCTTCGTTACACTCAGAATCTAAAAATATTAAGTGTTATGTAATACGATTAAATTACCTGCAACACAGTGATCTGCAATAATTTCGAGTCCCATTTCATTGTATGCGTTTTACCGTTGAATTTACAATTCTTTTATCAACTAATTCGTAAATGATCGGCTGTGATCACGCACAGGACATTTACATCGCGTATTATATTCGTTCAAATCCATCCCCTCCTCAAATATAAAATTTATTTTTTCTGAAATATCACTGAGAACCGGTCTTAAAAAAAAAACATTCGCTACAAATATTTTTTTTAATCGACAACTTTCTTTAAGAAAAAAACTCATAATATGTACATATAACTTTGTATCGACGTCTGACAACTATATGCTATAGGTATTTAATTTGATGAAACTCAAATTATTAGATTTTGTGCAGGTATAAGCTATTCTTATCCTACTTTTTGTTCTTTATATGTTATAAAAAAAACAATATTTATATAAATTGAAACTACGCGAGTATGAGTAACTATTTAAACCTCATCTATATGTTCCCGTAGGTAATAAGCAGACATGGGAAAGTACCTTTAAAAAGTATCAAGAACATATATTTAAATACATACCAATAAAATTATTCGGAACATATATTCGAATACTTCACCAAATGTATTCCGAATATTTTAGAAATATTATCTAAAAAAGCTGTCCTAGGAAAATGGTAATGGGTGCAGCCACTATTGTAATTGAGAAATTGGAAAGGTAGGATACAGGAGGGAGTTTAATGGATATCTGCAAGCAACGATAAACCATTGCTAACGAAAAAACGATTCTGAAAGGAGTTCAGTTGATAGTTATGCTTTTTCAACAATATATATGTCATATTATGGTAAAATAATTAAATAGGCATTATGTATTTTCTTTAATAATATTTGTTTCATATTGATCCAATTTTCCCGTTTTCCTACGTTTTTCCTGGTTTTCCCATGTTTTTTCCTGGTTTTTCACATTTGCTGGAAAAACTCTTGAGAAAACCGAGAAATGACCCCCTTAAAGTTTCCCAGTCAGATTTCCTTTCAAAAAAAGTGCTATCATTGTAAATCAGAACAAAATTGCTGGAAGAAAAGTTGTAGTTGAAGTATCAAATGTTGCCCCTTTTCTGAGAGTGAATTGTTTCTAGTTGGTGTATTAAGAAGGTAATTTTTTTTATTTTCCAAGAAGTTTTTAAAATAATTAAGAAAAACCCGAAAGATAATTATTGGAAAAATGGCAAGTATTAACAGCACGCCGCGGTGTTACTGATTTTATTGTTTTTTTTTTTTTAAACGATGTTTTCTACCAAAAATATTGCTCCTACCGAAAAAAAAATTACAAGAGATCTATTTTTTTCCTTTTAACATATGGCCAATGATAAACTGATAGAGAAAGTCGTTTTTGATATCCAAAGCAGTTTTCATTGAGATAAAACAAAAAATTAAAATTGATTAATATTTACAGTGACGTAATGTCCCGGTTTAATTAATCAAATTTGTTATTAAAATGATATGACTAAAAATAATTCTTTATTACAAAATAAAGACTGTTTAATAATTATTCACGTATGTCTTTACGTATTAATTATATAATACACGATTTACATTGTTAATTTTGATAGGTATAATAGTTTAAATTTATCTTTGAAATTTGAGATTATTACATTAATTCGTTATTAAATTATAGTAAATTCATAATTTCAGCTATTTAAATAATGACCATAGCATATTATTATACAATGTTATCATAATAATTTATGTAGCATCAAGTTTTCTCAAGTAAAATATAAAAATTATTTGTTGTAAAACTATCCAGTATATTAAATTGTTATTACATTAATTATTTATTTAATATTATAATATGAATATTGACTATCACTGTAATTAAGTTCGATAATTCTCAGTGTCTTTAGTGTTCTTACACAGTTCGAAATCACCATTGAATCACGTCGTCATAAAAACACCGAAGAAAAATACATAGAAACAAGTCTACAAAGCAAGTAAGAAATATTTGTATAAATAAATGAAAAATGTTTAGGTCATTTTAGATTCTGAGTGGAGCAAAGAAGCTTATAGTTTTAATTATTATTATTATTATTATATTTTTTATAACTTTTCTACCAGAGGACTTGCTCGGATTTCTACGTATAGCACTTTTTCTGAAAGGAAATAAGCATGGGAAAGTACTTTAAAGAGGTCATTTTTTGATTTTCTCAAAAGTATTTCGGAAAAAGTGTAAAACCGAGAAAATCGTAGGAAAATTAGGAAAATTGGTTCAACATTAAATACATTTTGTTAAAGAAAATATACAAAGCCTATTTAATTATTTTACTACAAAATGACATATATATTGTTGACAATGCATCACTTACAACTGAACTACGCTCAGAATCGTTTTTTCGTAAGTAATGGTTTATTGCTATTTACAGATATACATTAAATTCCTGTCTATATCCTACCTTCCCAACTTCCCACCTACACCAGTGGCTACACCCGTCCCCATTATCTTACCATTCTTTTTCGTTTTTTATTTATTTATTTATTTATTCGTTTTAATATTTCAACTAAACCGATCGAATAGATATTTGACCTAACCTAATCTAAGCTAATAGAAATGTATTTTATACAAAAACTTTGAAATAAGAAAATTATTTTATCATAAGATATTATTCACGAAAATGTGATCAAAATAAGTTAATAGAAAATTTTATAGCCGAAATGTATTTTAGTCAAAATATATTCCATCTGAACCATATTTTATCCGACAAATTTTAATCAGATATTTTTGGTAACAACTATCATTAGCTTATTACAAACATATTAAGAAGTATTTTATTATTATTATTTTATTGTTATTATTTTATAATTGTACTTAAATTGTTTTATATTGTCAGAAGACATATACAAATGTTTAAAAGATACAATATCGTAAAAAATACATACATTACAATATAATTCTGTATTATACAGTTTTTGAGTGAAAAAATAATTTAGGTATAGGTATTATCTATATAAGTAAATAAGTATAATGCTTTTATTTCTACAGTTCTGCGTATATGATATGGGAGCATGTTGCCAAGTTTTAAAAAAGAATAACGAATATAGTTTAGTTTAATATATATATATATATATACCTATTACTTATAAGTTATAGAACTTATAAGGAAATAAATATTAATACATTATAGATAAATAGTAGAAAACAAAACTACATTATATAGTAATAAAAAAAAATATATATAGTATGAAATATTTCAAAAAGACTTCAAACACTACATACCTATACGTTTCTGAAAATATATTTTTCATTTAAAATATTGTTCGAATTCCAACGAAATATTTTTGGACATTTTACTAGTTCCCATTAAATTCACAGCCCTAGTTATTATATTTTAAAACACAAAATTTATTTCTAAGTAGGTATTTAATTTCAATTGTACCAATATAAATATAATATTCATATTATTTCTTCTAATAGGTTACAACCAGTCAATATGTATATCAAAGAGCTTCTACTTATCACCATTATTGCTGCAAAATTCACTCTCGGACTCGTTCTTCACGATGGCAGCCCTGATTTTCCATTGCCATTAAAAACAAAACAGGTACTAAAATACAATTGTTGCAAAAACTATTGAAACATATCCAGTTTATTCCAATTCGTGTCTTATATCTGTTGATTATTTATAACAAAGTGTTCCGTGTTTTAAGACACCCAAGTTGAGAATGGGGGTTATTTTTCAATATTTTAGAATTAGGTAATGCTAGATTTTCAGAGATTCAGCAGAAACTATCTTTCACTTTTCCAATGGGAGGAGAAGTAACAGATTTAAAAAAACGGACTAACTTCGCATAATTGATGCAGTGACTGTTATTGGTCAGAAGTTGGGAATGGTAGATTATAGACGGGAATTTAATGTTTATCTGTACGTAACGATAAGCCATTGCTAACGAAAAAACGATCTTGAGTGGAGTTTGGTTGATAGTGTTGCTTTATCAATAATATATATTATATATGTTATATTATGGTAAAATAATTAAATATTTTCTTTAATATTATCAATTGTTCAATATTTTACCTATTATTCCCATATTTTATCCCAGTTTTTCCCATTTATTGGTAAAACTCTTGGGAAAATCAAAAAATGACTTTCTGAAAGTACCTCCCTAGTCAAATTTCCTTTTAGAAAAAGTGCTATCATTGTAAATTGTAAATCGAAAATTGATGGCAGAAAAGTTGTCTACAGAAAAAAAAAAAATAAATAAATGACATCATTGTAAAACCAATATATTCCTCGTTCCACTCAGAATATAAAAAGATCCATCAATTTAAAATCAAATACATTTAATATGCTCGGAGTTATTAACCTATAGACCAATTTTTCCTCGGCCCCCGTTTATCGGTTATCAGTGTCGGAACTAGAAATTTAGATTTCCGGGAATAAAAATACTGTACACCCTATATGATATTTCACTCTCTCCTTAAGACCCCTAATATTTATAAAATATAAAATTATTTTCTCCTTGTCTTCTATGATACTAAAAATTAAATTTAAGATGGAAATATCAGTTTTAAAATATAGTTTTTTAAAGTACAATTTTTTTTCCTCTCACTCACCTATCAAAAAAACGTATACAGTCAATATTTTAACTGATGCATATGCTCAGTTGCATATGCTCAGATGCATACTAATTATCATTATTAAAAAAAAAATTAAAATTAAAAAGAACAAAAGTTATTTCAGTTATCAGATATCCGTAATACACCCTGTATCCTTAAAAAGTAGCACGTCAGTATGCCCTTCAGCATTATCAGTATTTATATTTAATTATATTATTTGTTTTTAACTTATTTTCTATATTAAATTACATTGTATCAGGTACTTATGTATACGGGTTTTTTTTTTTTTTTTGTAGTTTTCACTCTTGCTTTTCTAAATTTGATAATGTCACATAACTACCTAGAAAGCGTTTTTAAACAAGAAATTAAATCAACAGTTGTCAGTTATTATAACAGTAATTATTACTCTATCGTCAATGCATTGCTCTCAAAAAGGTATACGACATATCTATATAAATATTTAAAAAATGATAGATAATTAGGATAAAGAATTTGTCTGATTCGTTCAATTTTTTTTTTATATTGTATTTTTTATATACCTATGACTATAATAAAGAAACTATATACATATAAGTACCGTAATATATAGAATGCCATTTACGTTAATAAAAAACATCATGTTTATAATTAATGGAAAGTGAATGATTTATAAAAAAAAATAGAATACATTTTTTTTTTTTTTTAATATTAATTACCTGTGTTTACATAGTTTTTATACATAAGAATGGAAAAAGTTCCAAGTTTCAAGTGTTTAAACATTAAGTATAAGTTAATAACTCGAAATTGTTAAGCATAGATAGGTTAGGTTAGGCTATTGAAAACAATTGTATCATACAGTAAAAAATATTTTTTATTGCATACCCTTGTGCATTGTTCATAATTATTTTGCTGAATTAATAATTTAATGAATCATCAAACAATTCAATTATAGTTAAATCATGGTCTACAAGTCGGTTTTGAAAAGTTTAATTTAAAAACAAAATAATACAGGATGGTTCACTAAATGTGCTTGCTCCATTGTATTTGGTTAATTTTTGCACACATTCAAATTCTGATTTTTGGCATTTTCAAGTGTAGTTAAAGCCAATATTTTCGATTTGGTGATACTAACTTTGGTTTTTCGAATGAGAATCAATACTAAAAAATCTATAAATAGATGGTATAGGTATTTATTTAAATGTTGGTGTTTAAATTGCTGATTTTCATCAAGCCATTGACGAGATATTCCACTTTTAATTTTAGGTAAGGGGAAAGTATAGTGGAGTACTAATAAACACCACATGCTAAATGATCCGTGGTCTATAGATATACATTATTAGCGCACACGCAGAATATTCACGTTCAGTTCTGCATTTAGATTTTCTTTTGGATAGGTCATGGGAGTTTAGCATAGGAGAACAAACATTTTAGATTCTGAATAGAGTGAGGAATGTATTGATTTTACAATGATGTTTATTTTTTATTTATTTTTTTTTCGGTGTACTACTTTTATACCAGCAATTTTGCCCAATTTATAATGATAACACATTTTCTGAAAGAAAATCTGACTGAGAAGTTATTTTAGAGAGGTAGTTTTTTGATTTTCCCAGGAGTTTACCCAATAAATAAATGAGAATAACCAGGAAAAAGTAGGAAAAACGGGAAAATAGGTACAATATTAAACAAATATTATTAAAGAAAATATATAATGCATATGTAATTATTTAACCATAAAATGACATATATATTGTTGACAAAACAACACTATCCGTCTATCCACCGAACTCCGCTCAGAATCGTTTTTTCCTTCGTCAGCAATGGTTTATTGTTACTTACACATATACATTAAATTACCTATAACAGTGGCTGCACCCGATATCACCAATATCCTAGGACACGTTTTTATAGTTTGAGGTTACAAGGAGTCTTGTCCATAGTTTGTAAAAATAAACAACAGTTCTATTTTCTATAACTTTAATTAAATAATTTGAATTAATATTTTACATAAATATAAATATTAAAAATAATTTGAAAATAATTGATAATTGAGTAATTTAAGAATAGAATATTCTTAGTGATGGAACAACAAATGATTTTAGTACCTAGTTTTCTGAAATTATAATAATCTGAACCAAAATGATTTCCATATCAATTTATTAGGTGTAGCATTTGATAAACCCAAAGCCTCATTTACACCATTTACGCCCCTATATTTCATATTTCGAAAATCTAAGTAAAAAAAATATTTATACTATATATATTATATTTTCAAGTAGGTTAGAAATTAGTAATAATAATTACAGGTATTATCCATAGCGAATTTACGTCATTAAAAATTAATACTCACCATTTGGAGATATTAATGTAATTATTATTCGTAGCATTTTTTATCAAGATAATCTAATTTTAAATTTTAATTTCGGAGTAATATACATTCATAAAAGTTGTAATCGGAAGTGCTTATATTCGGAGTTATATGTTCGATGTATATGAAAGTAGCAGTATATTTGTTGCAAACTATCAACCCGTTTATATCATTAGAGTAGGTATCTCTATGGTTCATAGTGGGGTCATAAAACTTTTTCATTCGAGAGCCACATGAAATATCAAAAGACCGTAGCGGGCCAAATTGTATGAACACATATACTTTTTAATTTTATAGAAATATATATAAACTTATAATTATTCAAAAAAGAATTCTTATCATACTTAAATAAACTTAATATCATTTTAATAAATATTGTTATTAAAGAGACGTATGAAATTGATATTTTTCTGTTAACATTTTATCAAATTGAGGTTCAATATTACTGGTTCCAATTTTCAAATATTGACTTCAAATGTTTGTCAGGCATGGCCGATCTATATTTTGATTTTATGTATTTCATTTAAGAAATAATTTGTTCACACAAATAAATGGTAGCATATATAGATACATGTTCAATTGCTAATTTTTTTAAATTTGAAAAATATCCTTTGAAGGGTCGGTTAAAATTTGTTTGCGGGCCGGATGTTTTATTTTAAAATGATTTTTAATTTTTTACTCTTATTCCATATACTTTAAAAAAGTACTTACGTATACTTCAAAGGGGACCTTCCCCCCTTTTGAACAGAGAATATTTTTCTGGACATTTTGATACGTGTAACACTAATATAAGATTTACCGTTTATGAATTTTAACAGTTTAAAGTTTAGACCGGAGGAGTAAGGAAGAGTTAGGGAACTTAACCGTGATATCAAGTATCAATTAATATTTTATCAATCTGATACGACTTATCAAAATAATTATTCTCATATTATTATTACTCTAAGGTCTCACACATTTAAATTTCAATTACTAATCTATCTAATTACTAATATACCTAATTACTATTCTAATTCATTATATTATTATTTATACATATATATATATATATACTATTTATATTTATTTTTTAAACATTTGTCTATTTATTACAAATAAATCATGGCTAAGGCTCTTAGAAAAGCTGCTGGATTTGTAATTTATAGAAAAACCGGTGATAAAACAATTGAATACCTACTTATGCAAGCTTCTTATGAAAATCATCATTGGACTCCTCCAAAAGGTAAAATTATTCAACAGAAAATTCAATAAGCTTTATTATTGGTTTATGTACACTATAGGTCACTTGGAGAAAAATGAATCTGACATGGATGCAGCTATTCGAGAAACTGAAGAAGAAGCCGGTATTAAAGTGAAAAGCATTGATATTCGCCAAGATTTTAAAAAAGTTTTAACGGTATTAATATATTAATATTTTTAAATTAATATGTTATTGTACAAACAATATTACAATTACCTAATCAAATTCAAAACATAAATAAATCTTTAACCCATATCTGAATCATAGTAAATACACAACAGATCAAAAGAATAGTTAGGAAGGTTACATTAAAATCATTAATTTATTATCATCATTTACTTTAGTAATTGAAGAATTGTCCCGATTAAGTGCTTGTCCTAATATTAACTGTTGACTCTATTAAACGTTGTCTTCTGTAATTTTAATAATAATGTTGCTGTGTAATATGATGATCATATTATCAGACCTAATATTTGAAATTTGATTTACACTTATTATTGATACATTTTTTTTTTCAGTATGAACCAAAAGATAAACCATTTACTAAACAAGTTACTTATTGGTTAGCTTATTTAATTAAACCTGATACGCCAGTTATATTATCTCATGAACATCAAGATTACAAATGGTTGTCACTGGTAGAAGCTAAAGAAAAGGTTGCATATCCTGAAATGCAAAACTTATTAGATGAATGTGAAAACTACTTAACTATTACTAATTTTAAATAGTTATTAACATTGCCTTCTTATTAATAAAATATTATTGTTTAAAATATGTTTATTTATATACAAATACACATTTAGTACATCCATATTTGACTGCATCATTTTGTACAAGCTATTTCAGCTTTTCGAAACTTGTAACACTATCTGTTAAACTTTCAATCACGTTTTTAAACTTTTTAAAATTATTTGCATAGAAAAGTGCAACATTTAACCATGTTCCACATCTTCTAATAACAGATTCGAGGGGTAAAGGTATACCCGGCATTTCTTTTCTGTATTTATTTATTCTCGATGGTGCTTTTAGGAAAGCTTTTTTTCCTGAAATAAACGAAATAAGTTACATATGTATTTAAATTTTAAATTGGAACTTAATATATTACCATTATTAATCAATTAATTAATGTCGGGATACAAATCTTGAATATTCTCTAGACCCCTAATAACTGCGTGCACCATACATGTAATATGAATTAATTTCAGGAAAAATATTTTGAATGTTTTTGCTGCTTTGATCATATAAGTATCAGCATTACAAATAAAAAGTAGTAGATTGTAGTAGTAGGTTGTTTCAGCTATGTAAACTTAATTATTTCCAATATCACTAATTATTTGGTCAATAACGTTTTTATAAATATTTGGTATGTAATTTTTTCTTAAAGTGCTTTTATCCATAATTGATTTGCCAGTATTTTTTTCCAAAAATGGTCTTAACACGATTACTCAGCTTTTGCAAAGGAATATTTGCAGCGACAAATGAATTACATAAATCTTCAAAAAATACATTTTTATTATTCAAATTTCGAGAAGTAATCAAAAGCTGTTTTTTTTCTTTATTCCTTTGTAACGCATTTTAGTGTTGAACTAAAAAAATATAAAACTTACTTGCTTTGGAATGATGATCTAATATATTTATTTTTTTTTAATAGACACAGATTTATTACATACAAGACAATATACAAACTTAAAAATACTTCTTTATTTTCATTGTAAGGAGCAATCCAATTCAAAAATTTTTTTTTTAAATTTGATTTTATTTAAGGCGTTACGTCGAATACTCTTACTATGTAATCAAAGAAAAAGGTGTTAAGGTACCAACAGGTAAATGCACACGAATCGCTGAACTACTACATTGAATTTAATTACCACTATATATGAGGCCTTCAGTACAATAACGGACTAACCCAAAAAATTTTCATATTGAGTTAATGCCATTAATATCAACCATACACCATAGAATTTCATGCAAAATCGGTCTAAGCCACCTTTACTTAATATTCACTAGATGGAAGCACCTAAACTGTTATTGCATTTCAATATAATAAATAATTTTAAGAGCAAGAATGGACCAAAGCGGGTTAGTCCATTTTTATATTCTCAGTTTTTACTTAATATGGGATAGTCCATTTTAGACGTCTTTTTACAATGCAAATACGCATGATATTGCTTTGGAATCCACAACATGGGTAATGTTGACGTTTACATGTTTCTTTGGAATGTGTCGGTTGCCTCTCGAGGCCCCCAGGAAATCGGATCTTGTGTTTTGTATTTTTTTCAAAAAATTTGTTATAACAGAACATTTAATTATGTATTCCGATCAGTGTGGTGGTCAAAATCGCAATATTAAGCTATCTCTTTTGTGTCAGTATATTATTTCTAGTCCTGAATACACAATTAAAAAAAAAGATCATACATTTTTGGTCAGTGGACATTCATACTTGCCATACGACCAGGACTTTGGTCTAGTTGAAAAACAAAAAAAAGATGTTTTCAAACTTTTTTATTCCAGAACATTGGAATAACATTATTTTAGCAGCACGCAAAAGAAACCCCTTTAAAATTATTTGTATGAATAGGAGCGATTTCTTTTCCCCAAAAAAAATTAGAAAATAATAACACACAAGATTTTATATTCAGCCATGTTTTATTTGTGTGTCTGTTGTACTATTATTAAGTACCTGATAATGATAAAACTGGCTGTAAATACACAAAACCTATTCCAATGCTCTAGGTTTTTTTTTTTTCATATTTATTTTATATATACCTAAATGTATACACTTTAATTCTGAGCATAGTAGAGAATGTACTAGTTTTACAATGGTTTTTTGTATTTGTAAAAAACTTTTGGACCAAAAATCATGCTCCAATCAAAAATATCAAATGACTTTGTTGCATTTTAGAACTAGTTAGTGACCAAAATACAGAATACAGAATACAAAAATAATTAAAAACATTTGCGGAATTATTTTAAGTTACGAGCAATTTTAAAAATGCAAGTATGTTACTATACACAATACATGGAAAAAACAATGTAGCACGAGAATTACTATGCAAAAATTATGGCTATTCTAAGTTATATATATTTCGGTACCTAATTGCTTAACCGTTAGCCTTGTCGTGTATATCAATGATGTTTTGGTTTACCTTTAAGATACTAACTAATTTTAGCAATATCAGGTTTAAACCCATAGATAGTAGGTTGCTATATTTCTCCCCCTTCCTATGAAGAAAGCCACACATAAAGTCAGAAAGTGTAACGAGCTATTCCCCACATACATAATTGTGTAATAGTTTACTATCTAAAAGAATAGTTTAAATCCTCCCTATAATAGATAAATCTGTATTGAATATGAAAATTAATAAAATTAGAATACATGCACAGGTAAAATATAATTAATAAATGTATTATGGATAACTTGAATTAACAGATAACAATGACTTTATGCACTTTAAAAATAAGCCATTGATTAATAAATTATTTCAATACAGAGAATTCTGCTCAAAAGTATTAGTTTCTTGTAATAACCAAATGATGTTCCAGAAAATAAAATTACAACTGTACAAAATTATTGGAAAATCAAATAAATGAAATATTTAATAATTTTATGTTCTACATTTAATTTTGTTTAAATTAACCAACTAATTTAAAAAAAAGATATTACTAATAATACTTGTATTCGATAGTAGATAATATATTACTTGATATTAATATAAACACACAGGCACACACTCATATTCATATATTTTTAGAGTATTTATTTATATAGAAAAATAAGATTTGTCCTGCCAAGTATTACATTTTTTAAGGAATAAAAGTATAAAATAAAAATAAACATATTTTATGGAACTTAATTATTGAATTTTGTCAATTGTATTAATATGAAGAAAAAAATGTAAATAGTTTGAACACAGTTTAAAAGTAAATACTTTTCAAAAGTTTTAAACAGACAGTACTTTAATATTATTTAAAATTAGAATCAATATAATCTGATATATATATAATATATATCGATAGAAAATAAATCATTAACTTCTGTAATACTCTAATATAGAATCAGGCTCTTTACTTGCCACTTTCGAGAGCAATGATTTCAGCCAACACTTTGGACTTCTTGGATATTTTCACACGTTGATCTTTATCGATTTTGCCACCTTCTGCAACTTTAAGTTCGAGCTCATCAATAGTTTTCAACTTCTTTTTAAGGTTCCTAATTCTCTTAGCTGCTTCAATTGAAATTTCAACAACAGGTGGAGCTTTAGGTTTAGTTTGGGCTTGCGTTTTAGTTTGAGTTTGTGTTTTAGGTTGAGCTTTTATCTTCACCTCAGTTTTAGTGCCCTTATCAGTCTTTTTATTAGCTGTTGTGCCATTTTCCTGTACTGGAGAAGCTACTGGTTTTTTTTCAGCCTTTTTGACTGGAGTTCCATTTGTCAATACTGTAGATGGTTTTTTTTCATTAACTTTAATTGGTTTGTTCTCTTTTTTAGTTTCCTTTTTGTTTGCTTCTTTCTTACCATCTTTTTTGGCATCCTTCTTACCATCCTTCTTTGATGGTTTTGGAGGTTCGGGATACAAAACTCTAAAAAAAAATATATGTATCTATGAATAGAATCTAGGACATCATTTTTTACACATTTTGATCACAAATCAGATTAAGTGAATAATTATTTATATAAAATTGAATTATACTGTACTTTTTAAAGACGCATTTTATTGGCATACAAATTTAAAATGTTTGATTTATTCTTTTGCAGAAATCATTATTAAAGAAGTTATGGCAAAAACTTTGTAACTTTGACCAGTAAAAACAAAATTATTTTCGATTTAATGCCAAGAGAAAAATAAATGGAAGTTGCTAAAGGCTTGGTCTTTAGTGAGGGTTGGGTTTAAACTTATGAAACTATCCTCCTTACAGCTGTATCAGATTGATAACAATTATCCACCCTATTAGATAAAGATATTTTTTTTCCCTATTTTTCCTTTTTACCCAACGGTAAACTTACAATTGGTCCATGTAAAAAAAACCACTGTGCATAATCAATTGGCCCCTGTCATAATTTTTTAAATGTACAATTGGTCCCAGGCTAATTCTTTTTTTTTTTTTTTTAAATTAATTAAAATATTACCTTTTTGGATAGGATGTTATTATTTGTCCTATTTGTTTAATTATTATTATTTATAAATTATAATTCAGTTTTAACTTCATAATAATAATATAATAACAATAATGATCCAAGTATTCTAAGTTTACATCTTATTAAAAATGTAAAATCTTTAACAGGGGAAGTTTTATTTTCTCATGCATGAAAACTAATATCTATTTCAAGTTTTAATATCAACTTTTAAAAAAGATAAACTTATTAATAATTTTTAATTAGTGTTAAATGTTAATATTAAATATAAACAGTACACTTTAAAGTTCAAATTCAAACAATATTATAGTACATTTTTCATGTTTCAAAATTACAATTATGTAAACTTTTAAAAAAATGAGTATTTCATATGTATGAGTGTGAAAAATATTACTACTATTATTATAGGTATTTCATAAATATCTTGTTAGTGAAACCCTAATTATTGAATTATACAAATAAAGCCAGGAAATCCATTGTTCTTTTCGCGAGGACCAGTTATTGTCCTAGATCTCTAACCGACAAAAGATTTTGTCCCTTATTTTGTCTTACAAATCGCAGTTTATTTTTGTTTTTGTAAGAATGACATAAACCTGTGAAGCAAACATATGAAAGACTTTGTTTTGCAATTAGTTGTTTTTTTTTTTTTTACTTTGATATTTAACCGACATAGTTATATTTAAAAAACTGGGACATTTTATTTTTAGTTTTTCACAACTCATTCAATTAAAATAATAGTTTTAAACAAATTTTAAATGCACCATCATCTTCAAAACTAAAAACCTCATCTTTTCAAAGAATAAAAAATAATTTTGAAGATTTTAAGTTGAAATACTACACTATAAAAATTTGAATTATTTTATTTATAAATTCCTTAATAATTGTTTCCGTAAAAAATTAAAATATTTTCAAAATCAACATTGAAACAAGTCTTCAAAAGAAAAAAAAAAGAAAATTTATGAGGGGTGAAGTTTCATTTGATTTATTCCATATGGAAACCATTATTGACCTAATTGAAATCATGTTATGATTTGTTTACAAATAAATTATTAATATGATTTATTATTAATCAATTGTTTGAATTGTTTTTTAATCTAAAGTACTTTTTTTTTTTTTATAGTTCTTAACTTGGAGAATTCCTTTAAAAAAAATCAATGTTGATGTCAAAAAAATTCAACAACCATATTTTATTGTTTTACAAATAAAAAAATTGAATTGTCGCTTTGTTATTGGAAATACAAGAAGTTTATAGGTATATTTGATTTTATTCTTTTATACACAATATATGTAAATTTATTATTTTGAAGAGAAATTCCCATTTACATATCAAATTTCTACACACTGAGCCATTGATAAATCTTAACTAATATTATAAAGATAAAAGCTTTATTTTTATGTTTGTTTGTAATGGATAAGCTGAAAAGTACATAACCGATTTTAAAACCTACAAATCACCCATAAAAAGCTACATTGTCAACAAGTATCATGGGCTATATTTAATTTTAAAAAAAATTAGAGATTCCTATAAAAATTGCAATGATACCCAAGGTATCAAAAATAACGACCGAATAATGTACTACATGTTTACACCTAGTACTCATCACTATCACAATAAATGTGTATTGTAATAATTAATATGAACATTTTAATCATTATTGTCATTGTTATCAGTTCATTAATATTATTCTTTCTTATTTCTTTGTGTAATTATAAAAAAGACCGACGAAGTCGTGACTACTATATGAACATGTCTTGACAGACTGATTCATCATCGGATGGATCAACCTGAAATTTGGCATAACTTAACTATTATGGCATAGACATCTGTTAAGAAAAGATTTGTGAACATTTAACACCTAAGGGGGTAAAATAGGGGTTTTTAGTTATTATTTTGGGTATCTAATTGTTTATTAAATTATTTTTGTTTATTCAACAGTTGGTGATACAGATGATAATTTAGTTGTCATGGGCAAGAAAATTACTATTATTAGTATTTTCATTATTATATAAGAATGGCGAAGCATTCCCATATTAACTAATTATTTAATAATTTCAATTATACTTATATATATCCAAATCTACTGGTTGAAATGACAACCATATAATATATATTATCATATTTATATATGATTACAGTTGTGACTGGATTAATACTTACTCACATAAATGGGTAATTAATGGGTATTAATAATTTTTGTTGGGTATATGTTACATATAGTAAAAATTCTTAGATTCTGATTATTTTTTTTTATCCTTAAACAAATATTTTTAAGCCTTTATTCATACATTTTTTCTTTTGAAAAAATGAACCGTATCAGTTTGGATACTTAACAATTTAATAATAACTAGTGAATTTAATCTCTAGATTGATTCAATGAAAATTATTTAGATATAGAGTTATTATAAAACTTTAAAATGTATTATTGAAACCTTCACTTATAATATTTATTTAGTTGAAGTCTAGCTCTTGGGTTCAAAAAAAATAAAATAAAAATGTAACAATATCGAAAATCCACCCTTATATTTTTTATTTCACTCCCTTACAAGATTCACGTTTTGCAGTCAGAATATCTATTTTCCTATTTCTCGCAATAATATGGGAAATTTGTACACATGTCTTAGGTCCGCCGCAATATGATTTCATTATCAATACACCGGCGTCAAAATGTCAAAAAACCATAAAACGATAAATAGGTTATTAGTAGTTAAAAAATTTTCCGACCAATTTTCGTGGTACTATATGGTTCTGTAGCTTCACAATCACTGGTTTTATTTTATGTAAGAGTTTGTAGCAAAGATACCTATTATACATAATTTATTACATTACGTATTATGCATCTATATTTTAATTTATTAATCTATATTATTTTAGAATGTGAAAGGAAACCTTGCATATTATTGCGAGACATTGGGAAATTAATATTATGACTGCAAAACATGAATGAGATAAGGAAGGAGAAGAGAAAATACAGGAATGGTTTTTAGATATTTTGACAATTTTTTTTTGAACCCAAGAGCCAGACTTCAACCATTTGTTCTACCTGATTCTTTCTTTGTATCATTATACACATTTCTTAATAAAGAAGAAATATAAGTGAAGACCTTCCTAATGTCAAACCATTTGATTTTGTAGTTCTCTTATAGGTTCCATTGTCGTACGATTGAAAAAATGTATAACAATAGACAATAATTTGTTGGTAACTTAATCTAACCATTTAGGTACATGTTGTACAATTTAATTAGAATTTTATCATAATAATCCGAGTAATTGGTGGTAGTTTTGAACACAATTATAGATTTTAACGGTACCTAATTCAGTACTTTAATTGCAATGAGTTTTGGTAAAATATTGTGATTATCTATAATATTTAAGGGAATATTTGGAAATTTATTATTTATAAGAAAAAATTAAACACTTAGATAAAATAAAAAATAATTTCCTTTACAAATAAATGTTTAAAACATATGATGGACATAATTGTCTACTATTCAATCAAACTGTGTAAAAAATAAAAAAAATTGAAAGGATAATGCCTATTAATATTTTTTAATGGGAAAATATGTCCAATCTACTGCTCAAATCGGAAGGGGGGAAGGAAATATCCACGGGTAAATGTCCGAATACCAAATTAAATTTGAATAATTGTTTGACAAATTATAAACTTACTTAATGATGGCTTCGAGATTAGTGATATCCTTAATGACAGCATTTTTACTGGAAATTTTTTTACGTTGGTCATTATCAATTGAATGTCCTTCTGCTACTTTAATTTCTAACTCTTCGATATTTTTCAACTTCTTCTTAAGATTTCTACAACGTTTCACAGGGTCAACTCCTGGCTCATCTCCCGAATTCTTTTCTACCGGTTTAGTCTGTTCTTTTTGCTTTTGTACCTCAGGCATTTTGATTTTCTGGGGTTTGGGTTGTTTTTCCGTAAGAACTTGCTTTGGTTGTTGTTGTTTAGATACCGCAACCATTGGAGCACCTGGGGGTAATTGAGGTTTGCTGGCAGAAAACTTTTTCCCTTTAGATTCGTAAAGTGCTACTTCGTCCTGAGGAATATAGTTCTCCTTGAGCCGCCGCTCCTTACGCCAAGTCCCGTCGGGTCGCTTAGTAGCTGGAACGTAGTAACCCTTATCGTCTTTTAAAATAGCAGAAGTTTGCTCCAAATATTGATGGGCCATTTGCTACTTACCAACACTCGTGAAATTCCAAATAATGGACGAAAATTACTTGGAAAATAAACTGCAACACAACGCTTCAAATGAAATGTTACAATATACAACCAATACGTCCAAAACCAAAAACTTGTAGCGTGTTCTTCTCATAAAAAAAAACGTTATCATAAAACCGCCGTTGCTACAAAGAATAAAACAATGTCACCAACCTATGTTAAGTAATTACCAATGAGGTTTCAAATATTTATTCATTTATCTTTTGAAGTTTTAATTTTTTGAAATTTATTTCATGGAATTAAAATTGTTGACAATTCTTTGATATTTAATACTTAAGAAAGATATTACTTTTTATATTTCATAAAAATGTCTCTAAATAGTAACATACATATATAGTACAAAAAAAAAAATTTTTTTCCTTTATTAAATTACTCAATATAGGTATCATGTATACCTATATATATTATACCTAATATACCTATCATGTAGTTTCTAGAATTATAATTAAGAACGTTGGAAAAAACTAGTTTTATAGTAGTTATTCCTTTATATAAAACAAATTTTTTTTTCTAAGAAAAACTTATGAAGTTACATAAGTAATGTTTTGTAACAATTTTTATTTTAATACCTACTTATGGCTATTACTAATGATTTTATAATATGCTAGCTATTTTACCACCTATTTTTTTTATAAAAATGATATAGATTAGTATTTTTAGTAAAATTATTTAATTTTATTCAATTAAAATTTTGTATTAAACTATTAGTTATTCTAGCTTTTATGAAAAAATCAGCAAAATAATTATATACTAAAGTTTCATTACATTTAAATACTAGTTAAATTATGAGTTATTTATGTAATTATAGTCATTAAAATGAAATTGTTTTATTAAATTAAATTATTAAATAATAATTATTGTTTTTTAATTAAAATTAAAATATTAATTATTTTGAAAATTTTAAAGTTTAATAAAATTTTAAAACTTACCCATATCTTTTCGAACAAAAAGTCGAAAATCTATAACCTGTATGTTATTATAATAACAGAACTATTACTCATTTAATAATTAGTACCGACTATTTAATATACCTATTAGATTATTTCCAAATAAAATAATGACAAGAGGTTTTTTGTATCATCTTGGATATAATTGATGCATGGGTGAAGACATATTTTTGATTTCCTAATTTTTTTTGATTACTTATTTTATACTTTAAAAAACAAGAAAGTTTACAGAATTAATAGTTTCATTACTAAAAAATAATCATAGATATCTAGAATTTTTACAGAATACTTATATTATCCTTTTCTAGACTTAGTACAATTCTGACTATATTTGAGCTATTTATAGTCATTTAACTTTTTGAGATTTTAAGTTTTTATTTAGTTTAATGTAGATAAAATTATTTGATTTGAAAATTGAATGCTAAGTTTATTATAAATTTAACTTAATATTAAAAATAAAAAACACTAAAATTGAATTTAATTTATATATTTTTTAAATTTTGATAAAAATCTTAAATCCTACACTCTCAGTTTTTTATCAACAGTGACACATCCATCAACAGTATCATCTCATTTTCTAGTTATTGTTTAAAACTTTATTTACAGTTGTTCTTCAAGATATAAGTTAGTATAAAATTATAAAAACAAGTATTATAATGACTAGTTATTATTTTACATTTGTATTTGCTACATTTTTATTTATATTACATACTTTTGTGTAGTAGACACAATACTTACTAAAAAATATAAACACCATAATATTTAAGTATCAATATATGTAACAATAATGAAATCAAAATAAAAGGGGTGCTGTTTTATTATATGTTACCCAATTATGAAAGAGCTAATTTTCAAATTTTGCTTTCTCATTTTTTGGACTATCTGTGGTGGTAATAAAACGCAGTTATGATCAAAAATGTTATTTTTTCATCAAAAATTTTAATAAAGAATATGTCATATCTGCATGTGCTATCTCAGTACAACTAACGGGCAATATAGCAAAATCTACCTTACGCAGACTGTAAAGCTCGTTTAATTTTAGTTTTAAAGTAAAATAATCACCTTTTATAAAATTAAAAGAAAACAATATTGCGGAAGACAAGGCGGCACCTATTATTCTAGTTATTATTCCAAATATAACACTCAATACATCATTTAGAAATAAAGACTAATTTATCATTTTAAAATTACTGCAACATTTCAAAAAAGAAATTTTAAAATAGAAACTTATAATTTTACTCTTCAGATTGTTGTCTTCTGTTAATTTTTACTAAAGGTGCCTTTATTATAAAACCAAAATTAAGCAAGTTCTACACAGTCTACATAAGATAGATTTTACTATATTTCCCATTAATTGGACTAATTAGTTGCATGGTTAGTTACACAAATGAGTAACAATTTCTTAAAAATAAAATGAAATAAAATAATTATTAATAATAATTAATTTATATAATTAGGAGATATTGTGAAACGAGTATCTTTGTAAATACACTGGAGCTTAAATTATAAAAAAAAAACAAAATAAATAACCCGTTAGGTAGGTAACACCAAACATAAATAAAGGTATGGCTTCAAGGCCATACCTATATCTGTGTTGAACTATTTTTCTACCTTAACTCAAAATTCTCAAATTTTTTAATACAATTTTTATATCATATGTAATCTGAAAGTTTGCTAACTACTACAAATATGGAAAAAGATTAAATTATTTTCCAATGGCAGAAAATAACCTTTTTTAGTAAATTAAATAAATTATTTAATTCTTAAGTTAAAACAATTTTGAAAAATTAAATAAATTATTTAATTCTTAAGTTAAAACAATTTTGAAAAATTAAAATTTCTTTTAAAAAATTAATTTGTTAAAATTACCTATTTGCAGCCTCTAAAATACTGCATGGTCAGGATTTTGACGGGTCCCATCAATAAAGTTACCATTTTTTTTTTTTTAGCATTGATTTTGGAAAGTTTTTAAATTTTTTTAGAGTATTAAAAACCCTTAGAAGTTTAGAAGCATATCAAACATTAAATAGTAGGTAAACAAATAATACTAATTTATGTATTTTTTGATTCTGAAAACAGTTATAATTTTCATAATACTATACAGAGTGATCAATCTATTGTAACACTCATTATCTTGGAAAGTATAAACTTTTTTCGGAGTTCATTTTATAAAGAATTTAAGAACCTCTTTAGCTCGAGAGATTTTAAAATGTTGTGTTCTTTAACTAAAAAATATATAATAATATATTAATACAGCTTAAATATAATTTAGAATATTTCGATATTCGGTATTAGGTACCTTGGTTTGTCCCAGTAATTGGCATGTGTATTTTGCATTATCTGACAAATTTTAATCTTGATAGTATATTAATATACAACAAAGTAAAATATACCAATTCATATTTTAATAGATTTTAAATTTAAATAGATATTTTGTTATTTTATGTTTGATGGACAATAAATTGGGATGATAGATACCTAATTAATACTGTAGAAAAAATAAAAATAAGTAAAACAAAATATTATCAATGTCTTAGCTATTTGTGGTTAATTAACTTTAACATAAACATACTGTAAACAAATTTATTGGTGTGTACTTTTCTTCAAATAGTATGTATATAAATTATGAGTAGAAACCGGATTTATATTCTCTTATAATCTACAAAAAGGGGCTTTAAAACATCAAAAAATCTCTGAAAAAAGCATTTACAAACATTTAAAAAAGCAAAAATTATAGAGGTTCTTAAAAGTCTCTCCACTAATGGATTTAACTTATTAAATTAAATTTTCTAACACTACAAAGTTGATACAAAATAATCTTTAAAATAAAACTGTATGTATTATAAAAAAAAAATTACATTTCATTAATCATTTTTGTGGTGTTAGAAAATTGTATTTATAAATTAAATCCATTAGAGGGAGGACTATTAAACCCTTCTATATTTTTTTTGTTTTTATGTATTTTTTTCAAAGCTTTTGGTGTTTTCAAGTGTTTTTTTGGATTTTAAGAACATATAAATCTGGTATCAAAACTATTAGTAAGTATAAAAAATAAAATTTACTTGTTTTTGAAAAATCAGGCTTCACTGAGGCAGGAAAAAAATATCTCTATACTTAACAATTGGCCAAGAAAATTTAACAAATACAATGATTATATTAATGTGTGTATGTTGTAATAATTACACAACATATTTTTTTATATCAAAAGTTTATAAAAGAATTTCAAATTGTTTTATTAATAATTATTACCTATAATATATTACAGACCCATTTTGCATTCTAACTGTGTGACTGCATAGGGCGATGGACAACGAATAGGTTATTGACTATTAGTCGACTTATTTATCCCATAAGGGATACAGCAAGTAGCAAGAGTGACTTCGGGCAGGCTAACATACACCTCCACACAAGAAGAATGGGAAAATAATCTCCCAACTAACAGGAATTTAGTTAATGATGTTCAATTCCACTCAGCCAGGATTGCCCCTCCCACACAGAATAATGACTAAACCGAATTCGTACAGGGCAAGGCCGGTATAACCATCTAATGCACAAATGGCACATAAAAGAGAATCTAAGATGTAACTGCGGAGCGGAAGCACAAACAATGTACCACATAGTAATGGAATGTGAAAATAGGTTTAATGGAACTTTTAAAGATCTACATGCAATGACGACAATGCACTACAATGACTAGATAAACTGGATGTGGATATCTAACAACAATGACAAAAGGAAAAATTAATTGACATATTATTACATATAACCTAAGAATAATAAAATATAACATTTACTTATTAAACTGTTACTATTTTAAACTATTTATTTAACTGTATTATTCTAAGTTATATTTATATGTTACTATTTATATATATATTTATATAATGGCATACTATATTTGCATTCTTTAAGGTCATACGAAAATAAAAAAATTAACGGACCCATTTTTCCTACCATTCAAACAATCCTTAAATTCACATATAGATTATTAAAATAAATATGTAACACTGTAATCTTTAACTAAATGTAGTTAATGATAAAATGTAATCTAATCAAGCCAAGTGGTATTATGAAAAAAACAATGAAATACACTAAAATTCACTATAACTGGTTTAATTTGAAAAAACAGAGGCGGCTTAAACTCACAAGAATTATGGAGAGTAGGGTTAAGGTTTATGATTTTAAGTCTCCAAAAAGAAGCATAGATGTTTTTATATGTTACTTGAAATATTATGTGTAACAACTAACAAGTTATGAAGCTTGTTTATAGTATTTTGTTAATTAGTGTTCTTAAGTATCTATTAATTTATAAATATTTTAAATTAAAAAATTACTTTTAATTCAAATTCTGACCATAGTGAAGAATGTATTAGTTTTATTGTGATGTTTCATTTTTATGTCTGTGGATAAATTCACTTTATAAATTAAATAACAACTTACAGTTACTTAAATTTCAAGTAACACATAAAAATACCTATGCTTTTTTGGAGACTTAAAATCCAAACACTGATCTTTATTCCATTCAAATGCAGAGGGACCATTTTCCCAGGCTCTGGTAATAAAGTGACAACTACATAGTTTATTATTCTCCATTGGGAATGCATCATCTCTTCAACAAGATAATAAAATAGTTAGTAAAAACAAAACAAGTTGATGTAGTCAGTTAATAAGAAAATTTTATTAAGAGTAAACCATTATATGTTTAAAACATTTAGATCTAATCATAGCAAAGAAACCACAATTTTGTTGTTAATTAAATTACCAATTTCATAAAATTCTATACATCGTATCATACTATCATAAAAGATATGTATTTTTCACGAGCATTTCTTTACAGCTTAGCAAATTGGCTACCGTGTGTTCAGCTCCCCTTATCATACCATTATGACTGTACGCGAATTATTGTTATCACTAGTCCCCACAAATTTGTTATAGCCACGGACTAGGTAAATCTAGGTATATCTTAGTCTGTGATCATAACTGTACTATTATCAAAAATCAAATGTATTAATTTAAAAGTGATGTAATTGACAATTGTAACTACAAACTAATAGGTAGGTATCCAATTTTGATCATTATATATTTAAATAGTTTTAAAATTTTAAAGTAATATATTATAGTACTTTTAGGATATTAATGAACGAATACATTATGAACATTTATAGTCTTATTATTGTCATCTTTAAGTCCAGAAATAATCGCATTAACTTAATTTACAGAAGGCTTTACAATTGATATTTTGCTGGATTTTTTCTTTGTTTAATGAAGCCGAAGTTGTGGATCTATTTTCTTTTGAATACTGATTTCTTCAATTGTTTTTAAGTGCGTTTGTCCTCCTTCATTCATAATTGCTTAATTTTTGCCAATTTTTTTGAACAAGTGAATTGAAATTCCATAATGCAAAGAGGGAGAATAGTACCTCTATTATCCTTGAATAATATATTATCATTAATTTAATTATGAGTTTTAAGTTTAATTAATATAAAATACTTATGTTTATGAATAATATAATAATAATATATTAAAATTATACCTAGATTTAAATACGTGTTTAAATTTAATAATTAATTATTGTAGCAAACTTCCTACTCTTACTACAAGCTTTCCTCATAGTGAGTTAGAATCAACGCGAAATTAAAAACTAAATATTTTATGTATGTTATAAATTGATTCATCAATTAATCATTAATTTATTTATTCAATTAATCGAAAAGTAATACCTTTACTACTATCCAATATTGAAAATATAAAGCATATTTTCCAAGTTGGAACAGTGACAACAAATAAAACAATAATTTAAATTCAAGCGCGCATAATCAGATTATCTTATTTGAAAATAACAGTGATAATGATATGATAAGGGGAGTTGCACGCATGACAGCCGATTTGCCAAGCTGCAATGAAACAATTTCATTTTTCATCCTGCGTTTGTTTTATAGAGTAATACTATTCTATGGTTTGTCTGAAACATTTTCTTGATTTCTAACAGATTATATAACAATTGATAACACAATGCTAATACATGCAAAGTTTATAGATAATACTATTATCTATAATGACTAAGATAACATAGTCCGTGTACTCAGTGATTGTCTATAAACTTAAGATATATACTTGATATCACGGTAGATATTATCTACTGTACTTGATATATACATTATACAATTGTATACGATCTAAGAATAAATACTAGGTCTGATTTTATTGATATTTGGTTATCTTTATAACACGAAGAAAATAATGACTAACATCTTTCTAGAATTTTATTGTTCTCTTAACATCAGCATGTAAAATGTAGGACTTCATGTATCACATATACCGATATGATAATTGTGTCGGTAAATGGAAAAGTTTCCGGGAAAAAAGTCACAAAATACAAAAACCAATACATGTTTCAGTACGCTTCGAATCTTAAAAAATAATAAATGAATATTTTATCGTATGGTATTTTATATTTTTTATATAAATTAGTATACGTATGCCTATGTATTGCAATTTTGTTATTTTCTTTAATGGATTTAAGAATTTCCATGGTTCACTAGTAAACTCGTACAACTCAAAACACGAACTGAATACATATAATTGGAGGTTGATATCTACCAAGGTTTATAGTTAATACTATCTATATGTAATACTGTCAATTATTAACTATAAACCTTGGATATCTATTACCTATATCAAACTGTTTAACTCATATTATGTATCAATTGTCATCTACTACAGATAAGATTAGAAACCCCATTTTATTTTATAAATCAAATAACAAGTACAGTAAAAAATACCATTTAAATTTAGGTAGGTACTTACAACATTTTTTCATATCTTTAAAAAAAATTTGAAGCCGTAACAACTGATATATTATATTTTTCAGTAACTTTTATTACTGGATACTTTTTATCCAAAACTTTTTTCCTAATATCAATGTGATCGTACCTGGCATTGATTTTATAAAATCAATGTACTTAGTTATTCTATCATGAGTACAATTGTTTAATGAAGCATGAATTCCATGTACTAAATTTAAAAAATTATATTTTTTTTTAAACACTAGTCTGCCTAGTGAATAATAAAATAATTAAAAATCAGTAGTTATAACATATCATCATTTAATTTCATGCCCCTACATTGAGCTGTATTAGTTATGCCAATATGATTAATATAATAAATTTAAGTTTTGATCAATATTAATATTTAACATTTGTCGTCTTATTGCTGCAGTTAGTTCAATTTTGAGATTGGTCAATGCTATATTAATATCATCAACGTAAATTCTTTTTTTCATTAAATTATCAATAGATTGCAAATGTTCCAGCATTGTTTCTTCATAGTATTTAACTGCATTATCCAATTCTTCATTTCCTTTAACAATACTTTCTTGATAACGTTTTTTAATTTCTTGATTTTTAAGTATTTGATCTTTAGGTATATTAGTTCCTTTGGTTATTTCATTTCCTTGTTCTATAAATTGTATAAGTTTTGTTATGCGTATAATATAATATATACTAATAATTAATTAGTATTATATTATTGAAAATATCTACCTATCATTATTTAATATTTAATGAATACATAGGTATAAAAAATAAAATAAATATGTATTCTTACCATTAGTTAAAAAGCATTCTTTCCGAAGACATTCAATTAATTTGTACTGTTCTGTTAAGCATCGATCATTTCCAATATTTTGTTCTTTTAAACATGCATAATTTAAAGCAATACCTTTGGTTGGATATTTTTTTGCATATAACAATGTATCTTGTATTTGTTTTTTTGAGAATCCACAAATATAATTTTCTTCTGAATCTGCAGTTAATGAATATTCATATGTTTGACAAATAACTATCAAAAGGAAACTAAGTTTCATATTAGAGTGAATATAATTCATTTTTTTAATATACACTTTATTTTAAAACATATTAACCAACAAGTTTTAAAGCATAAACCAGGATATTTTAGTTTATGTTATACCTAGTGATTTATGTCAATTACAATTTTATTCTAATCCATAGATATTATATTAATTTATTATATATTAGATATGTGTATGCCTATATATTTTTTAAAAATGATCATGATAACATAAACGAATAGTCAAGCTTTTTTTTTATTATTTATAATAAACAATATTTTAATATTAAGATATCTTGTAGCTATAGCTACAATATTATATACTATAGTTACTTCATTTTTTTTTTTAGTTTTATTAGGAAATAATGGATGTTAAATAAATTAATCAATGTTTGATAGAAAAATAACATTTAATGATTACATTATATGACATGATTCACAATTATTTTATGAAGTACCTGTAACAAATAGTCCTGAAAACAAATAACCACTTCCGTCATCCATTGTAACATCAGGATGTGTTCTATTTGGAAGTACTTGATGATGTCTCAGAAAATTATCAGTTAGTCGAAGAAATACTAAATCCCTTCTCATTTTGAATTCAGCATACATAGTAACTAATATTTCTTTGTATGCTGAATAAACAACAAAAGGTCTTGATAAAGATAAGTACGGTAAAAGAATTTTAACAAACTCATTTGGTTCTTCTCTGCATACTACAATAAGACCATCAAATTTATTTGATTGTATAAAATTTAAACCATCTGTACTAGTTATTGGCCGATGTTTTTTCTTTAACTGTGTATAAGCTTCATCACTTTTTCTTTTCTTATCGTCTGAACAATTAAATACAACTTCCTCGACTTTTTCTTCTGGAATATCATATTCACTTTTTGTATTTAATATTTCATCTAAACTTACTGTTAACATTTGTTTAATTTTAGATTCAGAGAAGTTCATAGCTTTTACTGCTTTTAATGGATTTTGTTCAGATGTTGAAGAGAATATATGCACTAAGGAGCCATTATCATGCAGTTGGTTAAGAAGTGCTGCTTGTAATAACCCTTGACTACCATTTTCATAAAGCAAATACTTGCCACCAGGATCTAAATTAATACGGCATAAAATTTGAGCTAAAGTATCAAACCTTAGAGCTATAGTTTTTGGAATAGTTTGTTGTTTGTACAACACATCAGTAATAAGTCGTATTGTTGGTTTAAATATAGTTATATAGTCACAGTATTTCCTGGCTTTTTTTTTTAAGTACTTCTCTTGAGCATATTCAGTTTTTAATTGAAATGTTTTGCTATTTTTCAATAACCGTTCAACAATATTTTGTCCTGTTTCACCACTTTCTTTCAATGCTATTATTTCATCAGTACTTAACAATTGGGAAGAGCTATCGTCTGTTATGAGTTTATTATCTGTACCACATCCATTTGTTGCCCATTGGTTACGTGCCTGATTATCATTACACACTACTAAAGTGTAGTGTCTCTTTTTGTCTGTCACTGGTTCAAGTTTATAAGTGGATGAATATGATTGTCCAATAGCCATTTTAAGATCAATAACATCGCGACCTAACTTCAGTATTGCTTTGTTGGATATCTGATGAATTAAATACGTTTCGTTTTTGTTAATAATTAAATAATGACCTGGTGTGATCATGTTTTCTACGCTTGTAGCAGTCATGGTACCTAATTAAAAGAAAATTTAATACAAATTGATAAATTTAATTAATTTACAATAATCCGATATAAAAATTCATCACTTTGCTCAATAAATAGCAAAAAAAAAAAAAAATGCAATATTTTTTAAAAATTACAGCCAGCTTGAACAAAAAACTTCCTTTTGAAATTTTAAATTATAATCATTTATGTACATTCTGATAGCAATATTTGATAAGAAAGCACAGTGGTTCCCAAATTTATATATAATGTTGCCTATTCAACTCCTTTAATTATACTTCTATTTTAATAAGTTGCTAACACAACTCCTAAAAATAAATTTTTTAACCCATTCTAAAAATTCTGTTGTTATTATAACGTTTAATTTTGTATCTATGTTGCCTACCCTAAGTTGGTTTCTGAAATTGTATTGTTATTTCTCAGTTTGTCTATTTATTACCTATCTAACTTTTAAAAAAAATAGTTTTATACCTACCTACCAAAATGAAATTTAATATAAATATGATAATATTGTAGATATCCCCTGACCCATGAAATATTCTCGAATATGCAAAAAAAACTTTATCCTATGAACTCTTTATTGAATAAATCCACAATTTTTACTCTCATGACTCAATAACTGCATACATGTTGCTAGGTAGGTACGTACATAGTAACTATATTTAAAAACATAAACAATTTATTCAAAATTCAAATTAGGTACATTTAAACATCTGAAAATAAATAAACTACATCATTAATTAGGTATTAAATTATGATTAGATAAGTTTGTTGAATTTTTATTTAATTTTTGTTTAACATGTACATAAGACGATCCTAATCAAATTCTAAAAATGTATTAATAAATTAAAAACAATTGTAGTTTTATTTCATTATTAATAATGATGCAAATATAATGATTCTTTATAGTATAGAGAATCGTTATATTTAATATAGTCTATGTTATATACATATATATATATTGTTTTAACATCACTATATTATATCAAATGTCTAATATTATTTAGTTTATACAAACTACTTGGTAGGTAGGTATTTTAATTTGACAATTTTGGTTAAGACCATTTCTCTAGAGTACCTACCTACTTTAGTAGTAATAATAATAGATGGTAGTCATTAAATCTATTATTATCCATTAAGATATTGCCTATAATAAACAATTTTTTAGTTAATTTAATTAATTAATAGTGTCAAAAGCTAGTAAACCAATAATAAAACAACACTTTTTTTTTTACTTGCATACAGATTTGAAACACACAAAGAAACAATATTAAAAGTTAAAATTTCAAAAATAATAATATTATATGCAAAATATTATTTATTATTAGTATTTGATGATATTTTAAACCATATTACATTGAAAATATACATAACATAATGGATTTTAAAATCAGTATTTCCTAATAGATACACAATTTTTTTGTGATTTACTAAAACGGGATTAATAATTTTTTATTTTTCATTTGTATCATTTTTGAAAGGGCCTGAGGGCTCAATAACTGATACTGCTTGTCGACAATCTTAACCAAATTTTTTCATTCTTCAATTCTGTTCAATTCTGAATTTTCACAATTTGGTACCACCACCAAAACATACAAATTCAGGAGTAAACAATTCAATTAATTTTTGAAATTGTACTGATACTTATTTATGTTGAAGGTGTTCCTACATAGCATTCAATATTCTTGTCTTAATATATGATTATACTTTTTAGAATTGTCGTTTATGTGATTCGCTAATAAACCTCAGATATTCAAGAAATATTATTAGCAACTATTTCTCACCTCAGATTACTTAGATAACACCATATTTATCTACAAACTTATTCATTAGATAACTGCAGACAGTATCCAAAAAATATTCCCAATTTATGCCACTAAAATCCTCAATCATATTTAATGTATATAGAGGAAAACGAAAAATAATAAAGGATTATATAATTTAGTATTAACTTTAGTATTAATTTAGTATTTAGTATTTAGTATTCTTTTTAATGATTAAATAAAGTGAATCAAGATTAAAAAAGTCATTTGTTTATTGAGAAACATAAATTATCTTCTATAGTATTGATAGTATAATAAAAAGAAAAGTCTGGCCTTTTTATTGAAAAATTATTTAACATTAATATTTTACAGTCAAGATTAATAAAGGTATGACTTTACTGAAAAACATTAAAATATAATATCAATATATAATATAATACATAATTACTTATACCTATAATATAATAAAATATATTTTGTATAATATTCATAATAATTATAAATTACAAGTTGTACTTATAGATTTCATTCTTTTTTTGACCTTAGTTAGCCAAGTACCAGCAACATTTTCTGAATGTTTGTCTGTTTCTCTGTTTAAACTAAATTTTTACTAAATCTATAACAAAACAATGCATATATTTTTTCAAAAATTATTATATATACACGTATAATGACATACAATGACCACTTAACAAAATATAAAAGAGTTCTATTTGGTAAATCCAAAAAAATAACAAATGACCAAGGTTTAAAATTTGTGAGGACATTCAGATAAGAATAATTCAGATATCCTTGTACGCAAGAATAAACAATCCAAAGTTTGGATTATACCCTTATTTTATTACACCCTATATTACACCCTTAATACATAATTAATTGATAATTAGGGCAGAGGACTTGTAGCATTTGTATATTTTTTTTTGCATGATCATAAAAATTACAGAGTACGAAATACCGCTTATGCTGCCAATCGTTCAACCCCCTTAGTCGTTTTTTACGACAGCCGACAGGAGTGGAGTTACCGTGGGTTTGAATGATATCATATTAAAAATTTATTTGATAAACTAGAATACTCTGACACTTGAGTGACTTTTGCCAGACTAAATTTAGTTCACTCAAATAATGGCATGAAAGTATGGAAAAGTCTTCATAGATAATTTCAATGAATAAAAGGAATGAATGATAAATTGAAAATTTGCAACTTCCCTTTATTTTGAAAAATTTAAACTTTTCTCCGCATAATTTTTTGAACATTTTTATAACTCATAATTAATTAATATTTAAAATTGTTATTTTTTGCTTTTTTTTTTTCTTTGGTTGTTTTTAAAGATTACCACAAATCCTTGGCTAATGACGTAGGTATGATTGATGCGTATCACCGAGCAGCTTACATACCTAATTAGTTAATAATGTGTGGTTTGATAACATAATATACGTATTATTGTTATCACTTATTATCTATAATCAATCATTATGAATAAAATATGTATAATTAAGACGTATATAATATGAGGCAAAAGCAGTTTTTTTAAAAATGATAAGAAAAACAAAAAATAATATCTTACATCTACCGAAGAATGTAAATTATTCCTAATAATAATTTACGTCAACCTGTTCTAAAATGTATTTATTTGCTTTATTATCGACATGAGTTAAATAATTTCTCTAATTTAGAAGTTTTTTTTTATCAAAATATAAAAATTGAATTAAAATTTAAATATCTGTAGTCCTTAAACTTGTAATTAATGTTAAAATTTAAATTGTATAGTTCCTGTTCCTACAACTATTAAGTTAATAACATAATATCGTTATTATTGTTGGTACATATCTGGCTACCCATATAACTCGATTCCGAGAACTGTATCTAATTATTTTGACTTCAAAGACATACAAATCTTATATTCAGTTTATTGAAAATATTTTTTCTGGTGATTTTCTAAGTTTACATTCACCAAAATGTATTATACAATCAATGATTATGCAAATACATAAAAATCGTGGTATAAAATATATAATTGTCATTATGATAATGATTTTAAGTTGGTTAATCTGATCGGATAACATTTTTTTTATCATCAGTTTCAATAGAACTGACTAAGATATATCTTAGTCCGTGGAACTACTATGAACTCATATAATATATTATGATCGCAAAATATTCTAAAACAATAGTACTGAAGTACTGTATTCAGTGTTCCTCATATACAATATTATCACAATAATATTATACTGTATACTGTGGAGCACGAATTAAGGTTAATTCGAATAATTCGTGTAGTGGAGATAAAAAAAAAAATTGTATTAAAAACAATAAGCTGTTTAGATGATGATAATAATATAAAAACCCAAAGTATTATACTTTGATATTAGATAGGTATGTTTATAGCACGGGTTAAGATCTTACATCAATGTTCATAGTCTAAAAAGTACATTGTTCCATTTGTACCATGGCTGTTGATAGTGGTGCAAACTAGTGGTACTATCATTAATTATCACTTTGGTTATGTGTGTTTTTGGAAGGTACAAGGAAAAAAATCCTAATTCCAATTAGAACAAAAATTATTCTCTTTCGAGGGTTTTAATTGCTTCATCTTTTTAGTGGATTGTTAAACCATATACATAATAATTACCAATCTCGGATAGAAATGGCGAGTAAGTATCAAAATAATTAAAAACTTATATTTTTTTTACTATTATTATTATTATTGGTAATCTATATTTTAAATACCTCTGTGTTTACAATTATTTTTCAATGTTTTCATTAATTTGTTTAGGAGGTAATGCTAGGGATCTTGCACGTGAAAAAAACCAAAAGAAACAACAAGAGCAGGCCAAACGAAAAGGAATTGCTGACAAAGGTTCTAATCAAGGATTGACATTGGAACAAAGGAAACAGAGGTGAATATCAAATAATTATTTTACTTGTATCAGTAATAATAATATGTATTTTTTAAATTTAATTTGAAGTAGTTATGTCAATTATATTCTGATAATTAGGCATTATTACTTAAAATAGTACAATGACTTAAATAGGTACTGTTTAGCCTTTCTAACTAAATATTTAATCAATTATTAGTTTTCTGTGAATATAATTATTTGAAAATATGACTTAAAGAATTAAGATAAGATAAGATATTTTATGTGAAATGAACTTAAAGTGTTCTCCAAAATCCCGAGGGTTTTAATTGTTCGTTTTCCACCTGTTCTGACCTATGTGCAAATTTAAGATAGTTTTACGTAGGTGTCAAATGTCAAAAAAAATTTCAAATTGTGAATTTTGAAATTCAGTCTACTTGACAAATTCTAACTACTCAATCGTTTTAATTTGATCTTGATTTCATTTGTCCAGGTACTATATTATGGTGTCATATAATTCTATGTTAAACATAAACTCAAGGGGCTTTAAAGGCTATTCTTTGAAATTTATTCTGTATTGTATGTAGTTTTTAAAATTTTTGTTTAGGATGGACACTTGTCCATACTGGAAATGGGTACGTTAGTAGTGGTTTTATGGTTGAGGTAAAGCATTTTCTTTTTTCGTACATATAGGCGTTAATTATTAATATGTATTTTCATCAAGTAAGACTGTAGTATATTTGAATGACTGATTCTCCATTGTTCTAGATTATCGATAGGGTATGCAATTTTTAATTATGTATTTTATACATTAAATATATTGTTGTTTTTAACTTATGTGTAAGTTAAATCTATTAGATGAAATTTTAGTTATTTTAAATGTCCAATTAATGGAAAAAATGTGCAATATATACTTTATATCAAGATGATTTAGAAAAATATTTTTCTCAATTTCTAATCTTCATATAATTAATGTTGTATTGATAAAACTTTTAAACTAAATATTTGTTTCATATTATTATTTTTTAATACTTTTATAAGAAGTGTTTATTTTTTGAACCTTATAACTTTTGTAAGGTTGCATGTTTTATGATATCCTGTATTTAAAAAGTAATTAATAAAACATTAATTTTTTCATTATTATTATTTTTTATAATTGGATAATTAAATTTTACTTATATTATTGTATAATTATTCTAAATATCTATCTTTCTTTATATTTTATTTGTTTATCGTTTTATATAAGTAATAGTCTAATAATTTTATTTTCAGAGATGCAGACAGAATGAGAGAAAAACAACAAAAAAAGCAAGAAGATAAATAAAACATTTCATGAATTTGTATATGCAATACTTCATTAAAGTACATTACGTTATATGTTAAGCTCAAAAATAACTTAAATTTTGTATTCTAAAATTTAATGACCTAAAATGCTTTTAGTATTAATTCTCTCTCATTAGTCCCATTTATAATATTTAAATTATGTACATCAAATCACCAATTTTAACTTCTATCTGTTTTTATGATAATATAATGATGAGTATTAAATTATACATCTATATGTAATCTAACCTATTACCTATAGGATAATATAGACATTTTTACTATTTATTACTGTTGACATGAAATAAACCTTAGATCTTGACATTTTATTTGTGTTCTATTTTTAACAATTAAATAACTATATTATAATCATCCATAATTGAGAAATTAATTAGCATATCATTAATATAATACATAATACATCTGTGATCTTATATTTATACAACAATGATGTTTTGGATCTTGTTCCAAATGAGTATCTTTGACAGATTACTAAATTTCTTAGGTATATGAGATAACAATTTATTTTATTCAAATTCCTATATTCCCTTACTAAGAATTATGAACAAGATTTGCCTGTTAAGAATTATCTATTTTTTAAAGTTATTGAACATTTTTTTAAAAAGATTGTGAGAAGCTACATGTTATATTATGATTTTATGAAATGCTTATAATAAACATCAGAATTCGATATAATTTTTAGATAAACAAAAAATATTTTTTATTTGTGAAATATATTTTGATTATAAAAGTAGATTTGTTTACTAGATGGAAATTGTAATATTACAATAATAGTCACTAATTCATCACATGTATGGTAAAATAATAATAACAGGAAAACAAATTCATGTAAGCGCTCAATGTTAACAACTGATGTTTAAGACAAGTCAAATTAAGTAGGTTATGAATAAAGACCGGTTTAAATTGATATTGTAACTTTTTTTGCAATAAAGATAATTCAGTTCTAAATTAAATATATAGCAGATATATACTAAAAATATTCTGCCAATTTAATTTTATATTGCAGTTTTTTGTAATTTTCCCATGTTTTTAAATCAGGTGTTTATTGTTCATCTGGAATTTTCTAGAAGCTTGGAGAGCCCAGAGAGCGATAAGCAACTATGCATGTGGTTGTAATTAAATTGAATGTAGTAGTACAGCTAGTAGTGTGCATTTACCTGTTGGTACCTTAGTACCTATTTCTTTGATCAATTTGATCGAACAATGAGCGTATTCAAAATATTTTTCCTGAAATTAATTCATATTACATGTATGGTGCACGCAGTTAATAGGGGTCTAGAGAATATTCAAGAATTGTATCCCGACATTAATTAATTGATTAATAATGGTAATATATTAAGTTCCAATTTAAAATTTAAATACATATGTAACTTATTTCGTTTATTTCAGGAAAAAAAGCTTTCCTAAAAGCACCATCGAGAATAAATAAATACAGAAAAGAAATGCCGGGTATACCTTTACCCCTCGAATCTGTTATTAGAAGATGGGGAACATGGTTAAATGTTGCACTTTTCTATGCAAATAATTTTGAAAAGTTTAACAGATGGTGTTGCAAGTGTTGAAAAGCTGAAACAGTTTGTACAAAATGATGCAGTCAAATGTGGTTTAGCATTCATAAAATTACACTTATCTGAGTTATCCAATAATCATAAAAATTTAGAAGAATCTAATAGTGCTCTACTGGAAAGCATGAATATTTTTAGAAACATTGAAGATATTTTATTTCAACAAATATTTCAGTAGCTAGTGTAGACGTAGAACATAGTTATTCTTTGTAGAAACATATTTTTATAGTGCAATTTATTATATAATTCTAATATGCAATTTGTGTGTGTTTTAAATGCAATTAAATCCAGTCTTTACTTATGAATATATAATATAAGTTACAAAAATTGATAATTGTAATCAAACAGTGTTATAACCCCATACAATAATACTTAATACCTAATACTTACAGTTAACATTTTTAAAGTCTGTTCAAGTATAATTAAAATAATGCACATGAGCTAATGTTTAGCCAAAATATTTTTTTATAGTTGTCTACATTTTTCTACTGCGAAGTTTATGATGTTTGTTTGTTTTTTACAATTGTTTAGGGACATATATAAAACATTTGTAAATATTTGTTATATCTTGATTATATAATAATTATTGTTTCATAATAAAGTAACTGTACTATTTAAAATAAAAAAAGTTTTCGTGAAGGGATTCAAATGTTAGGTACCTATTAAAAAAGGATCCCAAATGTTACAACTGGTTACAAGGAATTTAAAAAGCCTGATCAACAATTTTCGATTTTAATGTAATTAAAATTAAAATTATTTTTTCTAACTGTTATAAACTTTGAGTTAAAACTTCTTTTTTTGTAAGTTAAAAATCTAAAAATATATAATTAACTATAAAATTAGTTCATAAGGGGGAATATTAATTAAATTAAACCAATTTTGTTTTAGCTAATTAGTTTACCTATAAAATTATATGATGCTCAAATTGAATTGGTACAAAATCAATTTTAGAATGAGATGTGGTCAAAACCTTTACTAATCATCGTAATACTTGAAGAACCTAACATAGAATATAACAATTTTAAATAGCAATTATTTTAAGATTTTTGTAAATTATTGGTATAGTATTCTAATTTACATATATATATATATATATAATACACACTAAGTGTGCTTAACTTATTGAAAAAACAAAGTTGAATCGCCACAGAATACTTCAAAAATGAAAATTTGAATACATGCAAAATTTAATCAAAATATGGGGTTAGCACGCTTAGTGATTCATTCTGTTCATCAAAAATACACATAATATTGAAATTATTTTATTTTATATTTTTTTTATAATCAAGACTAAAGATTTACAATAAATCTATCAAAAAAAAAAAAAAAAAATTCTAATCGAATAAATATTCAAATTGCAAATTACATAAACATTATCCTTTTATAAACATTAAAAAATAGCATTAAATATTTGTTTTAATACTTTACTTTTCTGTAAAGACCTAGAATAGTTGCATCAGCTTCAAGTAGGGTTAAGTCTTTTTCAGAACCCAAAAATCTGGTAGCTAATTCTAAGGATTTGATTCTTAATCTTACTTGTGATCCTCTTATATAAGAACTATGTAAACAAAATACAATTAAAATTAGTTTTCTTTATAAGTGGTTGATAGTTTTTTTTAGATTGCCCAAAATCTTTTCTATTCTGAGCATCATTTGTATGACTGAAAAGTGTTTAACATTTCATAGTATTTATTTATGTTATTATATACTATAACAAATTAAGTAATTTGTTTAAGTTTGTATTTATATAACTAGCGGAAATTCATTAAAATAATTTACACATATACATAAAAAAAATCAACAAAATTTCAAAAAGAATTTTTAAGAAAAGATAAAAATTTTATTTTATAAACTTCTTTTCTAATCAAAAACTCGGAATATTTTCTAAATTTTAATGAATTAAACTTTTTGACCTACAATTTATAATTAATGAAATACATTACTTTAAAAACCTTAAATCTGTTAAAAACATAATTTACTAGTAATCAGTAGTTATACCTAAAAAGTTTTAGTTAGATTGTGTTCATAACAATGACAAGTGAAATGCTAATTATTTTATTTACTTCCCATATTTACTGAATTTTTAATTAAAGCTAGTTTTTGTACTTAATTTCACAGTGAGGTTTTTACTGTAATATATTTTGTATAAAACTTAGTTGTTAGTTATCTAAATAATTTTACTCACTCAGCGTTTTTAATTGGTCGTGTACAAACACAATGAAATTTCCATCCAAAATCTATGTATAAATCATTATCAACCACATGAAATATAGTACCAACCACTTGTTTACCAACAGGATCACCAAGCTATACAAAAAAAAAAAAAACAATAATAAAAATCTATACAAATACAAATGTACACAAATTTAACATTTATAAAATTTGAATTTCTCAGTAACACTTCAAATTCTTGATCATCTTCAATAGGTTGTTTCTCTTTAGTTTTTTGATAAAATTCAGCAAAAGCTCCTTGTTTTGAGGTTGTATTTTGAGGTTCATCATGAATATAATGCCGAATAGATTCTAATGAAGATACTCTTAATTTTGTTGTAATTATTTTTGATAATGGTGTATTAATGTTTCGATAAAATATTCGACATACACTAGTCATTGTAAATGAAATAATTATTTAAAATAATATTAAATTGTAATGATATGTTTTGAATTGCTTAAACATATAATTATTATTTATTAACAAATATTTTTAAAGAAAAAACAGAATATTTAAAAGGTTAATTTAAATTCATACATTTGTAGTCTTTTCAATAATAATTATTACTGATTCAATGATAATAGTTAACATATGGTCAATAAAAACTGATGAACACGATTATCAGTACCATAGATTAAATATATACATCAGCTATATACACCACGGTTTAAGATATCTCAAATCGTGATATACACTAAACTATATACTACATAGAATATAGTATATAGTTCAGTGTCTATATATCATAGATATTTAATTTAAGACAATATTATGATTTTTCCATTTTCTCCTTTTTTTTATTTTTTATTATTGTTTTTTCAAAATTCAAGCATGTGAATGTTATGAGTTCAAAATAGTCAAGATAGATTTATAAATATGATAATATATTCATGATAACAACTAACAAGTTTACTATTTATTAATTATTACATCATAGTATTTTATGTGCATTAATTCATGTGCTCAACGCTCATAATGGAATTATTAAAACCGGTATCCATAAATATTTTATTATGAGAGGTATTTGATTAATTATTTGTTGAATAAAAAAAGTATAAATTTGACGAGAATATATTTTACATATTCTTAAAAATCATGTTTCCATTGTCGCCATCATTTCTTATTACCGTACTGCTATTTTTGTGTCGAAAACTTCATTATATTCGTCTACCATGGTTTAAACTCAGAGCTTGCAATTTTTAAAATTTAAATAAGTAGTGGTTAATAATATTTATTATTTTTCAATTTTATATCATGCAAGCAAAAAAAAGATTTCTATTACTTTGGTTTTTAATGTTCATCATTTTTATCGCGTGTTTATTGAAAACTGGTCGAAAGCCAGATACTTTACTTCATCTAACATTCATTGATGATGATGAAAATTTACCATCATTCATGGATGATTGGCAACAAAGTTCAGAGGTTGGTCGCCCTCCCGCTGCAAAAACTTACGAGGCTAGACAACGAATGCCATTTCATACTTCATATAGGAAGACCAACAAGAATTGCAGGTTCGATAAGTTTGTCAGTATTAATAAAATTAAATACTGCTAATTACAGTGAATTGTTATAAATGTTTATTTTTCAGAATGGAAACATGTTTTGATTCTTCACGTTGTGACAAAGATTTTCGAGTGTTTGTGTATCCATTATCTGAACTGGAGACTAGTGGATTAATGACTACAGCTCGTAGTATTCTGTACCAAAAAATGTTGGATATTATTGTGGAATCAAGGTATTACACGGATGAATACACCATTGCTTGTGTATTCGTAGTAGCAATTGATACTCTTGATCGAGATCCTTTATCTCCAGACTATGTACGTAATATCCCTGTGAAATTGCAAAGGCTCAAACATTGGAATGGTGGTCGTAATCATATAATTTTTAATCTTTATTCTGGTTCTTGGCCCAACTACAATGAAGATGACCTCGGATTTCATACTGGTGATGCTATTTTAGCTAAAGCTAGTATGTCGGTTAGTAATATGAGACCAGGATTCGATATTTCTTTTCCGTTATTTCACAAGGTGAATATTATAATTGTACTTTTTTCTATCTGGTTTTTTATATTTTCCAATTTTTGTTTAAAAGAAACACCCAGAAAGAGGTGGCGAACCTGGTTTTGTTCGTTCCAACACATATCCAATAACAAAAAAGTATAAATTGGCATTCAAAGGTAAACGGTATGTACTTGGTATTGGATCAGAGACTAGAAACTCTATTTTTCACTTACATAACGGAAAGGATACAATTGTAGTAACGACATGTAAACATGGTAAAAACTGGAAAGATGCTCAGGATGAGAGATGTGATGTTGATAATTCTTTATACGAAAAGTAAATACAGTATTTATTAACTATGTGAAGTTATACTTTTATATTAATCTTTTCATTCTCTAGGTATGATTATGGAAATCTTCTAAAAAATTCAACATTTTGTTTAGTTCCTAGAGGCCGTCGTTTAGGATCATATAGATTCTTAGAAGCTCTACAAGCCGGTTGTATACCTGTATTGTTATCTAATAATTGGGCTCTACCTTTTGATGAAGTAATAGATTGGAATAAAGCTGTTATATGGGCCGATGAAAGGTTGTTGTTCCAGGTACCAGAAGTGATTCATTCTATACCAGAAACTAAACTTTTTGCTTTAAGACAACAAACCCAAATTTTGTGGGAACAGTACTTCAATACAATTGAAAAAATAGTTTTCACTACTTTTGAAGTAAGATTGTTATAATAAATCAACAATTGTCAATGCTTTGGTGACATACAAATTATAGTTTAATTTTTCTATAGATAATTAAAGAGCGTTTACCTAAATTGCAATCCCGAGATGGTATTGTTTGGAATACTTCGCCTGGAGCTCTGGTGTCTCAACACTCATTTACTGAGCATCTTAATTTCAACTTGCCATTTAGTTATCATCTCCTTGGCAAACAACCTAGTTCAAATTTTACAGCAGTAATATTTTCCCAACATAACAACCTTAATACACCACTATATCGTTTAGTTAGAAATATAGCTGCAAGCAAATATTTGACACAAGTAAATTAATCAAGTCATAATATTACTAATAGCATAAGTAAATTAAATATAATCAATATATTTGTATAGATTATTATTAACTCGTGTGCTGATAATGGTGGCAAAAGTGTGTACCAAAAAATTGCTGGTATAAAACTATTAGTATTGTCTGGAAATGGCTGTAAGAGGTTTGAGCCGTTATCATTTATTAAAACTGAAGCTGTTTTATCATTAGACGATGATGTTGTTTTAACTACTGATGAAATTGATTTTGCATATCATGTGTGGCGATCATTTCCCGATAGGATTGTTGGATTTCCAGCTAGATCTCATTACTGGGACAGCAGCAAGGTTTTGTGTTAATTATTATTGTATTATAGTTTTCACTTTATTTGTTTCTTTTTTACTAATAAATATAAATTTGATTTAAATTTTAACTATACAATTCCATACTACTTTTTATAAAACTGTAAAGTAGACTTATGTCTAATTTATTATTTATAAAATGGAAAACTTATCCTTCTAAAGTACATGATATAAAATTAGATTAAATTTTATACCATGCTAATCTAATATTCACTTTTGCTTTTATCTATAAAGTTATATTTAGTTTGATCCAAATATATTTTTAATAATGTACAATATTATGAAATAAAATATAAAAATTAATACTTTATATTAATTGTTTTAAATCATTAGGACTCCTGGTTATATACATCAAAATGGACAAATGAGTATTCTCTTATTCTTACTGGTGCTGCTTTTTATCATCAATACTACAACACACTATACACACAGTGGCTGAGTCCCTTATTAATTAAAACTGTTGAACAGTCACATAATTGTGAAGATATACTAATCAACTTTTTAGTCAGCCATGTTACTCGTCGTCCACCAATTAAAGTGTCACAAAGAAAACATTATAAAGAACAAACTATCAATGGCATGCCAAGGTAAATATATATCAATTTATTGTTATTTATTATGGGACTAGCCCAGATTACAATATACATACTTAGTATTTATTCAATAAGATATAATGTAACAAATATAGATTTATACTAAAATTTGTTGAAAGTTAATTAAAAGGATTAGCGGTACACATAAGACGTATAATTGGAGAATGGAGAAGGTAATTAGATGAAGATAAAGAGTTATGAAATAGGACCGATGAATGTGTACAACAGCAAGGAACATTAAAGGTGATGCGGGATAGAAGCTCAGGAAATCAATTTTAGAAGAAAGAAGGTTAGAAAGGAAAGAGATGCATGCAGAGTGCCTATCCATGGATAAAAATTGTTGGACAGTGGTATAATCATAAGGGAGAAAGGGTTATGCAGTTTAAAGGCAGCATGACAAAGGAATTTTTTTTTGACCCTTTCTATCATGTATCCAGAGGCAGCGGGGGAAGGGTTCCAAAGCACAGAGTCATATTCAAGAATAGGACGTACTAGGAAAAAAAAAAGAGCATTCAAAGGAGCAACCTGAGAAAATTCTGTAGACACAAGATTAATTAAACCCAATAGTTTGATAGCCTTACAACAAATTATTTAGATATGCATATTAGGCCCCGGGATTCATCCTATAACACTAAACGTTGAAGGTTTTTTTGGAGAAGCTGACAGTCAGATTGATTTTATGCGAAGGAAGAGTTTCATATGATTAGCGAAGATGAGAATTTTAAAATAGTGTAGTACTGAGAAAACTAAGTTTATAAATAGGAAGAGTAGTATAAGAGAAGAGTACAGCACCCTGTGGTATGTCAGAGGATGGCGTGAAGTACACTGAAGAGACTGTGTGGACTTTTACCTATTGTACTCTGTTGACTAGATACTATCGAAGTCAAGAAAAAAGCGGTTCATCGATTTCTATTAAAGTAGTTGTGATCAACGTGGTCAAATGTCTTGATGAAATCTGTATTTATCTACCTGGCAGTTGTCACGAAAGGCATCAAAGATATACGAGTGAAGACTGAGGTTACAAGTAACTGTTGATTTTCCTAGGTGAAAGCTGTGTTGTTTATCAGCCAAAATATAATTTAATGAAGAGTGGGTCAAATTTAGTACAAGTGTCTCTAATAGTTTAGATAAATGCAGTAGAATTGTAATTGAACAGTAGTTTAAAACATCGGTAGGATCACCTGACTTTAGGATAGGAGTAATGGAGATAAGTTTTAAGACAGATGGGAAGACACCAAAGTCAATTAAATGTCTAAACTTTAGCTATAAAGATTCAGCGAGAACGTGCAACTTATCCAAAAAGTCACCATGAATATCTTCAGAGCCCAAAGACTTGATATTGTGAAAGGAAACTAGGTATCTGTATACATCGTCAATTGAAAAAGGGATTTTGATGGGAAAGCGTGATTATGAATAGAATGTATTGCTTGAGGAGTGATCAAAGTCTATGAAATAGATGGTTGTGTAAAAACAGAAGAAAAATATTTAGAAAACAAGTTTGTAGAGTCAGAAGGACTTGTACACAGTAAAAAATGCAGGTAGGATTCAGTACAGGATACAAAGTTACGGTAGCATTGAGAGGAATTTAAACTTTCCACGGAGGAATAAGAAGTATTTAGTGTCTGAAAGAAGTTGGGATAATTTAAATTTAGCATAAGCATGCGACTTAGCAAACACTAAGTCTTTGAGTTCATTAGTATACCATGATGGAAAGGATAATAGGTGAGTTGAAATTTTTAGAACATAATACAAAACTGAGTTGTGGAGGGCATCCAAGAAGACCGCCATAGTACTATCTGGTGAATATAATTAAAAAATACATTCCCAATTGAAAGACTTAAACAATTTTGTAATTGATTGGTAGTCTGCCTTGTGAAAATTAAAGAATGATTTTTGAGGTGAAATTATAGGAGGTAAGAGGCTTATTGAGATTGAAAGGGGTAGATGATAAGCGTCAATTGGCACTGATAGATTGAGAGCTAAACTAACACACATAAAGTTGCAGTTAGATAAGACAAGGTCAAGGAGAGATTGGTGTGAGTTGATTATATAGTTAGATTGATAAAAACCATTCAGGACAAGTCTTTCTGGAATGCAAGAATATTTTGAGATTGACTGGCTAGTGTAACAAAGGCCATGAGCGTGCACATCTATAGCAAAAACTTATGATTCTAAAAAGTCAACTTTAGTGCGTAGCTCATTGATTTCCAGACAGAGAGTCAAATCAAGAAGCAAGTGCGCTGAGGCTGGACTTGAGCTCATTGCCCTATGATTTATGACCATTCAATAATTTGTCTTGTGTATGATCAATAGCTTTTAAGATATCATTAATAATAACATTGGACTTGGAGTGTGTGATGACTTGCGTAGTTTTGTACATGCTGGTGGTGAAACGAGAAAAATGACGTATGAATGTAAGACAGGACAGAATGACCAGGAGTTAATAATCACTAGCACACGGTGTATATATGACTGAAAATGAGGATTACACATGGTGTATTCGCGACTATGACATGGGTCATATTTCACAATACAATGATCAGTGAGATAACAACCTTTGAACATCGATAAACTCGATAAACTAAAACAAACTTATGTTGTTGCTATGATTACATACTATTTTATATATTTATTTAATTTATATGTTTTTTTAGATCACCTTGGAATGATCCAGACCACTTTATGCAAAGACAAACTTGTTTAAATACTTTTGTAGCACTTTTTGGTTATATGCCATTGCTTCAGTCATATGTGAGATTAGATCCAATATTGTTCAAAGATTCTGTTTCAAATTTTCGAAAAAAATACAAACAAATTGAATTGGTGTCTAATTAAATATATTTTGTGTTATTGGCAATTTGTAAAATAAATGTAGTATGTTTCTTGGCGATGAAGTAAATATTTATAAAGTAATTTGTTATGTACTTTACTAGTATTTACAATTTTTCACCTGACAACTACTATATAGTAAATATTATTTATTCATTATTGTGTTCAAAAAGAATTAAGGCAGTCCATTACAATAGTTCTTAGTTTAAGTCTCCAATTCTTATCCATCTTTCCACAAAATATGTGAGTAGATTTATCATCCACTTGAATTAATGTATCTTCTGATTTCTAAGAGTAAGTAAATAATATTAATTTTAATTAGCCATAAAACATAAAATAACAATTGGTTCTGAACTTACAAGATGTATTGTGTAACCATGTGTATTGTGTTCAATTTTGGGATCACTCACTCCTTCATTTGTCAATGCTCGTAAAAATCTATCTATATCCAGCTGACCCCATTCGTAAGTTTTATTAATTAATGTTTTTGATAAATCAAATTCAGATTCAGTTGACTTATTTAGTAAAACTTCATCTTTTAAAATCTATTAAAAAAAAATACATCAATAGGTACTATGAAATTATACTATACTAAAAATTAATTTACACATACATCTAATTTATACTTATTATCTTTTGTATCCAAAATAGCTGTAAATTTTGATGCTTTTAATCCTGATTGTAATTCATTAAGAGTTATATTAACTACCATTTCTGTTGTGAATGGTACATTAACTGTTTTTATATCAAGTTTCTCTGATATTACTTCACCTCTTTTTATAGTTAATACTTTCCTATCAGTCTAAATATGATACAAGTACTTGTTACATTTTTTTACTTTGTGTAATTATATATTATTGATATTTGTAAACATACTTGATCAATAACAAATTCATTTTTATGATTGAACCCAGTAGGTGGATTTGCATATCGCTCAGGAAGAATTAACACAACTGGTTTAAGGTCTTTTATCATTTTATTGGCTTGTGTGAAATTCATACTCGTATCGATTGGACAATGCATAGCTTTCATAGAAAGTGGCTGAAACGGAGCCAAGGCTTCTAAATATGGAAACTCTGGTTCTAAAATAATAAAATACAAATGGGTGTTTATGAAAATGTTTTTCATAAAACGGTGTATCAATACACCATGTCATAATGAAATTATTTATTTTCATATCTATTACACCATTACAATAATGCCAATACATGATAAAGAATATACAAATATTGATTAAGATTTAAAACTGGAGAAAATAATATAATGGTATGAGTTTTAATTCTTTTTTAATAATTACGTAAATAATAATTCTCAAACGTAAATCACATGTCTATATATTTGTTTTAATTAAACGGTGTTAAATTTATCTGGAATGTAAATTTATAAATTCAAAATTAGAAGACATGTGAACATCATTTGCTGAATTTTAGTTAGTAAATTACTGTAAAGTAAAACTCGAAATTATATAATGAAAATTTAAATGTTTTTAGATACCAAATCTATTTATTAAAACAAAATCAGATAATCAACAAATGTTAATCATGAATATAATAAATAAAAGGATAGCTGAAATGTTCAAAATTGATGATTACTTTCAATTAACTAAAACAAAAGGTATGATTATAGAAGAATGTATATGTATCGATAAATCTATAAAAATAAAAAATCTAGTTAATAATTATTACCTGTAAATATAATTGTGTTTAGAGGATTTGTACCCCAATATTCTACAAAATGCACTACGTCACCAAATCGCAGACTAGGATGACCGCAAAATACAACACATGGCTTAAGAAAAATTAATATAAATTAACATTAAAGTTTGAAATAAATTTTATTAGACTGTATTTTTACTTGTCTTAAATCATTCCATAGGTCATCTGTATAGACATGTTTAAAATGTTTTAAACGACCAGATTTTACTAATTGTGCATGTGGAAATGGTTCTTCTGGGAAATATACTTTGTTTTGTTTTGATTGTGATAGCCTAAACATGTACATATGTATTTTTAAAATATATATATATAAATAATATAATATATTATTACTAACCATTCTGCGAGAATGTTGGAATATTCTAAAGAGCTATGAGCCACTGGAGAAATAAAATACATTGGAATCTGTCCTAAAGCTGTGCTGTCCAAATGAGATGATAAACACTCAAATAAATCATAAACTACACCTGATGGATAACAAGGGATAAGAACTGAACCATTATTACGTAATGTAACTGCAACTGATAAACACAGTTCACCAAGCATAGAATCTGGATTAGCAGCAGGCGCCTGTGTTAAACTACTTAGTAACATAATATCAGCATTTTTTAAATTCACTTGATCCATAGGCCTAAATAAGACAAATGAAACATATAATTTAGTAAATAATTATCATTGTAAATCTCTAAAATGATTGATTTTAATATCATACCTAGGATGAGTTGTTAATGTTGAAGTATTACTAACATAAACTAATTTCTTGCTTTCCAAATATATAACCCAATTACTGCTACCAAGACAATAACCAGAACTAACTGCTGTTACTGTCAACGCTCCAGTGATTTCCTAAATCAATTTGTAACAATGTATTTTATATTTAAAAATAAAAATTGGTATTTAAGGTCATACAATTTTTTGATCATAGCTAATCATTTGCACCCGTGTCAAACTAGAATGAACCTGTGCAAGGCTATACAATTGTCTCCAAGTATGAGGTTTAAAACTATTGCATAATGGTGGTGGTAATAAATGTAAGATTTCTTTCCAATATTTAGCTACATTAGGTTTTGGTGATTGTTCAACAAAATCAACTAACTCTTCAAGAAATAATCTAAAAAAAAAAATCCAAATTAAAGAAATGGTTATAATTAAATATCTATTTGTAATAACATACTTTCCTATGTGTAAAGTTGGTTCAGTCATATATACAACACCTTTGAAACCTGTATTTTCAGTAATAAATGGTAAAGCCAACATGGTCATATAATTTGATACTAATATTACATCAATGTCAGCAAAGTCAACCAACTTTGTTAAAGGTGTCATAAATTCTGGTGCAGAATTAACTAGTACTTGATTAGTCATACATTCATTAAGTTCCTATAAAACTAATTGTTAATAGATGTGTATTTATAATAAATAATTAAAGCAAATATATTATACCCCTTCAATTTGTGGGTCAGAGAAATTCTTAGGTATCCATGCAGCAGCTTTATTTGGTTTCCAGTCTGGAATAGGAAATAAAGGTAAAAAATTCAAAACACTGTGAGCTGATAGGCCACAGTCTAACATTATGGAAACTGATTTTAATTTGATTACAAAACATGGTTTGTTTGGATCTTCGCTTAAACAATACTGTAAATTGCATAAAATACAAATTATTTTTTTTATATATTATGAATAATAAAACTTTTAAAAAAGGTTTGGATTTTACCACTTTCATTTTGAACCTTGAAATTGGTTTATGTGTAGTTTAAAAGAAATTAAAATCAGAAAATCATAGCTAATAAAACTGACACCGTTATTCCTATTTATTTAAATTGTTTGTTTTTAATAGTTGAATTTAGATTTGTTTTGAATTTTAGCTCAAAATTCAAATATACTTATCATGTTTAAATAAGGTTTTATGTTTTATCATTCCAAAGATAGTACAATGGTAACAAAAACAAATCAAAATCTTAGATAATACTACGGTTTAGATAGCACCATAAATAATATAAGATAACCTATATCTGTGTAGAAGTTCATTAACTATATCTGAGTATGGTACTTTATTCTGTGACTTATGTTTCTATTAATATAAAATAAAATAAATAATGAGTAAGTCGCAGATCTGGAGGGCACGTTCATCGATAAATTAAAATATTTATATATATTTTTATCCCAGAAGAGTGCCACTTGTTCCAAAAATGATAGGAACCATTTTCAAAAAGCAGACCATGTTGCATTTGTTTTGATATTACCATAAAACATGTATAATCTCCTTGCTATAGTTCGTAACATTTTAGGTTAGAATAAAATATGAAAATAAAACTACTCACTCCTTGATAACTCAAAGTGAAATTGTGAATTTGTTTTATTTTTTTTTGTAAAACTTCAATTTTCATCAATAATGAAAACTGTATGTCAAAGCTTCAAAATGGTAAGAGAAGTATAGTATAGTACTGTACATAATGCTTTATAAATAATATAGTTACCGGTAACATTTTTTCCAGGCATTCCGAAGTACTAAAATTATTTTTCATAATATTAATTAATCCAATATTATTTATATTATAAATATATGATAAATATATTAATTATAAAAAGGTTTTATTTTAATTTTGTCTTAGAATATGGTTACACAGAGTGATTAGTCCTCGATAAGGTACCCTTTTATCTTGCAAATTATTAACTTTTTTTGGAATTATTTTTTTAGAACATAAAAAACAACCTGCTCTAAAATGTTCAGTTTCCATTATTTTTGGGATACAATTATTAGCATAAACATTTTTTGGGTGTTAAAATGTTTCCATCAACCTGCTGATGTAATATAGTAATTTTAAATTTGAGTAGGAGACTATTGAAGCATTTGTATGATTGCGGAGTGCACAGTTTTTAAATGGTGCTCTCACCTTCCCACAAAACGGCAAATTTTAAAATCAAATATCATATCAATGGGTTGATGAAAATTATAAAATTATTTCTGGAATTTTTATTTTAGGTTTTGAAAATCAAAAATTAGTAGTGATTTCATCCTTAAAAAATAATGATAATATAGCGTTTATATTTTCTAAGATAATGAGAAACATACTATTATTATGTTAAAAAAGATGTTAAATTATATTGGGCATTGGAAATATATAAAACAATAGAAATCCGCTTGATAACTCAAGAATAGAATTTCTTACAAATATAAATAGTTATATTTTAAATAATAAATTGAATGTAAAACCATATTCTTATAGGTGCCTACTGAAAATTTAAAAATCAATTAGCAAAATACAAACTCAACTTTTTAATTTAAAAAAATCATATTTCCATACTAAGTCGAGTAAAGATGAAAAAAGTTTTTTTTTCTTTTATTTACACCAATTAAGTTTGTTTTAAAATTGTATAACTTGTATTCACTGATCAGGCATTCTTTCATTCATTATAGTTCGAGAAGTTCAAATGTTCAGTATCCGGTATTTCAGTTGTTTATTTCTAAAAATAATTACTTTATATTTATTTCTAAATTAACTTATCAGCTTATCACACTATTCACAATATACTGAATTACCTGTGCATGTTTGTTTTTTTTTTTACTATTGTCCATACATGTTTGGCAATGTAGACCAAAACCTTTTGATGTTTACCAATACTATTCAGTCCACACCTTTTTTTCTTAAAAACAAGAAATAACAAAGTTGAAAATAACAATTGTTTTAAGAATTATTGATTTTTATTGTAAAACAGAGCAGAGGTTCTATTTTTTTTTTTATTTTATTATCGCTGTTGATACATTTCTTATAAACCTCACTCTAGAACATAATATCTTATTTAGTCAAACTTGGTTAATTTAAACTTCTTTAACTCAAAAAAGCCCACAACTCCATTTTTTCTCCATTCTCTAAAATATCCTATTTGAACAATGCAAAAAAATCTTGTTTAACTCAAATATTTTCGTGAATAACTCTAGGTTTCGATTTTTTTTAATTATCAAATTATGATACGTGTTTCCCTCATGTATGTGCCATCAAAAAGAAGGTCATTAGTATTATAACCGATAAGTGGTTTACTATACGACAACTATTCATTATCCACTAATATACTTATATATTTCAATGTTCAGTCAGTCATTAAATATACTTAAGTGTATTTAACCAATGGTCCATTATGTTTCAACGTGATTGTACATTATTTTTCGTAATTTTTTTTTAATTTGTATAACTTTAACTTTTTTTCTAGTCCTTTTAATTTTGAGTTAACCAAGTTCGGCTGTATTATATTAGTTATTGGTATTACATTTCATATTCAACAAATATTTTTCAGATTATATGGTAAATATATTTAATTAAATCAATTTTAAACAAAAAAAAAGGATGGATATATTTCGCCCGTCGGTGCTGCCACTGTTGTAGGTGGAAAGTTAGGGAGGTTGGCATTTAATGTATATCTATAAGCAACAATAATCCATTTCTAACAAAAAAAATGTTTCTGAGCCGAGTTCAGTTGATAATGTTGCTTTGTCACAAATGTAATATATTATATCATATTATGGTAAAATAATTAAAACAATGTGTGTTTTCATAATAATAATGATGATTTAAAAAAGATTAAAATAATAAAAAAAACTGTTACCAATGAAAATCTTATTTTTAATCTTTCAATCTTTTGTAACCTACAGACCGAAGTTATCCTCAATATCTCGAATATTATTGAGAATTTCAAAAAATGACCTCTCCAAAGTACAACCCAGAATACATTTTCTTTCAGAAAAAGTATAAAAAAAATATTAATAAAATAAACATCATTGTAAAACCAATAAATTCCTCGTTCCACTCAGAATCTAAAATTATAATATATTTTATAATAAATGTAAAATGTGTTTAAAGAATTCTGTAAGTATAACTACATCCTATGTAATCTAGGGAAATAAAATTAAAAAGGGGGGGCTTCAAGAGCCGGATGCGTCCCACAACCCACAGGTTAGTTCGCCCTGATCGAAAATTTATTTCTATTGCGAAATTGTGTAAATTGTGTGTGTGTATTTTTATTATAACAGCATAACTGATAAAACTAATTAAGTGTCAACATATCAGTAATATATTTGCTGCAATTTTAATAATCATGTTATTAAGTAAATATCTGTATAAAATTCTATAATACAATGTAATTAAAACAAAGAAATAATGATATTACCATTATAACTCTTAAAAAAGGATTATCGAAGACTAATACTCATTGTAATTAGACTAAATTATGAATTTTTACTCAAAAAACTATTAATAATATTATTACTTTGTCAAATCTTGCAATGATTACCAATATTATTAAATATTTGTTCTTGAAATTAAAACTAATTTATAAAAAAAAAAATTAATGTTTTTATTTCAGTCTAAATTAATGTAAAATGGAAAACGCTTGGAAAAGTAAAATTCCTGAGTTCCTTCAGGAAGACAATCCCCATGGGCTTTTGGAAGAGAGTTCGTTTGCTACATTATTTCCTAAATATCGAGAAACCTATTTGAAAGAATGTTGGCCATTAGTGCAAAACTCTTTGTCCAAATACCATATCAAAGCTGATCTTGATGCATTAGAAGGTAGTATGGCTGTACGCACCACACGTAAAACCTGGGATCCTGCATCTATATTGAAGGCCAGAGATCTAATAAAATTGTTGTCACGTAGTGTTCCTTATGAACAAGCTGTACGAGTCATGGAAGATGATATGGCGGCAGATATCATCAAAATTGGTTCTATGATCAGAAATCGTGATAAATTTGTAAAACGAAGACAGAGGCTTATTGGACCAGGAGGATGCACACTAAAGTCAATAGAATTATTGACTAATTGTTATGTTCTTGTACAAGGACAAACAGTAGCTGCTCTTGGACCATATAAAGGACTTCAACAAGTACCAATATTAAAATAAATCAACTTATTTATGGTACTATAATTAGTTTTTTTGTTTTATGATATATAGGTGCGGCGTATTGTAACAGATACAATGAAAAATGTTCATCCCATTTATAATATAAAATCATTAATGATTAAACGTGAATTAGAAAGAAATCCAAAGTTGAAAGATGAAAATTGGGATAGGTTTTTACCAAATTTCAAGCCTAAAAATGTGCCTAAAAAGAAATCTACCAAAAAGTCGAAAAAACCGTACACACCATTCCCGCCTGCTCCGACAGAGAGTAAGATTGATAAAATGTTAGAGTCAGGTGAGTTCTTCCTTAAAGAAGAAGAAAGACAGAAAAGAAAAAGGAAGGTGAAAGAAGATAAGCAAAAGGAAGCTAAAGTGAAAAGAGAAGCTAAACGTAATATGGCATTTATTCCTCCAGACGAATAAAAATATTTGAAAAATTGTAAAAAAAAATTTTATTTTTGATGAAAATTAAATATTTCTGATTAAAACATGTTTAAATACATTAGCCTTAATATTGGTTTTTATTGTTTGTATAACTACAAAATATCACCAAATAGTGTCATTGATTATAGATAATCTAAGGAATTTTTCAATTATGTATAATTGAAGTATAAAACTAAATCGGTAAATTGTCCATTTACTAAAAGTCGACCAATATTTTAGTTTATTTATCAATAAATAATGATTAAAAAAAAATGGCATTTCCCTATGTTTTCCTGTTGGTCAATTGCAAAGAGTATTTATTTTTATGTTATTCCTGATCTTTATCTATATCCCAATTATTTGCGGACAGTCACCTTAGTCTTAAACTTCCACTTGACCTGATTCTACACATTGTCCTCGCATTCACCTCTGTCCTCATGTTCTCAATTGCATCCAATCACCCCTTTTTGGTCTTTCCTCCTATGTAAATTTTCATTACAATGGTGTCTCATGACATGCCTAAACCACGTCTTATTCTCTTATTTTTTCCTCTATCAAAGCTACAACTAAGCTACTTCTTATGTACTCATTCTTTATCCTATCTTCCCTTATGATTCTACTTATACACCAATGCATTATCATCTATGGTACTCTCATTCTCTGTTCTACTTTTCTGTCAACAACCTTTTTTTCTTAAATAATGTTCCACTATTGAAAAAACTATATAAAATAATAATAAAGATTTTTTTTATTTATAATGTAATTTATAAAGCTTAAATTTGTCTGTGGCCACCAAACATTTTCTCACGGACCACTACTGGTTGACAACCGTTGTTCTAAACCATACAAAAGCAAAATGTGGTTAACTGGTCTCACCACACTTGTAAAACTTTCCTTTAAGTCTCATTGGAACTCTTTTGTGATGTAAAACGACGATTTTCTCCACTTTATTCAACCACATTAAATCCCATGTTTCACATCCTCATCAAAATCACTATTTTTGTGTACAATAGATCTTAAGTATTTAAGACTTCTCATATATTACTGATAACAGTTTGATTAAAATACATGACGTAAGCACTAAATCGTACGTAGTGCCGTGATCTTATCTTTTATTGATGAAGGTGCCTGTCTTGTAAAATGATAAATGTATTATAATTTTAATTGATAAAATACTATATTACTATTATTATTACATATTTTTAAAAGCATTAAAATCACGATTTAAGATCTTAAATCGTGATTTTAATTTTCGTACAACAGTGCATGTCATAATATATGGACCATGCTATAAAATAATTTCTGATATAGATTATTTAAAACCATGAATTGGGTATTTACCGTACATAACAGAAAAAATTACTTATCACTATTTAAGATATACGTTTAAAAATAATATCTTAAATTGTATAATTTACTTATTATTTAAGTTATTTACTACATTTTTATTTATAAGTAATACAAATTTTTTTGGTCATGGTATTTCTTTTCTGTTTAGAGTTTTGAATTTATAATAAATTGAGTTTTTAATATAATAGTTGTGTCATGATATTATAATATTTGTACTTAGTACTTAAAATTGTGTATTGTTCTGATGTGTTAGATTTGATAATTAATGCTTTATGATTATATACCTATATATATGTATATATACATAGAATTCTTGAAATAGTAATGTCAGGCTTATCAACTAAAAATTTTTATGGTTCATCTAAAAAACGTAGTTCTTTCCATTTAGTACCATCGTCATCAACTTCCTGCAAAAAACTAAGACGCGAACCATGTCATTTAACTAATGTTAAACGATTACTGGGACCTCCAATTGGATGGAAAAATTTTCCTAGACAGCAAGAAGCATTAGACTATGCAAAAACCAAATCATCTGGTTGTATGTCATTTACATATGAACAAAGCAATGGTCAACGATATTTTATGGTAGCACACCCTGAAACATTTTGGTACTATGATTCACGTAAACCACAGAACGAAAGACACACGTATGAGATTATAGCAGAAGGTAATCCATGCAAGTTATATTTTGATTTAGAATTTAATCGAAAGAATAATCCAGATTCAGATGGTAATAAAATGATAGAAACTTTTGTGAAAACTATAATAATATTTGTAAAACAAAAATTTGATGTTGTGTGCAATGAAGAAGATGTTCTCGATTTAGATTCATCAACAGCAGAAAAGTTTAGCCATCACTTAATATTCCAATCTTTGGTTTTCTCTAATAATCTTCAAGCTGGTAGTTTTGTTAAATTTATATGTTCTGAAATCAATAAATTTTTATCTGAAGATCACAATTCAGAAGATAATGGTTGTTTTTATAATGGGTTAACTACAAAAGATCTTCTAAGTTTAAAAATTGACAAAGGTTTGTTTTGTGATGAAAGTGTATATTCTAGAAACAGACACTTTAGATTATTTAATTCATCAAAATTTAAAAAAAATATACCTTTAGTACTGAGCAAAAGTAATAAATATAAACCGCCAGAAATACCACACTGTGAAGATTGCTTTGACAAACAAATATTTTTAAAATCTTTAATAACATTTGGTTGTGATGGTAAAGTATTATTGAACTTCACTAACACAATGACAAATGAAATTGGTGTTAATTCACTAGGTGAGCAGATACATTGTGGAACAAAAAATAAAAGTGATGAATGTCAATCATCTTATGCAAGTTCACCTTTTCCACGCATTGATAAATATATATCCAATCTTGTGTTCCCAGGGAAAATTTTTAGAAACCATTACTTTCCATCAGTAAACAAAATAGTTTATAGTATTGTAAAGAACCGTTATTGTGGAAATGTAAAACGACAACACAAAAATAATAATGTTAAATACATAGTCGATTTGAATGAAATGTATTGGTATCAAAAGTGTTATGATCCAGACTGTGAGCAATATCGATCAAATGGTACCAAATTACCAGATGAAATATGTTTCGAGTATGCTAATCGTGTTGTTGATAATTTATCTGACAGTCAATTAATACAAATCGCAGATGATGCTCAGTTGACTTATAATTTTACTAAACAATAAATTATGATAGTATAAAATTATGTAAAATTTAAAAATTAATTTTCATGATTTATTATATACAATATATTTAAACAAAAATTAACTATTTTAGTTTTAATGGTATACAATTTAAATACATCTTAATTTCATAAAACAATAAAATCTTATTTACTGATCAGTACCCTTACTATTAATGTATATTAACATAAAATATAATGACAAGGATTATTTGGTAAAAATAAAATAAATAATTCAAATTTAGTTTTGGTATAATATTGATTATTTTTCTATATATTTCACGTAAACAAGACCAATAAGAGTACACACCTCAATCACAATTATAAGTATAAGAAGAATTCTATCTTGAAGTACGTGTCTGTTTATGGCAGACACGTAGCGGTGTGAAGAGAGTCTGGTATTGTCAATGTCTTCTAAACGATCCCGGGCACCAGACAGTGTATGTCTTTGTTCTCCTAGTTCTTGAACAATTGCTGTACCAATTTCTTCAGTTTCAACAGCAATTGATTTTATGTCGTTTAAACGGTTGTTGGTGCGCAACAACACTTTTCTATTTTCTTCAAAGACTTCCATTGATAATTGCACTATATTATATTAAATAAATATAATAACTCATAATCATTAAATTCAGACTGCATATAAAACCATTTGATTATTTCATTCTAATAATTAAAATAATTAAAATAATCTTAAAATTAATTTTATAAAATTTACTTTAGTAGGTACTTACTGTGTTTACTATTTTATAATGACATTGTGTGATTATTTTTTCTATAAATTAGAATTATTTTATTTTGATTTACCATATGTTCCTACTTGAAAAACTAGTGAATTGTTCGTGTACCATATATTTTTGTTTGCAATTATCTTGAATCACTTGAAAAGTTTAAACTTCAAAGTTAAAACATTTAAAACTTAAATTATTGCATTCTATTATCTAATAATACAGAATTATTATATTCGTGAATCAGGAAAAGATAAAGAGAAGGTAATTGCTTGAATTCTACATAGATAAGATATGATTCCTATCATGGTATTAGATTCCTATGACATTAATATTATTACTAATTATTTAGATCTTTTACTATATGGTATATAGCTGAGTCCTCAACTCACCGCGTCGTTTCGTTTCATGTGAAATACTCTTTTCTAATTGGCTCATGTTATCTTGATAAATACATTTTGGTCGTGTCTACCGAGACGTTACCACAGATACCACAGAGTTGAATAAATTCAAATTTTGGACGTGCTAGTTATAGGTGGTAACCTATATAGGTGGTCATTTTCTTGTTTTCGTTTTAATATTAAATTAAGTTAGTATTAAAATTTTCATTATTTAATATTAAAATTAAATGTGAATTAATATTCAATTTTAGTACTAGTTTTAATTCAATATGAAGTTTATAAAGGTAAATAATAACCTATATAATCATAAAATGTACATTTTTAAGGGACAGATACGCACTTTATGCAAAAAGTTTGTTGTATTAAATACTTCACAATGTACTTTTTTATGATATAAAATCATAAACTAGTACTAGTTAGTAAAGTACCAAGTAATTTTAATTTAGGTTGTACCATTGATTTTAAAATCAATACCTACTACTAGAATATAACTATTAAAAATAGTAATATTTTAGTAGGTAACTAAAATTAGGTAAAATAATTTTGGTGTTATTATTATTATTAATTAATCGTATAATACAAGTAAACTATATTAATAAAGTGAATACTGTTTAGATAATAATTCAATGCCTTTTTTTACATCGCCTTTTTTGACAGAAAATAATATAAATTTTAAAAAACCTGAAGAAAGTGTAGAGACAGTGAAATATTGATGGCAAAATAATAATAAATACCTATATATAAATAATATAACATAATAATGATATTATATTTTGAGAAAAATGTGCGATACTAATTACCGCGTATTTTTGGAAAATGATTAATTAATAGTGATAGTGAGTGATAATGTTGGATTTTGGTAGAAAGACTGGTACAAATTATTTCATGTAATCAAAACAGAATGTGTCGTGTTCAAAATACACGAAACGAAACGACAAGGTGAGTTGAGGATTCCCCTTAGGACTAATCATCATGATCTTAGTAGATATCTTTTAAGACCGTGCTAATTATAGACACATAAATGTTATTAATTTTTAATATTACGATTCTATCAATTCCATTATATGATACACGATTTAAGATATTATATAGCACATTATATATAATATAACAACGGTCTATAACAGATATAGTGCTTATGATGATTGGTGAACTACGGTTTAAGATATCTTAAATTGTGATATGATGAAGTGATCAACCACTATCCAGTGCGTACAACATTACCATAGTATAATCACTATAATCTAACCTCAAAATCTTCAAGTTTAATGGAATTTTTTGAAAAAGGCGCAATTTAACGGTATTATACTATTGTGTCAGTATTCAGTAATGTAATTGGTATTCCGTCGTTCTTGTATATGTTTCTATTTCTATAGCTTACACATTATTACAGTATTGTAATTAATGAGAAATTGTTTTTTGTGAAGGTATTGTTAAGCGTTTATATTATAATCTTTATTTTAAAGCTAAATAGTTTGTAGTTTATCCGTCGCTCAAGATGTCTACGTTTTAAATTATTTCCATTTGTCTACATTGAACTGTTGTCGCTAAAATCCAGGTATGTATTGAATGAAATCTGATAGCTAAGGTTCCTATTTTGTACGTCTTGTCTTATAATTAACAGTCGTAATTTTCGTAAATATGCATGGTTCTAAACAATAAAAAAAAACTAAGGAGGCTATTGGGGAAGTGAATGGGAACGAATCAAAATATTTTTTTTGGAATCTGATCTCGTCATACATATCCCTGATTAATACTATTACTAGAAATTATTTAACAGAGTAATTACGTTTGCTAAAAAAAAAAAATGTTTATATTCTGATAAATATTATAACCGAAGAACATTTAGGGTGATGTCTGGGTGTCAAAGTCAAACTCAATATATTGTTAAAACCATCACTATTTTATTTTATTTTCTCATCCCTTTATGCATGTTCTGCAGTCAGAATTTCCATTTTCTGATTTCTCACAAAAATATACGAGAATTTGTTATCTATCCCAAAGCTATATCATTGAAAAGGGAAGAAAAATCGAAATTCTAACTGTCTAAATCATTTTAGAACCATTTTTAAATCATCATTTTAGGTCACTATACAAATAAAAAAATAATTAAAAATAATTTCAATATTTTAAGGTATTTTGAAATGCTAGACAGTTTCAACATTTTTCAAAGTTCACGAACTTTCACTTTAAACTAGGATTATATGAGCAGATAATATGAAAATTAATATTTTACAGTAAATTGGTTGGTCAAAGCATGCAGGAATCAATTGTTTTTTTTAGCATTTATTAATATTTTGACTTATTTTATAATAAGAGCCATACTTAGACTGTACATAATTTCTTATTTGGTGTTAATCTATATTACGTTTTTTTTTTTTTTTTTCAAAAATTAGAATTATTACATTATATATAATGTGTATGGCATATACATAATCAAAGCTCCCATAAAAATCTTCAAGTTAGGTTAGGTTACATTTGATTTATATAGGGTAGTTCTTTTATCTTAGAATACTTTTTAATGCTTTATTTAAGACTGGTTTAAACCATTCTTAAATTTTTACCTACACTTTATGTACCTAAAATAAATATATTTTTTGATTTTTAAATAGTTATCCCCCTTTTTAAACACAGATTTGAATAGAGAATATTTTGATTTACAGAACACTAATATCAGATTTGCCGTTTATGAGATATAACAGTTACAATTTAGACTGGGTAAGTAGAAAAGGGTTATAGATTGAATACCTATTTTCAAATGATATGATAACTCTTCTATCCCTCCAGTCTAAATTTAAACTGTTATAACTCATAAATGGTAAATCTCATATTAGTGTACTACAAATCAACATTTCTAGAAAATATTCTCAATTTTAATTTGTGATTGAATTGGGGAGGTATATTAAAAACCTAAAGTGGATACTCATTTATGGTATAAGGAATGGGGGTAAAAAATTTAAAATTTTGTTACAATTAAACTTAAACAATTCCATAATAACTAAAAGAAAATAACAAATCAAATTCACTGAAAATACACCAAGAAAATTGTTAGTTTATGATAGAAGATCATCAAGTTGATTATTTAACCTTTAAATTGTTTAAATTTCTATTTCTATTTTTTTTTTTTATTAAAATTGTTTTAGATTTACAATGACTAGCCGACAATCTGTTAGTTCAATATTAAAGCCATCTAAAGTGCGCGCCCCTCTAAAAGAGATTGAACCCGTTGATCAGGATGCTGATGAAAATACTGAATCCTTACCCAAAAGAAAAGTGAGTTTTTCTGGGATGAATAAAATTAAAATGTATAATACAGGTGCAACATCTTTAACTGTACATCAAGCACCTATGTTTGATGAACAAATATCGATACTGTCAGACTCTTCAAATGCTGAAAAAACAAAATTATTATTAGAAGCATCACAAAAATCTAATCAAACTACTATAGAATCAACAAATTGTACAACTATGGAAGATAATAACCGTGTTTGTATAGAGTATGAATGTCCAAACGATAATATGGAAATGACTGAAGCATTGTCTTGTAAAATATTTTCTGATACAATTTATACTATTGAAAATAATGGTTTTGAACATGGTGATTATAATTCAGATTATTCAGATAATAATATGGAATTTACAGAAGTAATAAAAACTGCTCAAATATTAACTAATGAAAATGATTCAGATTTTAGTTCTACCGAAACATTAAATGATAATAATAAACATCCTGATGCTCAATCAAGTAATATGGAATTAACTTGTGTAACTAGTTTTCAAAAATCTATTTTGCCACATTGTAAATCAGATATGGAATTAACTGAACTAACCGATAGAAAAATACATGAAAACAATTGCGAATTAGTCTTTGAACAAGGTCAGCTTTCTATTAGTACTACATCTGAGATGTCTAGTGATATTTCAATGGATATTGATCAAACATCAGAAGGTAATGATATCAATTGTATTATTAACAATTCAAAATTACTTGTAAGTGAACAAAATGATTCATTAGTACCAAAACCATCAGAATATGAACAACATAATTATTCAGATTTATTAATTGATATTGATAATCAAAATATTCAGTCTAGTCCATCTTTGATTTCCACGGGTTTATCTTTTTTTTCTGAAATGTTTGACAGCAATAAGCCTTGTAGAGTTGAAGAACTAAAAAAAGACATATTAAATATTGATACATCTACAGTTGACCAATATCATTCATTCGAAAATAATAAAATAAAAAACTATTCAAGGAAATCAATGGCTCATACTAACACAGTAATTGTTGAAGAAAAATCTACTAAAAATAAATATTTATTAAATACCTCAGTAGTAGTTAAGAAAAATGACCAGAAAAGTTCAAACACAAAATCTCAAACTCAATCCTTAGAAAAAGAAAATACATTGAATTTGTCTGTAATTCGTGACGAAAATCAACAAATAAATGCTCTTGTGTCAATTCATAATGAATCTCAGTCTTCTGAAAATGATGAAATATCAAATACACCTGTAATGCTTGGAGAAAATCAACAAAAAATATATTCTCAACAATCAAATGCCCCCGTGTTTCTTCATAATGAATCTCAATCTTTTGAAGATGAAGATATATCAGATACACCTGTAGTAGTTGAAAAAAACCAACAAAATATATATTGTAGAAAATCAATTGCGCCCACGCTGGATTTTAATGAATCTAAGTTTTCCGAAAGTGAAGGAATGTCTATTTCTAATCAAACTCAATCTCCAATCAGAGATTTATCATATACATCTGTAACTGTTAAAGCAAATAGACCTAAAAAATATTCTAGAAAAACAGTTGGTCCCTCATCAATATTAGTTCATAAAGAACCTCCAAAATATATTAAGTGTGATAATTATATGGATGAAGAAAGTAGTAAATCAAACTCTAGAATGTCAATGACTTGTATGACAACAAAATGTATTAGTGATATGTCCCTTATGTCTAAAGATAGTAATAGACAACTACTAGATTTATCCAATAAACATGTACAAACTGAACTTAAACCTGTATTTCCTAATATCATTGTTGATGATGATTTTAATTCTCCTTTCAGAAAAAAGTCAAGATTATCTATAGCTACAAATTTAAAATCTCAAACTGCTAATGAAACTAACCCTTATGAGAATTATGAAGAAACTAATAAAATGGATATATCAGTTGAGCTGTCTAATGATAATAGTATGTTAAAAATATCTTCTAAGGAATTACATATATCATCTCCATTGTGTTTATTAAATGACATATCAAATTCTTTTCAAAAAATAACTAATTCATTAATTAATGAAGATGGAAATTCCTTAGTTTTTAAAAATAATTCATTTGAAGAAAAATTAGAAGGGAGTGATAAATCATCAAGAAAAGAAAAACATCTTAATGATTTGATTGAAAACATTGAAAAACTCGAAGAAGTAAAAAACGGTTCTTTACAAATATCTGATAATATTAATATGACCAATCGTAGTTTAAAGTTTGAAGATGATTCAATCTCACACCATAATGTAGATAAAATAGTAAATGACATTTGTACTGAAGGCTTATCAAATATATCAATTTCTAATATAACTCATACAAACTATGAAAATCGGAAAAGAAGTTACACTAATGTAGATATAAATTATGAAGAACCTGCAAAAGAAAAGGATTTTGAAGTAGTCCCTCCTATAAAGGACGATTCTTTCAAAGAAAATTTAAATATTGAAGTTATAGAATTCTTAGAAAAATGGGAAAATCAATTTATAGACAAAATATTAGTTAAAGTAAAGTGTACAAATAGTAAATGGACTTTCAATGCATTAAATGACAATATAGTTTTAACAATAAAATATTTACCAATTCTTAAGGATCATAATTTTCTTAAAGTAGAAGATATTTCATTTACTACCAAGAATATTATTGAACATGAAATCCTTAAGTTTGGAATAAATTGGATTTTATCAAAATATGATCCAAAAGTGTACAAACAAGTTTGTTTCAGCTCAAGAGACATAGAACTTTTATTAAAATCTCTACTGGAAGATGTTAAATATATTAGTAAAATGATGAATAATATGTTTTATGTAAGTGATATGTATTGTGTTAAATTTGAAGATAATTTAGCCCAATTTTGTTTACATAGTATGAAATGTCAATCTATGACCAGTATTCAGATATCATTGGCCAATATTCATAAGCTTTCTGTTAAAGATATAACTGTAAACTGTGTGTTTGGTTCTTTCAATATAAATTTACTGAATGAAATACTTAACGAGTTGCCCAAAGATTATAATATTTTGGAGTCTTTAATTGTACAATTAAAAAATCAAATGTACAGATAAATAAACTAGGTAATAACATGTGTTTTAAGAAATTGATGTAGAAATAAAATGTAAATAATATATCTTATTATACTGTTTATTTTTAATAATTGTATATTTTAAAATTAAATTAATATACGAACCTCTCCCACCATTATTTAATAATTATTCACTAGGACTTCATTGGAGTCATTGAAACTATATGGTTTTGTAATAGTTTGTATTAAATTAAAGCAGTACTTGTACTATAATATTTGAAGTAGGTTTCTGTTTTTTAGCTGCTGCTCTCTTTATACTATATTATAGGAAAAATGATAATAAAAGTGACTAACCCTGTCTAATTTTTTTTTTTTTATATATATATATACTCTAAATGTTTAAATGAAAATATGTTTACATAATGTTATATCCATATAATATTCTAACTTAGCAATTAAAAACTTAATGTATGTATTTCTATCATTAATTAAAACTAATAAAATTATTCTATTATTATGAAATATAAATATTAATTTACTACTTTCAATCTTGTTTTGTATAAATATTGAATAAAAAAAAAAAATAAAAAAATCTGAACATGACATATGATACTGTGATATAGAAAGAGACAGAAGAATGATGTCAATATATAGAGGTGAATGAACAATATAGTAGATACCAAAGCAACAATTAAAAGAGGGGCATGACGAGCTTGCTCCTTGTCATCTGTTCAATTTATTTACAGAAAAGATCATGGGCAGGTATAAGAAAAGATACGAGTATTATGCAAATATTTAGAAGAAATAACAAGATAGCCAAGATTGGCTGTAACCTTAATGTAGCTATAAATAGAAAAAAATAAATTCAAAATTCAGCCCTGATGGTTGGAGCCAAATTTCGGTTGAATTCTAAAAAAAATTAAGAACACAATAAAACAAAGTGAAATAAATAAGAATAATTCAAAATCTGAAGTTAATGTACAATATTGAGATGATTCATTGAGAGTATACTGTAATTATATAATCTATCAAGTAGACTATATAAATAATCAGTGGAATTATAACTTAAAAAAAAAAAGAACTGAGAAACACAATTTGCATTAAGGTGCAGCCACTGTTGTAGGTGAGAAGTTGGGAAGGTAGAATACAGACTGGAATTTAATGTATATTTAACAATACACCATTGCTAACAAAAAACAATAGTGAGCCGAGTTTAGTTGATAATGTTGCTTTGTCAAAAATACAATATATTATATCAAATGGTAAAATGATTAAAACAATGATTGTTTAAAAGTTTAAAATAATAAAAACTTAATAACAAAAATAATTATAACTGTTGCCAATGACAACCTTATTTTTAATCTTTCAACCTTTTTTAACCTACAGACCGAAGTTATCTTCATTATCTCGAATATTATAGAGAATTTCAAAAAATGACCTATCCAAAGTTCAACCCAGAAAACATTTCCTTTAAGAAAAGATGCTATATTTAATAATTAGAGCATGCTTTCTGGTATTTTCACATTAAAAAATAATACATAATAGATTTATGTCTATTTAAAGCTGATATTACTTAAAATGAATATCCTCAAAAAAATAATATTTTAAGTTATAAACCATCCTTGTAACTGAAGAAATGTATTTATTATTTTTTATTTCAATTTGAAAACAAATTATTCTTTTTAAATATAAAAATCGACAGGCATTATTTTTTATTACAGCTGATAATAAAAACAGAAATATACATATGATATACATAAATAAATTCAGTTTTTGTATATATCAATATGCCTACAGTATTTAAATCTTTATAATAATAATAAGACATTTATTTAAAATAATTTTAAATTATACAGTATAAATTTTAAAAGAAAAAAAAATGATTTGATGGATTCCAATAATTAAATAAATAATTTAACTAAGTTCTACTTTAACATGATAATTATTATTTACATTAATTTGAAGACTTGAATAAAATTGAATTGTTTAATAAATACATTATTATTGTTGAAAATTATTATTTTATTTCAAATGTTTTTAATGTTTATTAATGTTTTTTTTTTTTCTAGGCAATTTCATATTATTTATAGCATTATAAAATTCGTTCGTAGAACAATAAGTAAGCTTGACAGCTTTCAACAATGTTTTTTGATACTTGTCTAACCATACTATCACTGATTGAATACCAGGTACCACTTGGTTCCAGATGCGAAGCATCATCATTGCCATCAATAATTTTAGGTGGTTTTGTCTTACTGCCTTCTAAAAACGAATGCCGGTAGCTATTGTCTTTAACAGAATCTCTGACCTAAAATTCATACATACAAAATAAATGTTAGTACAGTTTTTATTAGACTAATATGGATGTGAAATCATGAATAAATTAATTTAATTTGTTGATAAATGAATCATACTTTTACGTAAGCAATATAATGACCACTATGTAAAAATCCAGTATGTTCCACAACACCATATAGAGAATACAATATTCGGTTTTGGCCAGGGCTTAATTTATTCTTGAAAATATAAAAAAAACAAAATTTAAAATTTAAATAAAATTTAAAAACATTTTTTTAATAATTACTTGACATTTTACTGAACAATAAGGAGCTATGTCCAAGACCCATGGAAATGATACTTCTGTAGCCATTTTGCGTGTAGTTGAAAAACACATTTGAAATCTTTTTAAATGTAATATTAAAATAGCTGGCGGAGAACTAATTAACATTTGTTTGGTACTTTGGCGATAAATAGTTTTAGCTTCATTTGTTTCTACAAAAATATGAGTTTAAATAAAAAATATAATTATATTTACCGAACAATTATAAAAATCTTACTTTGTTTATGTTGTTCAGTACATCGTTCGCATGAAACTTTATTATTACCCGTCATTATCTCTGATGCAGTAAATTGATTCAGACAAGTTAAAACTGAGCACTCCCCATCTTTACATTTCGGTTGAGGCTGTAATGTAGCTTGTGGAACTTCTTGAGAAAATTCACCTTCTTCTTCGTCTTCTACATCATCTTCACTTTTTGAGTCGTCAAACAATCCATCACTATTATTATCACTAACATTTGGAGTAGGATTATTACGTTCCTAATACATAAAACATATATAAATACAATAAATATTATGCTACATAAATAAGGTTTAAATCTAAAAAATAATATTCTTATATAAGATTTACGCCTAGATTTGTAATAAAATTTATTTTTATTTAATTTAATAATAATTAATTATTATTATTAATATCAATACCTGATTTTCATTTGCACTATCTGTTCCTACATCCATGTAATCTGGACTGACATTAGCACGCATAGAATCAAGTGATGACCCTTGAGGTGAACTCGGACTATTAGCAGGACTACCTGGTAAAACTGAATCCAAATCCATTGGCTTTTCAGAATCTAAAATTCTGTCTGCATCCATTTGTTTATCGGGATCAGCCAATGGAGTGTTATTCATCATTGTAGTAAGTTCTGTAATACTAAGAGGAGTTGTGGTGTTAGATTGTTGCTTTTCTGAACTAAAAACTGACTCTGGATTCTTTTTATTCTCATTCTTCCAATCAGACATTTCAACTTCATTTGTTTCAATTTCCATATTATCTTCTACATCTGCATCATTGTTCACAACTTAAAAATAATAATTCAGAAATTAAAAATCAAATATATTAATTTAATTAGAAAATCAATAAAATTACAGCCATGTTACCTAATGTATCTTGGATTTTATTATTAAATTGTTTATGCTCATATTTCTTTCGTCTTCCTTTCAAGGCTAATTTACGTTCTTTTTTCATCTGATGTTTAGACTGGCTAAAAACATCATTATCTTTTTTACGCATTAATGATAATGTGTGTGCCTATTGATTAAATATTAAATAAATAAGTAAATATATTTCAGAAAAATTGGTACATTAATGTTTACTTTATCAGCTGTGATTGGTAAGCTTAAATCCAAGAAACTTTCTGTTACTTCTGATTTATGCCCACAAGTTTGACATTGAACAACACTTAAAAGTTGTCCCCGGAATACATGATCAGGACGTAAAAGTATATCTTGTAATATTTTGCCAAGTTCTTTAACTTTGGCAGCTTTTTCTTCGTCTACTTCACTGGGACTATCCCTCACAGTTAAACCACAATGATATAAAATTGCCTTTTGATAACGCTAAAAAAATAAATTTCACTTTTTATTTTAATCTGTATTAATACATATCTATATATAAATAATATTTAAGAACTAATTAGTAAACCAAAAATGATAAGATACATTCTGAACATTCACATTTAACTCAATAATAGTATTTTAGTGCTTCTATTTTTGATCGGTGTTAGCCAGTTGGTAAAAATACTTGTTTTATGCAATTTAACATGCATAGGACTTCAAACCTATTTTATTATTTATTGAAAAACAAAATTAATTTATATTTAGATCATAAGAATTGTTTTTAATAATGTGTGGGCATTGGGCTTGCAGTGTAGTAAACATATTCTAAAAGAAGGGTCCTCATACAAGCATTTAAAAGATTAATATTTTAGTAGAATATAGTTTGATTATGCCTGAATACTATTATGTGCTTTCTCTATTAACAAAGTAAATTTTGTATAAATAATCTACAATATTTAAAAATTATTGTAAATCATTTTTAATTTGTTCACCCTTATTTAGAACCCAAACTTCACCTTAGATCACAGATTAAATTATATTCAATATAGTACAGTTTATATATAACACAACATTAATTGAAACACTACATTTTTATCAAAATTTAATAATACTAATTTCTAAATCTGTCAATATCTTTACATTACCTTTAAGTCATCATCACGCACAGAGTCTAAAAGATGACGTAAAAGTTCATGCGAGTCATGCTGACTGTAGCCAATAAACATTTTGCATTTTTTCCTCAACGAATCTAAAAGAGCACTTGGTGTAAAAGTAGATTCACGCTCATTGGTGATTTCTTTCAGAGTTGTGTACAGGTTTTCTGTTAATGGACTCCATTTTTCTTGTTTTACAATCTAAGCATTAATTATTATGAATTTTAATAACAAATTTACATATAATATAGCTCTTTTAGTCAAATTTGATTGTGAAAGTTACAAGAAAATTTTACTAATTATCACTCTTATCAAGTTAATTATTATATAACTATGGTAGTTAAAAATATCAGTAAGATTTAAAAAGAACAATGTTATTTTACCATAATAGTTAATTGTACTCTTATTTACAGAATTAGTTTTATTTTAATATAATAACAAACTATTATGAAATAAAATATTAATATAATATAAATTTTTCATTATATTTGTAATAATAATACTTACAATATCTTCATTATCTAATTTTAAAGTAATTGGTTCAACAGATTCACTAATATCAAGTAAACATTTTCTTAAGAATGGAGTTTGCGCTAGACATTGTAACACTGAATTGTAGAAGCATGTATTTCCCAAGTTGTTTAGGCCCTATAATGAAGTAAAAATGTCACTATTAGAGTTATATTTTTATAATAGCTAAATGTTGATTTAGATGAAACATACTCTAGGTCTTGGAGGTTTCTCAAAATTGTTTGAAATATTTTTTGGTAGATCAAATGTTTTCTTAAATAACGGGGCATCATCGTCATCGTCGGATTTATTTATTCCATTACATTTTTTTGGAGAACTTTCTACACAATTTTAGTAAACAATAAAATAATGTTAAGGCTATTAAAAAAACTTTATATTCTTAAAAATTTAACCTGCAACATCGTCTGTGACATATTGATCAAACTGTGCATCTGCTTCCGATAAACAACCTTGAATTGGAAGTTCATTCATTTTATTTTTACCTGTTTGGGATTCTTTCATACGATTTATTAAATTAATTGCTTCTAAGAGTTTTTTTGAACCAGATACTGATATTAGTTTGTCGCAATCATGACACCTAGTTAAATCAATTACATTAAAATACATGTTATAACATAATAATGTCTACTAATAGCTAGAGAAATCTTTAAATAAAATAGGTAAATTTAAAGAAGTGAATATAAAATATATATAATACATACCTACACAAAAAGTGAAGGACATGCGGAAGAAATAAAATTACTTTTAAATACTTTGATTATATTAATAATTATTTGATAAACAAAACATACAAAATTAAAATAGATGTGAACTATAGAGCTTGATCGGTTGACTGGTTTTATTTTAATGGTGATTAGAGTTTATAGTTAATAATAATGAAACCATTTGAAAATACTAAACCAAATGCAATTTAGAATGGTTTGAAAATAAAATATAAGGTAATTTAGTATAGTTTCTGAATACAATGATAAATTACTGCAAAGAAAACCGATTCTGAGTAAATTTTATTGAAATTTCTTAACAAAATTAACATTGAACATTTTACCAACTCTAAAAATTATCTACAATTTTTAAAGTTAACATATTCAAATTAAAGTTAATATACATAAAAAATGGTGTGACATTATGCTCAACTTTGTTTTTACCTTGTACCTGGTCCCCTTCCAACCTTGTATCAAATTTTTGAGCATTTTTCTAGTCAAAAATTTTGCTCCACTCAAAATCTAAAAGGAAGTTTGAATTTGTCAAATAAAATTTCAAGTTTTTAACCAAAACCAAATGGAAAACTAAATAATTGGGACCTAATTAGTTTGATATCAATATAAAAATTGGATAACACTAAGACCTATGAACATAGTTATGGGTTATATTTTGGTTTCATAATGAATTATTTAGAGAGTGGTTTTGAGAATATTTTTTTAAGACTCACAACCATTATTTAAATTTATTAATTATTCTTCTCTTCTCCACTAGTCTAAATTCTAAACTATTGTGCATAAACAATGAATCAGATATAATTTTACGCATATTAACATTGTATACAAATATTTTTTTCCAAATTTGTGTCGAATAGGAGATTCTACTCGAAAGTTAAAACTCATTTAATATACAAAGATACAAAATAACTTAAAATCCTAAGAGAAAATCACTGGATCATGAACACACGATCATAGCTAGTGTATATATCTAAACTATCATGAAAAGTGACTAAATGATTTGAACTAATTGTTTAATATTTTTTTAAATGTGAAATTTAGATTTAAATTGTATTTAATCAAGTTTTAAGAAATTCAAAAATATTTATATCACTTGAGACTCTTTTTTTGTACACATAAAAAGATAAAATAAGATATTTAAATAAATTTTTTTTTATACTAAATCACTCTTTGCACATCGGCAACAATATATAATTAATATATTATAAATTCATAGTTATAGGTTAAGTTTATTATGGGTAGTTTTTTAGTAAGACCTGAATACATAATAATTAATGAAGTACTAGTTTTTAATAAATCATAAATTATAGTCAATCAAAGATAATTAACTTAGATATATATGAACCTTTTTTTTCGGTTATAAATTTAAAATTGTTAATTTAAATATGTAAATTTTATCTACTAGCCTTATGCATAAGCACATAAATAATTTATAACTTAAATATTAGGTTAATGTTTTTTTTGTTTGAATCTTTACTAAAAAATTTATACATTACTGTACTTTAGTTGCTTATTTATTTTTTATGCTTGATATACATTTAAATTAAAGCAATAATTTTCACTTTTTATACTATGAAATCAGTTTGAATAGGTACAATATATTACAAATCATTAAATAAATACTTACAAAATTTCCAAGGTTTCAAGGTTGATAGCAATAGAATGAGATTCACTTCTTGGATCAGTTTGATGTTTAAAAATGTGATTTGTATTATTAACAAAACACATTAATGCTCCACACTGCAAGCAAATATATAGCTCCTACAATACAAAAAATATAAATTCATGATAATGTTTTAATACAATATTATTTTATACACAAACAATTATAACTATATTAAAAAAAAAAAATAAACATTATATAAAAATTATCACAATTAAATTATTTACGGATTTAAAAACAATTACATACGCTAAAGTTATCGTTTTCACACCCACGTTCAGCACACTGAAGAACAACCTTTTGCAAACGCTTACGTACAGTATTTAATTTGGTAGATTTTTTGATGTGAGCACATGGATGTTTGTTATCTAGAACAAAAAACACGTTAACAATGAATATCAAGGGAGAAATATGAAGACGACCAGTGGAGTTCGTTAGAGGGTTATGGACTCACTATTAATTGATTGACTTTTTATCTCGCCCGAATCTGATGAATAACCAACAGTAAGCGAATCTGGAACAGGAACATTAGGACCATTCCGTTTACGTCTGTTTTTTCCCATTACTTACCAGAAGGATGGAAAACGCGGACCAAAAAAAACTCAACACTGGACGTCTATTGTAAAAGATTTTGTTTTGGGAGAAAAACGTGATTAGGCGAAAAATGTGGAAATAGATAAGGTGTGCATCTATCATGTTGTCGAAGTCAATGTGCATGATAATATTACTTTACAATGACCATAATATAAATGAATGGCGAATACAAACGTTTAACAATGAATGATTACATGGGTACCTACCTTTTATTTGAAACTGAATAACCTTCGAACCCACCGATTCGCTGTGTCCACGAAATAGACGTCACTATTTTCTTTTTTCAAAACCTATTTAAGTAATGCTGTTGTTCACTGGCTCGACCCGTTTGTTAATCTAGGTAGTTCACTGTTTAGGGATTTGAACATAAAATATTTCCTCGGTAACAAAAAGAAAACTATTTAGTGTGAAAAAAATGTGGATGGCATTGATATTTGAGAGGGATGCGGATGCCGAATAATTGCACACAATAATAGGTATACTGTAACCGTATTATTATTGGTAACAATCAGGTGCAGTATACCTATAATTGTGTGCTTGTCGTGCGGCTGATGTGGGAGGAAAAAGGGATGAGAGCGTACGTACAAGAGCGTAGTCACTAGTCATCATACAATGCATTCAGAATACAGCTGATAAGTGCGCGAGGACGTTGTAGGCGCGTTGTGTTAGCTAAAGCAGTCGTGGCAACACAAGTTGGCCAACATGCGTGGCAACGATCCCGGGACGAACTGCAACTCCTTGAACTACTCATTTATAACCGTGAATTGTCCGTGATTGTGCGATTGACTGCGATTATACGATTTCTTTTCAATGATTTTGCTCTAGATCATACACTAAGGATTTTGCAAATGATTTTAGATATACGATATATTATGATTAAAGAAATATAATTCATCTAACATCATGATTTTATCCAACTGCCGCAACCTGTGCGCCCGTGTGAAGCATTGAGTAGGATTCTATGGTGTAGAATACTCAAGAGTCCCGCCAATCGCTATCAGCGCATTCTAGCAAGATCACTGGAACTGCATTCAATGTTCATTTTCCGTTTTGCCCAGTATATATATATATGTATATAATATATCCATAGTTCCGTCTATTGGACTCGTAGGTAATAAAATAACAATATCTAATATCTATACGATTAGTGTATTGAGGTCTTCGATCTCTTTGGGTTACCAGTAATCTGTGAAGAGATTAATTAATTATTTCGTGGTAAATTATTATTTATTATCTACAATCTGGTCGCGTTTCAAAAATTTTAATTTTCGAACAACTACAACTATGGCTTGTAACTTGCATAGAACATTAAAGGCTTGCGCGGACCAACAGTTCCCGACCCGGCCCGGTTGGTTGTAAAATAATTGACCATGGTCAAATTTTTTTGCACGTATATAAAAGTCTGGCCAAAGTCTGGTATTTTATTGGTTCGGAAAAACCCGGCCCGGATTTTTCCTTATGATTTTCAAATAATTGTACCACACCGGTCGTATCTTTGTAAGATTGCAGTGGTATTAGGTTAAAAATAAATATGTATGTAAGAAATATTCAGGGAGTCGATTTCACTTATACCATAGATAATAAAGATATTGATAGGGCGATAGGCTATCCATACCTTATTAATTATAAGTGTTCCGAGAAGGTCGGGTTCACTGGGTACAGTCTGTTATTTCAAGATTGATTCATAAACTGTGGGGTTTTATCTACATGGTGCTGAATGATAAATCGCCTCAATTTTCCAGTTTTTCGTTCCTTTGGAGTCCGGGAACATCGCCAAACATAGTCACTTAAAATGTAGTCGTTATAGAAATGGACTATTAATTTCTATATTATCTACGACTAATACGTAATAGAAAAACCTGGCGTTTTGAACACGAATTAAAATCACTATTATTAATATTTTTATCCGTGGTTTTGAACCTAAATAACGCGTGATAATATTCAATACACTAATTACGTTTTCGTAGAATAGACCCCCAGTATCTCTTTGTAAAAAAAATGTCCCGCCCTTAATAAATGCAAAAGCCCGGCCCTTGCAGGTCTATAATAAATACTTATACTGTTATCTATTTCAGTGGTTCATGCTTTGCATAGATATAGGTATAATCGATATATCTTAGTCCGTGGGTAGGGGTGCTTTGATAAATTGTTTAAATTTCAAATATATATAATATTATATGTCTAATAGACGTTGTCTATGGTGTTTTTCAGTTTGAACCGACAATCATAGATAATACTTTTATTTTAGGAGACGGGTGAGTATTCGGGGAGGGGGGGATTTTTTAAAATCTACCAAAGGCATCTCCTCTTTTTGCGAAAATGCATACAATTAAGAGTAACTTAGGGTTTAATATTTAAAAAAAAAAAATGTATATCTAAATATTTAGAAAAAAAAAAAATGTAGGTAGAAAATCTCGCAGGGGAAGCCTCCCCCGTGCTCGCACTTATACTTATCCCTTCCTTCCTGGTCTATTCTCGAGTAATTGTGCGTATTTAAAAAATAATTGTAATTACATTTTATACGATTAATTATGGAAAATATATACAAATATGTCCACTTGAATGTCATTACCTGTACGGTATAGGTTAAATTAAATACTTTTGTTCTGCTATCAAACACTAACGATTGGGCCAAGAAGAATGTCATATTTTAAAATTGGGGGGGAAATGTACGTGACTGTAAAGTATATGTAGGTACATTTGTAAATATTATCAAATAATAATAATAATTCAATAAACGCTGTAGTTATTCAAATAGGTGTAAATTATAATATGAAAAAATGTACTTGCCTAAACTTCACAATTTAAATCCAAATAGATTAGTACATAATACTATTTATATTATGCTAAATGACAACGGAAAACTAATAACAGAATGTTGTGACTAGTTAACAAAGTCCTATTGTAACATTTGTGTTCGATAAAATATGGTTTATACTACTTTCACTAATGCTAGTTTCACTACTTATACAGGAATCTTTCACCCTTCCTATATTACATTGCAATGTTTAAACAATTATCCATCTATAAAAAAACTATTTATAAAATATAATACAAGTTTATATTCGTATGCTCCCGTTGAACGTTTATTTTCATTTGCTGGTTTTGTGCACTCACTCAGTAGATCAAATCTATTGGAAAAAATGTTTGAAAAATTAATTTTTCCTAAAGGGAACCAAGATTTTATTAACAAAAATAACTTTTAATTTAAAACTAATTATAAAAAAATTGTACATTTTATTTATTATTATGTTTATTTGTTTTAACTTGACGTACTGTATTATTTATAAGTAAATATGTATTTATATTAGTATTATTATTGCAAAAATTTGACAAAAATAGATGGGTACCAAGTACCTATATAAAAGTTTACAAAATTCAATTTAAAAATAAATCATGTATTTTGTATCTAGTATCTTTTCTACTTTTACAATGTCAAACCATTTATTTGGATTACTAACGCTGTTGAAAAATAAAATAAAAAATATTAAATTTAGGCTTATTATTTAGTAACTGATTTTTGATTCTGTACATAGATAGCGCTAGATACACAGGTTGTACTGTTTGTTAACATTTTAGGTCCACTGATTTGATCTTCGTTTCTTGTCAGTAGTACTGTATTTGTTAGTGGTCATGTCCACAATTATTTTCAAACTTTCCAAATATTATATTATATAAATAATACGAACAATTTAAATATATTCCGTGTGCTCCCAAACTCAGTAGATTGGTCAGCCACTGGATTTTGCTGCTCCTAAATTCAACTATTGACCAATCCACTAGAGAGGAAGTGATAAAGCGAATTGCTTTATCAGTAACATGCAGGCATGTAAGGGAGAGTACTCCCCCTGAAAATTAATATTTGTGTAATTTGATTATAAATATTGTTAATATTGGTAATATTGTTTATTGTACATTTTTTATAAACCTTTCCTGAATTTTTTTTGTTCGTATAATTATCCAGCTGGAGGAACAAAAAGCCAAATAGATTTGATAAAAACTACGCGGAAAATTCTAATATTCTGTTCTTATTATTATTCAAAGGTTATTTCATTTTGCCAATCAGTCGTCTTTTACAATTTCACGTGTTCTTTAGAGTTTTGCTTTTTCTAGTCTCAGTCGTAGTTAATTTTAAAGAAAAAAAGATACTGAAACTATCGAAAGTCGATTTGTATACGATGATTGTATTTATAGGAAACAATTAAATATAAATACAAATTTTAGATCATTTGATCCAATAAGTACCTATTTAGTATTTATCCGTAGGTATATAGTAAGTAATTATAACAAATGTAAAATATTAAATAATTGCATAATATGATAAATGTAATTCATAGTTAAATGATAATAAAATATATTATACTCGTGATATGTTTTATGGTATCAACCACAATTTTCATATTATTCACGTGTAATATCAGATAATAGGTATTTTAGTGTTTCTCATAGATAATATTATCTATGTTATTCCCACAAGTAAAGATATACCTTTTATCTTTAATCGTGGGTGTTCCTAAACTGTTTGCTAAGTGATAACAAGGCTCCGCAAACGTAATCTCCGCCACCGCAAACGTAATCTCCGCCACCGCACACCGGCACCGGAGGCTCTTAACAAATATCAATTCGCTAAACAATCCGCTTGGAACACACTTAGTTCTTAGTTATAAGGTTATTTTGTGGTATATATACGGTCTGGTTTTATGGTAAGATAACGAATATTTTCCGCTAAAATACGGTTCGGATGAAATATTTTCGGACAATATTCGGTTTTTGGAAGATTATTTTCTACTTAAATAGAATTCGGATAATATACTTTCGACTAATTTAGTTTTTGGTTGAAATATTTTCGACCATCTTAATTTTCGTATTTATTACTTTTCGGATGAAATATGTTTTTATTGAAATATTTTTCGGATAAAATATTTTCGGACATATGGCCCCAATTAAAATGGTAAGATATAGCAAAGAGAAAGTCCTATGCATAGTTATTGCCTTATTGGAAATAATTGTTTTTTAATCTACCACCGAGGCGCTGAATGCTGATAGTCGCGGTAGCTCACAAGTAGTCAGAATATTGCATTCAATGAGTGGTTTTTGTCGTACCGGACGGTCCATGCCAACTGCTAAATAGCGTACCTAACTATAAATCCTTTTGACGCTCGGACGCATTCGTATAATTCGTAATTCGTCCACGTACGCAAAATTCACCTGACAATATGCGAACCAAATGCACCTGGACCGGCATAAGGCTAATTGCGAAACATTTCCATTCCTCCGCCAACAGGTAATTTATCGTTTTTGCAATGTGAAAATTAAAACAAATCTGATCGATAGTTCAGGATGAGACAAATCCTTGTTGGTTTTTAACATTGAACTAAGAAAAAATCATACATAATATTACTCAATATAATACCAAAGTCTTTTAGATCCTTTAAGTCCTTAAGCCTATAAGAAAGTTTAATTTAAATTATAAGCCATACATGTTGATATTTTATAAAAATCATGGTATGATTAAAAATCAGTTAAAAATAGTTTTTGTGTTTTAAACATAGGTAATGCAATCCATTATTTTTCTATTATTGTAAATTTGGATAATAATATTATTGTAACGAGTAAACAATTCTGAGTGAAGTTTTAAATTCAAATTTGAACGCTCCCATTTTTATCCCATTAGATGGTTTAAAATTGTAGTAATTTTCACAGATATTTAGTGTCATACATAGGATTTCACTTCATATAGTGGCTATAAGATCAGAAACAAAAAAATTCCTCTATTCAGTTATATTATCTCAACATAGGTATTATACCTACTTCATAGTTTCAATCAATACCGAAATTAATTCTTACTTATCGTTGTACCAATGATAATTTCGGTGGTGGAGTAAACATACAAAGCTTATTTATCTATAAATATGCCAATTTAAAAATAAATAATATAAATTGATTTTTGAGTTTAATGTAAAAATTAGATGTTTTTTATGATTTTGTATGATACTTTTTTGTTTTTCAAAAAACACTACCTACTACTACCTACAGTACCTACTCAATAAGATTTTTTCTTAATTCAATGCACAAAATCTAAAAATTTTATTAAAGTTCTTACGATTGAATTAGATTAATATGTTCTTAATTTCTAATTTAAAGTACTCTCAAAAGAAAATATAGATAGATATAATTGTTCTAGTAGGGTAGATTAGGTCTTTAGATAGGTTTATAATTTTGAATTTTAAGATAATTTACAATGTTTTCACTACCTACCACTGCTAAAAATAATAATCAATTCACCAATTTGTTTATGAAAAATTATTTCGTTAATGATTTTTGTAAACTTCTTATTAACTTTTTGTAGAAACTTAATGATTCATCATTAGTAAATATTTGTAATACTAAAATTCTGTTTTAGAATAATTTATAAAACGGTTATATTGGATTTTGTATAAATAATTTTTTATTTTTAGTTTTAATAAAATATACGGTAAAAATTGAAAATTAAAAATATTAAACAGAAAAAAGATATTTCATTTTTTGAATCTTTGAGAGTCATCTTTTATAACTATTGAAAATGGTTTATCATTATAGATAGATAAACCATTTTTGACGATTCACAGTATTATGAATGTATCCTTTTAAATGACTTTTAATTTTTTTAATCATAATGAGATTTTTAATGATCAATTCCTAAATTTCATATTAATTAGTTTTTCATTATGCTATGGTTTAAATTGCAAGATTATTAAACCAGTAAAGATAATGGTAGGTAGGTTTAATAAATTATATCAATGAGTCATACTAAATCAATGCTATTTGTGAGACAAATAAGTATCCGTTGTATTTATAATAATTTGATATTTCATATAAGTTGATTATTTTTGTCATATTTGACTGATAATAACTGTGTAGGTACATCTTTATCTTATTCTTGTTACAAAATATAAGGATATTATCTGAATATAATATGTTACATACATATTTAAATTGTACGTTAATACGTTAATCATTATCAACTATTTATTTTTGGGAATAAAAGATTACACTTTTTAAGGATAGTAAAAACTGTCTCCTTACCTAGTGTTTCTCAACCTTGTTACTGCCGCGACCCCTATATGAATATTACATTTTTTAGTGACTCCTAAATATATATTTTATGCACGTAGACCCAATATTTTATATTTTCAGCAACTCTAAATAATTATTTATTTATCCCAGATCGAGAAATACTGCTACCTAACCTATCCTCTAGATAATTTTAAAGAGTTTTCATTTTATGAGAAATTAAAAAAGATATGTATTGTTTTTCAGCTTAAAATTAAGTTGCATATAATATTCAATCATGTTAAGATAAATATTTATTTGTAGGTTATATTTTCGACAAATTACAACATCCGTTGAATTTAATATAAAATTAAAATGCATTTTTAAAAGAATCAAATCAATATTGAAATAATTTGTATCGTTTATTCCTATGTTGATTAAATTATTTTTTACTTTGGTTTTCAATATTAAAATTATATTATTGAAGTAAGTTTGTAAAAAGATAATAAAATTGTACTGAAATAATAATTAATTCAGGTGGATTAGAGGTATAATAATAGTTTTTAATGAGTATCACTAACAGTTTAATATATTTTGTCTACATTTAAAGTTCACCTTACAATGGACACACTAGTTTTTTTTTTATCACATTTATTTTTAACTAATTGCCACTAGTTAACATTTTAAATATGCTGCATTTAAATACATTAATTACTTTCTATTAAAAATATATTAACTGTTTTTTGAATTTTGAATTTAATCATTTTATTTTTTATAATACTTTTAAATTCAAAACTCCAAGTAATTTCTTTATTGGAAAGTATTTGTGTTGATGAATATTTGATTATGTTCATTGAAAAAAAAGAAAGTGTCTTATATTACATAAAACAGCGTGAAGTTATCTGTGTATACTCGTTTGTTAATTATACATGATATACCAACCAATACTTTATGAATAGATGTTTTAATTAAATTTATTTTATTGACAATAAATTATAGGTTAATGTATAGTAGTTCAAAATACAATTATTGTTGATTATATAGGTAGTATATTATATAATTTTTTTATCCTTTTAGTATTACTTATTGATAATTTTTTACATTATATGAGTGTTTTAAAATTGAATAGTATATGTTTTACTTAGAATGAAAAATATTTTAATTTTACACAAATACTTAGCCATGGTAAAGTAAATGACCTCTACTGATAAAATGTGGAACTTAATAAATGACTTATCTGGCATTTAAAGTTTGTAATTTGTGACCTACTGGTTACTTATTATTAACTATAGTTTTTTTAATCATACATTGAGATATATATCTGTAATATATATATATATACACTTACATTTAATGTGGTTTATTTGATGATAAAAATAATAGATAAATTGTGTATTAAATATAAGAACCAATCGTGACAGTACAGCTTATAACAGATTGTATACTAATATTTAGAATATGAACTGTTTTTAAATTATTTAGATGATTTTGATAAAATGTGAATTTTATCTAACTAAAAATTGAGATAACATTTTTATTTTATAAATCGTACATACCTAAATAAAGGTGATTTTTGGGGAATAAACCAGTGTTTCATTTATGTGGATACACTCATTGTCTCGGAATATATTAAATTTTTTCTGAATTTATTTTGTAGAACATTTAAAAATCAAGCAGCTCTACAATTTTATATTTATGTTATTTTTTATCACCTTTATTTTTGGGGCTAAAACCACTACTTACTTTTGAATTTCAAAAGGCAAATCAATGTAGTCATTCGCTTGCTGCACTCACTTCGACAATTTTAATCGAAAAAAACCCTCGATTTGTTGTGCTAAACCATGTCGAGTAAGTAATAAGGAAAATTAAAAAGCATTATAGGTAGAATTTAGAGATCCATTGTGATCTCTCAAGGGTTATTTTCGATTAAAATTGTCCGAGTGAGCTCAGCGAGGAAATTAAGTAAACCATTTGTTTCCCAAATTTATATAATTCTTACCATTTCTAACCTTCAGTCTTTTCACTGATACATTAACAATAGCAGTTTTTATTCGGCCGGCGTTTTTTCTTTGGCCGTATCCTTTAGATACAAAACATTCATTCTCCCCAACAATTCTGATTACTTTCCTCAATTTTTCACCCATCTATTATCATCTTTTACATTATACAAGTTTTTCAAATTTGATATTTATTATTATTATCTATGGAAAAAAAAATTACTATTGATCATAGATAATAGACATAATATTACTATATTTTAGAAATCGTTTACATTTTTTTGGAATTTTTACTCTTCAAATTTTTGTCCTGTGTCAGATCTTTTATGTGACAAAAAAATTTCAATGAGACTTGAAAGTAAGTTCTACAAAATCTTGAAAAGACTGACTATGTTGTACCTCTTAGAGAGATGGGCGATTGGCAGACAAATAAAACAGAGATTGAGTTTAGCAACCTAGTTTTAGAAATATTTTTATCTCAGATATATTATGTGAATAAAACACCTAGGTTACTAATTATACTTTTCCTGTAAACTACAAATTATATAATTTTGTGTTAATACGCTGACTGTTATTTTATTTAGATTGAATGTAAAGATAATCGATGGAAAAAGTATTGCTCGTACTATATTAAGTGAACTACATCTTGAGACCCAAGAATGGGTTTTGAAAGGGCATCGTGCTCCCCGTTTAGTAGCAGTGTTAGTTGGACAAGACCCGGCTAGTAAAATCTATGTGAAAAACAAAATGAAAGCTGCAAAAGTTGTTGGTTGTTACACTATTTCACAGTAGATAAAATACAAATCTCATACATTATTGTTTTTGTATATGTGTATATTTAATTTAGGTATTGAGACAGAAACAATACATTTTGATGCATCAACGAGTGAAAATGAACTTCTTGCTTGTATCAAACGTTTAAATCATGATGAAAATGTTGATGGAATTCTAGTTCAAGTACGTTTTTTTATGACATTTGGCTGATAGCTATTACCAGTGTGAAACCTGCACCAATGGTTTCTAGTTTTTTCTACATAGAGTGTAATGAATGCTTAAAATAATTCAGCTCAATACCTGTAGTTCAAGTTAAAATATTTATACTAGCTATTAATATTATAAATTAATAGACTAAAAATTAAAAAATATAAACAAAACTAATTATATTAACTATTATATTGTAAAAGTGTGTAATTGCGGTTAAGAGGCCTCTACACTTATAAACACACTTTATAAAGAAGAGTATTTACTATGCCTTGACTGAATAATTTTTTTAAATATTTTATTTGATAATAATTTATTAATGGTTAAATTAAGAAAAATTTAATTTAATTAAAATACACATTTTTGCATGATAAAAATAAAAATATTGAAAAAAAATTATTCGGCCAAGGTATAGCAAATTATTTTTTATTCCTTTTATAGTAAGTCTTTTTGTCCTAAACTGAACCAATGAATGAACGTGATGTGTATTTTCTGTTATATTACATGTCAAAACATACAGAGAAAACAAATAGAGCCACCATATTAGAATAGTGATATATTGAATGTTCCACAGTATTTTCTGAATATTAATAACTCCATTAATATAATATATTTTTCAATCGGATTTTCTGTTAGGGAAACATATATTTAGAGAAAAATTAATTTTACTTTAACTCCTTAATCACCATAAAATAAAATTGTATTTTTTAACTTTTTGAAATGTTCAAAATAGCCGATTTGTAGTAGATGATACTCAACGTTTAAATGTATCATATATACATGACCAAAAAGTAATAGTCTCAGTAATAGCTTTTTTATAATTTAAATTATAAATTTATTCAATTCACAGTAAAATTATAAACCATGGTTTTAATATAGTGATTGTTCCTTGTTGTGTAACGTAATAGTAATCTATTTAATATAATTTTTGTTACATGAAAATTTGATATATCTTCTAGACAAAAAAAAATGGTTATTAACAGAGTAATTAACATTTAAACATTCATAAAATACTGTGGGGCACTCTGTAAAGTAATATGTAATTAAGTAATTTATACATTTTCAAAATTTATGTAATTTAGTTACCTCTTCCTAAACACATTACTGAACGAACAATGTGTAATGCTGTTGCACCACACAAAGATGTCGATGGTTTCAACATTGTTAATATTGGACGATTTTGTTTAGACATGCAATGTTTAGGCCCATGCACACCATTGGGAGTTCATGAGTTAATTAGAAGGACAGGTAAAATTTAATAATACATTTCAAAAGTTTTAAATTTGATTGATATTAAACAATTTGTTTTCAAGGAATTCCTACTTTTGGTAAAAATGCTGTTGTTTGTGGTAGATCAAAAAATGTTGGCATGCCTATTGCTATGTTGCTTCACGCAGATAATGCAGGTATAATACAAATTATAACTTTTGTAATTTTATTATTAATGAGAAACTCATTTCTATAATCATATTAATATGATAGTCAAATATAAATGTGTTTAATGAATAAATATAAAAAAAAATAAAATATTTAAAATGTACAATAATTATTTAGGAAGTGCCACTAATGGATGGCATCTTCCACCTTGATATTTCAATGTTTTTATTTTCTTACAGCACATACTCATTAAATTTGATAGGATCCTTTTTCGGTGACTGTCATACTATATGACACTATAACTGTGAACTGAACCAACATCGATATCAGTATTTTCTTTGTATTGATAAAACATTATGTGAGTGTTAGTAAAGTAACCATAATAACCATAATCTAAATTCTAAACTATAATAAAAGTATACAAATACAAAATGGTATCCAATATTTTTCAACACCCATTAGACACTGCTACTGCCGATTCAAATTTAATTACAATACATTTAAATGGACTTATTTTGTACTTATTAGGATAAATAAATTTAAAGCAAGCTGTAGAATATCAGCAAATCTGCACCTATACGTGTTGTAATTAATTAATAATATGTTATATTAAGGTGAAACATCAGCAATGGATGCAACTACAACAATATGTCATCGATATACACCACCAGATCAACTTGCTATATTCACAAAAACTGCTGATATTATTGTGTCTGCAGCAGGTACTAAATGAATATTTATAATTATTACAGATATTGTTATATTCCAAAATAAACTACTATATTGTGTGTTTATTAGGGGTTCCAAATTTAATTCGGGCAGATATGATTAAACCAGGAGCTGCCATCATTGACGTAGGAATAACCAGAGTAGTTGACCACCAAACATCTAAATCATGTCTCGTTGGAGATGTTGATTTCAAGAGTGTAAGCGAAGTCGCGGGATACATAACACCTGTACCGGGAGGAGTTGGTCCAATGACAGTTGCTATGTTAATGAAAAATACTATCATTGCAGCTAAGAAATCTGTGATTTACAACATACTTGACCCTGGTGCTGTTATATATAAACAAGCATCACAAATAAAGCCATAAAAATGAAAGGCAAACTAAAAAACACCTACCTCAAATAGTATCACATTTTGTGTAAACATATTAGTATACAAAAACAATTAATATATTACATGAATACATAATATTGACAAGATGATTGTGTTGTTAGTACAGTTTTGAACCATAATTATAGAAAAAATTTACCTGCAAATTGTTATCATAGACATGTAGTTATAATTTAAAATTATTGACAAAAAACAAAATAATAATTAATAATATAAACCAATATAATGTATGTATAATAAATTCTCCACTGAATTCTAAAATAACACAACTAATATTATTTACCATAATTAGGTAACTATAGTTAAACAATTTTATTTTATTTGGAAGAAAGTTAGATTAATGTATAGTTATCTGACTTAAGTAATTTAAATAACAAAATAAATCATTTATCTAAGCTTTGTATGATATACTGATTTCTACCACATACAGAGGTCTAAAGGCTCCCATACACATCAAACAAATTTACGCAACATCTGCGTTTGTACAAATATGATGTTTGCACAAACTTTGAACACACACATTCCAATGGCTTGTGCCAACTTCAGTTTAATTTTTGATCTTATCAATATATATTCAGTGTATATTCAACATTTCTACGAAAATATGACTGACACCAATAAAACTTGTGCTGCGGTTGTAATTGTTTGTTTAATATTTTTAGACTCCATAATTATAAAAATAAATTTTATATGTAGTTTATCCTTTAATAATAATAAAATATTATTATATTATAAGTAAAGAAAGTATATTATTCATATATTTTTCCAATTGTCTGGTGGTCTTTTGACGGCTAATGTTAATCAAACACTGCCATAGACTTTCAACTGATTGTCAATCATGAAGTGTTTGCACAAAATATGTTGAACTCGTCCGATTTGTTTCAAAACATGCCATACACGTTCAAAATGTTTGTACAAATTTGTTTGATGTTTATTGGGGACTTAAGGTCATCAACACACGTGACTACTTATATTAAACTGATTTTTGGCAATATTCACTAATCAGTCAATGTCTACATAACAAAATGAAACGCTGCAGATGTTGCAACTGATTACTAACCAGATACTACAATTTTTTGGTTTTGCATATAAAAAATTAATATAAAATTGGTAGAAGAATTGGAGAAATATACTGTTTTATATAACTTCACGCTTTCGGATATTCAGGAAAAGATGAAATGAATAAGTGATGGGAATTGTTTTGAAGTATGGATACACAGAAAATCTTCTCTTTTTTTATTTCTTCTGTAATAGTAGTGTGGTGTAGTGTTCATCATTATGGAAATTTCCCATTCATTAATGGGAAAAACTAGAAAATGTATGAAATTTATTATTACCAAATCGTAAATATTCAAAACATGCATAACTGAACTCTGATCAGAATCATTTTTTGTTAGCAGCAATTAATCATTGCGTACAGATTAACATTAAATTTCCTCTACCTTTCCAATTTCTCACCAACAGTGGCCTACCAATTGTGTCCGTTTGTTTTTAGTAATATTTTTATTTAAGATGGGATATAGCGTTTGATATTTTGTTCATCTTACCTCCCTAAAATATTTATTTGTATACATCATATGTGCCTGGTGTAACATATTTTTGAGTTCCTTTTTTTTTTTTATTAATTTTCTAGAAAACAACTTCCAAAAAAAATTACTTAATCCTTTCCGAGATAACGAGTGTTATGTTCTGTTTATTATAACTGTATACTGCAATAATTTGTCATTGCAAATGTAAAATGGTACTGAGTGGAGTAGTATTATTTCCGAATGTTTTTCCCAGTGCTTAAATTATAGGAGACTAAAGAGAGTTCAGTTCTTTTATTTTACTTTTTCTGTAGCATTCCCTTACTAATTATTTCTACTGGGATGGGGTTACGGTACGTCTCTTTGAGTAAATAATGACATTTTCAAAAAAATATTTATTGCCCTAAGCTAACGTGAACTCAAATAAATTATACATTTTTCTCAGAATTTATCGTCCAGTGATAAATTATTATTTTTTATATAACACATTTGCTTATGATAAAATAAATGATAACTGATTAACACGATAGGATAGCTGAACGATAGCCGAGTGTTTATTTGAGGCATACAATTGGAAATAGATACTTAATTATGTAATCATAATAATTAATAATCAATAATGAGTGTTAGAATAAAAACGTTTATATTCTATGGATTGGGTTAACTGTAGTGATTTATAGAATTTTTTTTAAAATGAAAGTAAGGAAATCGTAGGGACGAAGCCTCCCACAATTTAGGTTAAAGTCAATCATTACAAGGAACGCTAGGGTACATTTTTTTATGTCTCATTAAGTCCCTCTTCTTTATTTTTTCAAGGGTAATACACTATTATATATTGCTATTTTGTAATAGTTGTGTACTATCACCACTTCTTCATCACTAGAATCACTTTCAAAACCCATGTCGTACCTAGTAAAATAATAATTGAGAGGATGGATACAAAAAAGACATCCGCGGAAATGCCCTTTTTGATTAAAACATATTTTTGGATTAAGCAATCTGTATATTAGGTACTTATGTGTGATAAAAATGTAAGTTTGAAATTTTACAGGAGAATCGTTTATGTAATTGTGTATTGATGTTTTTCTTGCATAAAACCATATAATGCATTCCTTAAATTTATTACTAATGTTTTAGTTATATTTCAATGATTTATAAATAAAATTATGATTGATAAATTGTTATTTTTCGTCATAGTTTATTTTGATAATGCAAATTTTTTTTTTATTATTAGAAGTCTCGTGTTTTCGTTTCGTTTCGTGGCTGTTATTAAGTACCTATGTATTTAATAGTTTTCAAAAATTGTGTATCAAAATACTTGTAGGTACTGGTTTGTAACATGCAGTTTAATACTTTGAACAATACGATTACTTGGAAGTTTAAAACTTTAAACTGTTTAAGTTTGAAAGTGCATTGGTGTTTTTAGGATATTTTACGTGTATCTCGAAATAAATTGGGTATTATTATCATTAAAAATAAAATAAAACAGTACAGAACATTGAACAGATGACCAAATGACGATCTAAATAAAATTATTATTTTCATCAAAATTAAATATTTTCATAATTACGTTAGATAGGTATTTATATGCTTTTATTGTTTGATTAAAAAAATAGCTAGTTTATACCAAAATGTACATATTTTATAACCTAATGCTAATATTATTTTGTACATTTTAAAGGCATTTTTATTTTCAAAATAGAGAAATACAAATGAAATGTGCATAATTTAAAAATATCATTAGGCAAATTAATAAATTTAGTGCGTGCCTACTCATGTTTAAGAATAAATATTTTTTAGATTCCAATCGGAGCGAGGAATGTATTAGTTTTACAATGATGTTTATTTTTTAATTATTTTTTTTCTGTGAACAATTTTTCTACCAGCAATTTCGTTCTGATTTACAATGATAAGACTTTTTTTGAAAGGAAATCAAACTGGGAAGGTATTTTAAAGAGGTTTTTTTTTAAATTTTCCTAAGAGTTCCCAATAAATGGAAAAACCGGAAAAATATAGGTACTATAATTAGGTACAATAAAGAACAAATATTATTATTTATTATTATTAATACTAAAATATTACTAATTTTATTATTATTAAAATATGTAATACATATGCAATCATTATCAACCGAACTCCACTCAGAATTGATTTTTCGTTACCAATGGTTTAGTGCTGCTTACAACTGATATACGTCATACCTGATTATTGAAATAGTTTAAATACTGTCTGAACATTTTTATCTTGCTTGCAAGTAAAAAATGCATAAAAAAATAAAAATCATACCTATATCTACATGTACCTATACTTATAAAGAACAGGTATATTGTTATCAAAATTATATGGAAATTGCATATAAAATTCGATATTTCTGAAAAATAGAAAGAAAAAAAATTTACTTCAAATAATACACCGCCCTAACATTCGGTCGATTGAGTCTATTTTTATTTTATTTTCACATATAATTTATAAGACAACGCGATTCTCGTCATTATCGTACCCCATTTTTATCGTATAAATGAATGGTGTTTAACATTACAATATGCGAGTATTATATTTCCTTAACATATTTCTAAACAATATCATCGTAGTTCGTTTTATATATATTTTTTGCCAAGGTCAGTGTCGTCGTCATGTATATAGAGTGATTTATTATTATTATTAATTTTTTTTATCCATGATCCAACGATTATCAACAAACATTTCGAGTAAAATTGATTTTGGGTTATTTTTCGCTGTCATTAAATATAGAACCGTTTAAAACGAGTTATTTTTAACGATAAACCATTGCTTACGAAAAAATGATTCTGAGCGGAGTTCAGTTGACAGTGATGCTTTGTTAACAATTTATGTGTGATTTTATAGTATAATAATTAAATAGGCTTTATTTATTTTCTTTAATAATATTTGTTTAATGTTGTACCGATTTTTCCAGTTTCTCTACGGTTTTCCCATGTTTCATCCCGGTTTTTCACATTTGTTGGGAAAAACTCCTGAGAAAATCGAAAAACGACTATTCTACAGTACCTCCCTAGTGAAATTTCCTTTTAGAAACATTGCTATCATTACAAGTTAAAACAAAATTGTTGGTAGAAAAGTTGTACGCAGAAAATAAGAAGGCCGTAATATATTTTAACTAATACCTACATTTCTTATATATTCCCTTTTTTTTTTTTCGGTTTTTCAAATTTTATGTGAAAACTCTTGAGAAAATCGAAAAATGATCTCTGAAAAGTATCTCCCCACACCGATTATCTTTCAGAAAAGATGCTACACTTAGAAATCCGACCAAATCTTCTGGTAGAAAAGTTGTTCACAGATGAAAAAAAAAAAAACAACAAACATCTTTGTAAAACCAATATCAATAAATAGCCGCTAACCACTTTTTAATTCCGTACATGCAAACCTATATAATTTCGTATTACTCAAAAAGTGGCGTAATATACCAGCGATACCACTACAACTGCGGCGAATGCCGTGAAAATCCCCACGGACTATAGTCTGGCAAGAAGTCCGTTGGCAAGAGCGACGCGGAGATTCGTATAATATTCAGGAAATCGTCGCCTTGTGCCGCCGTGCCGTCGAGCTCGTTCATTTGCCGACACGGACATTTTTGTTGACCCCGAGGACCCGTCCGCTCCACCGCCTCTCGTAGTCACGTGTCTACACACCACCCGTGTCCATCGCGCGAGCATGTCAACAGTTCCCCCCTCCCCCACACACACACGGACCACACGGTGCAGCAGCCACCACAGTTGTCTCTCAGTAATACGATACCCACTCCGTTCACACCGACTACCACCGTCCACGTGCGCTTCGCGTATATAAAGTAAATCGCGACACCGAGTGTTTAGTATTTCAGAATAATACCGGAGTAACATTCGCCCCTACTGCACCCACGGTGTTTTGTTTCAATAACAATAATAATAGTAAATATTCAATTACGCGCCGAAGCCAAATAATCGCCATCATGAGAAGCGAAATTCTGGAAGAGATGCCCGAAGAAACGATGGAATATTTCTGCGAACAAGTTTTGAAACGCGATTGGCCCAACTGTATCCACGTGAGTGTTTACAATTTAAATAATAATTGTTTATGATCATCATTAATTGCGTAGAAGTAACAGCAATAATTATTATAGTGCTATATTAAACCGACAAAGTCCGCTTTTGCGGCGAACCTATAGCTAGGTACGTCTGATAACTGTATTGTGGTTGTACGTATACGTAACTATAACGGATATTTTACTGTGGTCCACTAAACGTTTTTGTGGCCATATTTATTGTATCGTTTCTGTACGTTATGTATTTCAACAATGGCAATACTTTATTACATATCTATATTACATTTTTGGAAATATGTCTAAACTTGCTGGACAACGTTAATTAGAATTATTATTATTATTTATTTATTTATTTTTTTCCTAATGACTGAACGAAAAAATATATTTGTGTGTTTTTTATGTCGCGTTTTGGAAATTGGCCGGCTAAAACAAAACATACCATTTGATTCTACCGAACTATCGCTTGATGAATTTACGAGTAACTCGAGTGAATTGGGTGCAAATAGCTCAATTTTTTTTTCTTATGTAGATGTTACTTTAGGAAAGTCATTTTTTGTTTTTCAAAGTGGTTTTCTTAATATCTGGGATAACTTATTATTTACGAAAATAATTCTTTTCTTATTTTCAAATTTGTTAAATGTTGTAATTCGGTTTAAAATATTATTAAATTACTTAATTAATTAATTACTTAATTAATAAACAAATTATTAAATTTTTTTTTTTGTTTTGAACATATTATGCACCTTATATTGTCGATATAAGGACGACGGCGAAGTCCGAATTGAGCATACTGTCTTAGTTTCAAAATTATAACTTTTTGAAGTTCTGATATTATGCGAATATTATATTATATATGTTGTGTTATATAACTCAATATTGTCTAATTTATAGTATGCTTGTCGTAGTCTAGTGGTGATACGTACCTATAGTCGTCCTAGAATTTTTTTTTCAAAACCACGTCGGGTAGGTAACAGGTAAAAAATAAATATATTTTGGGTGTACCTAGAGACCTAAGCTGTCGTAATATGACATATATTTTTGAAAAAGAAATATTAACCGGGCTCCGCTCAGAATCATTTTTCGTTAGCAATGATTAGTCTTTGCTTACAGATATGCATTAAATTCTCCTCATAGAGTATGTTATAGTATCCTGTCTTCTCAACTTCTCATCTATAACAGTGGTCCACTTATTGTGCGAAATATGTTAAGCAGTAAAAGCATTTTTTTTTTTTTTTTACAACAGTTTTGAAATTTCTAAAACTGTTTCAAATTAAGTACGATCGGAAAAAAAATTTGAACATTTTTATTTTTTATTAACTGAAAAAAGTGTTTTACATTCATCGTAGTAAAATAATATTAATAAATAATTGCAGCAACTATTTTTATAGTAAACCGTTTGCCAGAATTTTTCGATGGCGTGCACGATTAATTCATTACAAGAATAAAAAACATTAGGTGTTTTGCTGCCCATCTTCACTTTTTAAATAGCATTATGATAGTACACGTGTACCGAATTCGCTAACTCTTGTTTTTCTTTCCGTTTTACTCGTAAGTACTACATTCCTACTACCGTTAACGCGCAATTACTGAAGCGACAGACAAACGCGAAATAATCAGGCAACATTGATTTTTTCGGAATTACTGGGAGTTGACGACGTACCGACCCGCCGAGTGGATGGGCTCACTCCAAACGGAAACTGGTTAAACGAAATGTAGATGAAGTTAAAATAAATGTCACTTTAAAAATCTTAACGCGTTCACGCTTTAAGATTTTAGTTTTTTAGCAGAATGAGGAATGTATTGGTTTTACAATGTTGTTTATTTGTATTATTATTTTTTTTTATCTGTGAACAACTTTATAACCAGCAATTTACAATAAAAGCACTTTTTCTAAAAGGAAATCTAACTGGGGAAGTTATTTTTTTATTTTCCCAATAAATGGAAAAACGAAAAAAAATAGGAGAATATTAAACAAATATTATTAAAAAATGCTTAATACATGTTATTATTTTATCTTAATATGACAAATATATTGTTCGCAAAGCAACACTATCAACCAAATTCCGTTCAGAATCGTTTGTATTATCAATGGTTGATCGTTGCGTACAGATATACATTAAATTCCCGTCTGTATCTTATCTTTCCAACTTCCCACCTACAATAGTGGCTGCGCCCGTTCTCATTATCCTAGGACATAGCTTTTTTAAGATTGTGTTAACAATATTATACTTTTATTATCATGTATGCGCGGGATGGATGGTGGGTGTTTGGAAATTATATAATATAATCGTTTTAGTGTTATTGTTATAGTAAAATGATCTATATTGGTACCGTTGCGTAATCTATTTTATATAATTAAATAATAATTGGCAAAATAATTGTATATTGGCCCTATTATGTATTCACATGTATAATTAATTATTGATAACTTATAAGTCATAACTAGTTGTAGTCAATGCGAGTTCATAAATCATTACTTGATTGATTAAATAACACAATTTTACTTGCATATTCCGACGTACGAGATTAGTGAAGAAGCATCATTTGTGTGGCGACACGGCGCACGGCGTTTTAAGAATGTACCTCTACTCTTCCCCGACCTAAACTTAAAAATGGAATGTATCGTCAACGGATTGACGGACATTAAAAATTTAAACACCAACATTTATTTTAACTACTACTCCATCTATTTATAGAATTTTTAATTTAGGTTGCCATTCAAAAATCAAAAGTAGGTATTAGGTAAATTAGGTAAAAATTAGGGCGACAAAAAAATAACATAAATGTAAAATTGCAGAACCACTTGTTTATACAACTTTTTATAAAACAAATGTCGAAAAAAACCAATACTTTCCGAGATAACGAGTGTCTTACGATAGATTGATCACCTTGTGTATATAAAATAACCACACATTTTCCTTTGGGAGAGGGGGGTTGTCTAATCAAGAATCATAAAATACTTTAATAATTATAAACCGTGGAATTTTCATGTAAAAATAGATAACAAATACCTTCGTAAAACAGTTTTTCAGATTAAACTATTTTCATATTGTAATTTATTTTTTTCGTGTTACAATAAATTTTAAAAGTCACTTCGTGCACTTATAGCACTTGACAATTTTATTATCGTCATTAGCCAGTGACACGTATTTGGCAATTCAGTAATTATTTGTCAGTACATAATAACGTGTTGGTATTTATTGAATAGATGTGAACTTTTGTGTTGTGATGGTCACATGAAAAAAAATGCCCAGAAATCGATCCAAATTTAATTAACACTTATCTAAATTAGAACAATTTTAACATTAAGATTGTCGAAGGAATTATAATTATTATATAAATCAAAAATCAACAGTAAAAATTGTAAAATTGGTACACCTATAGCTATATGTAAAATTAATATTATTTAGTAACGTCAGTTAAACGGCATTCATGATAAAATGTAGCATAAATATTTATTTAAATTTCATAAAAGAACATATTATCATTATTAGTTTGAATCGTGTAATGGTATTGCAACTGTAGTATAGGTGGGTTAGTACATTCGGTCAATACGTAGGTAGTTATTTTTAGACTATCATTCGAACTAAACGTATTTATTTATAAGCTGACAAAAAAATCCACAGTCATGTACCTATATACTATTCTTATGCTAGTAACTGTCAATATTAATTTTGTTTTTTAGTTGGGTTTATTGACACATATGTAAAGAAAAATTAAATTTTATTTTCATCCCTTAATTATTGAAAAAAATGATATTATATTTTTCCACTCTTTAAAATTTTCCATACAGCTATTTTGTAAAATATATTATTAATTTCAAAATTTGAATGTATCATACATTTATATCCGATTAATAATTTCTTAGTTATAGTGACTTTAATGAATAGAAAATAGGCCGGAAAACAATTAATACTCAATAGAAAATAATGAATTGCCGTGTTGATTGCGATTCCTTATTGGATAACGTGTTTTCTATTGAAAATTGATTGTTTTGAGATTAATTTTCTAGAAATTAAAACGGCTATTAATAAGAAACTATTGATCCTATATAAATGTAGGTAATAATTAATATAGTATGGTAACTGTATGCGAATGTCATGATATGCTAATGATAATTTTACCGTCTCCATCAGGAATAAAGACGTCTTGTTCCATAATTGTTTATATCTACTTTAAAATATTTATTTAGAAAAATAATGATTATTTAATTTTCTACGAGACATTCTAATACTTTACAACTAGAATTTCTTTAAGGGAGGGGAATCTAAAGACTTATGTTATCATAAAATCGTTAATGACTTAAAACCTATTAGTAAGATCACTTTTTTTATTGTTATTGTTTGTATACTTTGTCAAGGTATAAACAACCTTTGGCTAAAAGATTAAGATTGCACCTGTAGCTTATCTATAAGGTATAAGGATATTCGTGCCTGTAGGAAATAGGTGTAGGACCACCCCTAGTAACTCGTCTCATAAAATTTACTATTTATTATACGCTATGTAGGTATCTATTTAGTTGGTTTTAATAACTTTTAATAGGTAGTAACTGTTTATGGAAAATTCAGCATTTACGAAAGTTAATTAATTCTAATATTCGGATTCTGTAATCTGTAATCTGAAATCTGAAATCTAACAATTTTACATCCTTAATCTATTTACTAGGTACTTGATAATACTGTAGAGCTTAATGTTCACGGTTAAGGTTGAATTCAAAAACCAACATTACATTACTTACCTAATTAGTTAATTATTATTTGTATTTTACTTAATATGGCATAATCAGATTATTAATAGTAAAATTAAAACTGAAATAAAATTAATTATATTAAAAATTAAAAAATTATTTTACAGGCATATTATTTCATTAAAAATGCTTTTCAATGGAAGCTCAAAAATTCGGTGTCAACTTACAAATTATTATACATAGCAAATGACGTGGACAATGGGACATTTATTGGCATTTTATCACGACCTGTAAGTACAAAAGAACAACAATATTATCGTAATTATATAGAACAATGTATAATGTACTTGTTAGGTAGGTACTAAATTTCAGATATATACTATATTTCTAAACATGAAACTTATTAATTAATTATACTTTTTTATTTTTTATATCTTCATATTGTAATACAATAATTATTTGTTAATGTAATGCAATGCAATAAGCACCCAGCACAGTATAATTAAAATATATTGTTTAAACTTGTCTGGTATGGATTTCTGACTGATGTATAAAAAACAGTCTGCAATCAAGGTATTTATTAAAACCCGACCAAGTCTATATTTTTGGTTCCCGACTTGGGATATTTTTTTCAATATCCAACCTGATATTGAACAATTTTTATTTCTTAAATTAGTTTGGCTCAATCCAACTATCGTTATTTTTTTTCCAACCAATAAATATAACTTGTAATGAACATTGTGTTAAATGTTTAAGTATTTCTGTTTTGTCAAAAAATTGTATCCACATAGTACTTACTAAAGAAAAATGACATGAAAAAACTAGAAAATGTAAAATGCCTATAAATAGCTCAAAAATATTTTCGTGATTTTTGTAAAACCGTGGATTATTTTATAAATAGTGGTGGATTTTTTTTAAAGGGAGTACATTATTCATATAAAGTAAATTAATCTAAAATATGTAATAAAAACTGTAGACCATTTACAGGGGGGGCACATGCCTCTGTACCCTGCCCCCTGATCCGCCTCCGATTATAAACATACTTTTAATTTATAATACAATTAACGGTCTATTCAGTTTCAGTTTACGTATTTAGTTGTGATGTGTTGTTTGTTCAAATATTTTTTTTTTTGAGACAGTATCAAATTTAACTTAATAGATAACCTATCCTTAATAGCTTAAAAGGTAAAAATCTATTAGTTACTATAATACATTTTGAATAGAAATTTTGTATAAGTACGTGATATTTTGAAGGGGTTATTGGTATAATAACCTTATACCTGACACATTGTTTTTGTAAAAAAAAAATCAGCATAATCCTTGCAAGTAATTTGTAATTACTATACAAAGTGTCCTACAGTGTTACCCATATGCTAATGATTCTTTCAATATTCATTTGTTTTACATTTTTTGTTTTTTCAATGAAGGTTTTTTGCAAGGGAGACACATAATAGTCAGAAAAAAATAAAATTTTTATTTTTATGCTTTAATTATTAAAAAAAATTACTTTATTTTATCACTTTTTCAAAATTTTCAAAATAGCCATTCTGTAAAAGATATTATTCTAAAAATTTGAATGTAACATACATTTCATACATTCATATTGGAGGAATAGTTTCTTAGTAAAACCAGTTTTAATTAATAAAAAGTTGATGTTAAAATAATTAATTTCTAATAGAATAACACTTTACGCAATAAGAAATCATCATGGTAATTCCTCATTTTCTGTTGAATATTAATTTTTTTTAGGCCTATTTTCTATATGTTAAAGCCACTATAATTTATAAACTATTAATCAGATAATTCTACTACCATTTAGTCTAATAATATTTGCTTGAAGTGCTTTTTTTCAAAGCTTTTTGATGTTTTTAAGTGCTTTTTTGTGAACTTTAAGTGCAAATAAGTCCCAAACCCTACCTATGTAATCAACATTGGGGCATCAGAATATTGGCTTGATTTAGCATTCAAAGTAATATGGTGGTAGTTTAAGTTTTATCATGTGTTAATTTTATATTCATTTATGTAAAAATGTATTTAATTTCTATTTATTTAAAATTAAATAAACAGAAGACTGATACTTACTAGATGAATAATTTTTTTGATATTCTCAGTATTATCTGAGTAGTAATTTTCTATCGAGAAAAATTAAAGAGCATTCAAAAAGAGAGTTGTAAATCTGAAAATGCTTTTTTCTTTTTTCGGATAGAAAATATATATTCATTTTAATGTTTTAATCCATTAGAGAGTAAACACAGAAAGTACTTAGAGATATTATTTTTAAAAATTCCAAAAAGTCAAAAAATAGTAATTTTTATTATTTCTTTAACATTTAAATAATAAAAAAAAACGTGATTTATGAGCTAAAGTAAGATGAATGTTCCAAACTTAGACCTTGAATCCTGTAAGTTTATATTTTTTATGAATCGTTTTTTAATTTTAGGAATTTTTTCGCCAATGATGCAGGAAGATTCATTTTATGAATTGCACAGTAAGTATCTAATGTTAATTTCAGGAAGAAGAATACCCAGATGTTGTTGTTACATACACTAGCCCAGGAAATGAAGATCAGTTTCAACGAATCTTGAACAGTACTGAGTACATTAACTGGCAAAAGAAACCACTATTCCAAGCTATCCCATTCAGAATGAAGAACATTGTAGAATCTATGATTGAAGAGAAGGGTTTGAAGAGTAGGCTGTATTCAAATGCAGTACTTAAGTGGATGCCTGCGGATGCAGCTGCTAGATTAGATTATAAGTATGATTAAACAACATTAACATAAATATTTAATACAATTCCACTTAGTGCAATTTCTGATCAATACATAGCTTTTTCTAGAATATAATTATTTTGACAGCTGTCTTACAAAAAAATTACAGACTTGTTTTTGTTTTAAAATATTTTTGAAAAAACTTAAATGGCACAAGATATCCTCAAAATTTAACAAATCAAGTAACGTAATTTTGTTATGTTACCCGTTAGATAGAGATTTAAAATGTTGGGTTCATGTCCTCTTAAGATGATTACCTAATTGATTATTACTAGTAGATATTAAAGTAGTACCTATACAAATGTCAATAAATTGCTTATCTAAAATTGATTGAATTCCATAGGTAAAGATTTAAGATTTTCCACTAAAAGGTTAATTTAATATTAAAATATATATGCACTATAAATGTTACTAATAAATGGTGGATTCTATACTAATCAGAGGTCACATAAAGTGAAACTCTCTTATTGTTTATTTAGATTATATTTAAAATTAATAATTTATTGGTAGACATTTATCTCATGAACATAGTATATTTTTGGCTTGCGTATAGTTTACATTAATTTTTGTTAAGTATCTACGTTGAAAATTAAAAAAAATAAATAAAAATATTAATAATAATAATAGCAATAAACTTATAAATATATTTGTCTTAATATTTAATGATGAACAGTAAAGAATAAGGAACTATTAACAAAAATACGTAATTATTGTACAATTTAATATTTTATTAATGTATGATAAATGATTTAGTAAAGGTAAAAATAATAAATTATATTTTAATGACAGTAAAAGTCATACATTTGTTAAAACTTCAGTTTTTGGGATTGTCATATTTGAATACTTACATTAAATATTAGTTTTTAGACAAAACATAAATGTAATTTAATTACTTAATTACATAGGAAAAAAGAAATTAATGTACTGTTAATTATTTTTTTAAATTTTAAATTGATTACTTACTCATTTGTATAAATAACATTATTTTTGTTTTAGGGTTCCGGAAGATGTTTTTATTGGTCGATTGAATGTGGATCATATTGACTTTATTTATTCACTGTGGAGTCATAGCGATGTATATCCTAAGTCGGATCTTTGGGATACAGTGAGGTTGAATATTGGTTTGGGTGTATTTAGTCGGCATAATAATGAGCTGTTGGCTTGGGCTATGTGTGGCAGTTACGGAGGTCTAAGTACGCTGATTGTTCAGCCAGATTACAGAGGACGTGGATTCGGTAAATTAGTTGTTTTGGCGGTCACCAAGGTCATGGGAGAGTCAGGAGTTTCTCCTCATGCACTCATCAATGAAAAAAATAATGTGTCATTGGGATTGTTTAAGAATGTGGGCTATACTAAACATTCGACTCCATTACCCTACGTTGTAGTAGAAGACCCGGATATATCTGGACCATAAAAAGGTTATTTTATCAAGGAATTTACCTTTACGATTGGATTTACACAAATATTTTATTAGTTGAAATGATACGCTAGAATTCGGCAAGAAGCTTACAGAAGGGACAGTTGAGGAAATAATGAAGATTAAAACGATAATATTTAAAATATTGTTATTATTGATTTTTCACAAAAATTGGATTTCAATTGAAACGTTAAATTGAACATTTTTATAACTTTCTATAGTATTATGTATGTATCCAGTAATGGATATAATATATTATTATACAACAGCAAAATAATAAAAATAAATCATAATTAAAATATTTTCTACAGTTATAATTTATATTATATTATTTATATATTTTAATTTATTTTTTTTAAATAGTTTATAATTATTTATCCAGTTTATCATGGTTTAAAATATACCAATAACAGTTTCAAACTATAAATAATTTCTTAGTGTTATTTATTAAGTTGATTTTTGTTGTAATCTTGTATATATAAATGAATATCCAAGACAGTCAATTGTTGCCAATCACTGGTAAATGTTGACACTCATCATGCTAGTTTTGAAATGTAAAAATGTAAAATCGCCTAGCCGGAACTACTGAAGCTATGGAATTTTGTCAATAGTTTAATTTTATCATGTAGAGACCCAATAAGAAATGATTTTCTTAAATTCAACACATAAAAATTAAAAGAAGTAAAAATCAGAAACATTATTTCTTAAAGTTACTCTATTCCTGAGTAATATAGGTTATATTTTATCTTACCATTTTTTTGATTAGGGTTGTCTTACAAAAATTTAATCTTATTGGCTTATTTCTGGTTGGTTTGGTTAGGTTGTTACAATACACAGACAATGCCAGTATAGAAAGCCTAGTGTTACTGTAAATAAGAATAAAATATAAATAGTCATAACTTCCTGTGAATAACATCCTAATTTTATCCTCAGTTTCTGGGTTTTACAAAAAGTGATGTGTGAGTCATTGAAATAAAATAAAAATGTGAAAACTTTAACATGTCTACAATTATAATACAACATTATTGAATTGTTTAATTTATTATTTTTGTAAGCATTATTTAACTAAAGTGCTATGTACTTTTAAGTTCTCACACAACTGAAATATAAAAAATTTAAATTAAAAATTGCCCGGACAAATCTGGGTAATACAGATTAACAATTTATATGTATAAATGTGAGTGTTCAAAATCACTGCTGAATAGTAAATTTCATATTTGATAATTTAAAACAAATTTGAACATTCTCTGATGATTTTTATAAATGTTAACATTCAAGATAATATTTTACTTTTTTACTTTTGACTTTGCTTTACTAATAGAAATAATAACTCATAATTATACAGCACATTATCATTGTTAGTATTGTATATAACTAAAAATGAAAAATTCATTTAATAATAGAGCATAAATTTAAATTTTAAAATTCATACAAACTGTCTGGTATTTAAATTGTATTCCTAAGATATTGACTAAAACAGAAACTCAACTAAACTAAAATAGACAATTTACTATTTATAAACAATTGAACCATTCATGAGCATTTATAAACATTATAATTTTGGGAGTGTTTATGTAATTTTTATTCGGTAGGTATACCTCATTGTGGATAAAATTGTTAGACCGAACAGAAATGCTTAAAAATTTAACAGGAGTTTCATTATAAGTTATACTTAGTGGCCAATAAGAAAAAGTTGAGTTTAATGTAGTAATTTTTTTTTTTTAAGAATTTTATTATCAAATGTTGAAAATCGTAAATATTATACCTACGGCTTTCATTACATGTATAACCGAACTCTGCTCAGAATTGTTATTTCTTAGTAATGATTAATTATTGCATACGGGTATACATTAACTTTCCCTTTTTATCTTACCCTCTCAACTTTTCACCTACAACAGTAGCCCATCCATCTTGCGAAGTATATCCGTCTTTTTTGTATCTTTTTCTCTTTTAGTCTCCGCTAACTCGGGTTCTTCGACGACTTCGACCAGATCCTCAAATTTGTCCGTGATGTGCACTGTGTATGTTCTTTGATACCACTTCCAAAACGTTTCTGTAATTAAATTTAAAACTAATAAATCTATTAGGTATTACAATTATTCCCAGCACACTTAAAATATTATAAATATAATTATTAAAGACGCGAATCGAGCAGGTATTTTCGAAATATTATACCCCGAACATAAAATCGAACTTTCTGTTATAAAAATACATACGTTTTCATTGTTATAATAAATTAAATTTGTTTTTTCACTGGTGCAACGCCAAGGAAAATCATATAAATAGCCAATTCAATTTTCGTATTTTATGACATACTTTTTAATAACGTTAAATTTTTTCGAAGTAATAACACTAACCGTTTGGCCTCTTGTAAGACAATGTCAATACCAGGGCCGGCACTAATTATTGTGGGGCCCTGGACAAAATAATTTTGCCTACCCTTTAAGATTCTGAGCGGAGCGAGAAATGTATTGGTTTTATAATGTTTATTTTTTTATTTTTTCTGTGAATAAGTTTTCTACCGGTAATTTGCTCCGATTTACAATGATACTTGATAGAACTTTTTCTGAAACGTTCGACAGCACAGTAACTGAATTTGTGTAAACATAAGTATACGAGAGCTAAAAGACAGTTGTTCAAAGAAAAAACAAACTAAGACGTAACATGTGATTGACGTAGAGTATATTTTCTAAGAGTACATTATTATTATTATTATATTAATATAGTAAGTACAGCAGGATGTATTTAAAGGGGACAACAGGCGTAACTAATTTTGAGGGGGCGGCTGGTTTTTTTAACATTTGTAGGTAATGTATATAAAAAAAAACAATGTTTATATAAACACTGTTTTTTTTTTGTAATACATTTATCAACATAATGTATATATATTTTTTTTATATACATAATTGGTCGGTTTTTTTGTGTCTGAACGGCAAATTTCTAAATGCAATTTTATATTTATCTACCATGTAATAGTTAATTATTATTGTTATATGACGTGGTTTTGATTTTTTACACTATATTTTATCGAAAACAAGTATATATTGTAGCATTTTAAAATATCGTGACAATAATATTGTTATTTGTACGTGTCTTGTATACGAGTAGTTATTGAAACCGTATATAATTACTGCGGATTCGTGAGACAATAATTTATGTTGGGTACAATATAAAATATGAATATATTATAGTTTTCGTTTCGCATTGGAAAACCATATTCGAGAGAAACATCGGACGGGAAGGCGGATTTATCGCAGAGAGCTCGTGAAGTTTTTACTCGTGAGTGAATAAGATTTTTAAATGCGCGTTATACAGCGCGGTAGCGTTGGATTTACCGAAACAACGGAAACACGATTTGTTTTACGGCTTACTAGATACAAAACGATGAAGCGTGTATTGCGTGTAAGTTTATGTAGTAAAAGAAAAAAAACTCTCCCGTAGTAAAGCCTCGTCTGCGCCGCGAAAACGCGTATTTTAATTTTTTTTTCACAAAAAAAAAAAAAAATGATTTTATTGTTGGTACACCTTACAGTAAATATATAATATACTCTTGTGGAAATGTGTATGTATACACGCGCAATCATAAATATGCATTTTACCAATGGTTTTTAGATGTACCTAGAAACCCAGCTATCGCTCGTTCGAGTTATTTTAATAAAAATACTCCTCAATTTGTTGTGCAAACTTTTCTACCAGAAATCTTGCTCGAATTTCTAAGTGTAGTACTTTTTCTGAAGGAAATCGGACTGAGAAGGGACTTAGAGTACGTCCCCAGTAATTTTTTCGATTTTCCCAAAAGTTTTCCCAGCAAATGTGAAAAAACAAGAAAATCGGTACAATATTAAACAAATATTATGAAAGAAAATATATAATGCCTATTTAATTATTTTACCATAGTATGACATATTATATATTATTGACAAAGCATCATTATTAAATGAACTCCACTTAGAATCGTTTTTTTGTTAACAATAGTGTATCGTTGCTTACTGATATACATTAAATTCCCTTCTGTATCCTACCTTCCCAATTTCCCACTTACAACAGTGGCTGCACCCGCGTGCGAAGTATATCCGTATTTTATTTTTATTGTTATACATTTTTTAGTAAAACTACCAGGACTGATTTTAGAAGTATTTGTTTGTATCCTGTGTCGATAATCAGGATCATATAGTCATCGTGTGCATTGTGTCTTTTAAGATCCTAAAAATTATAAACTTATTCACCTATATGAACTTGAAATTATTTGGAAATATTTTATGACGTCAACATAAGTCATAATTTATTATTAGAATATGCATTATGAATTATTATGATAATATGTTCTACGAAATTATAGTTATTTTAAGATATTTAGTATTTATAGTTACCTCGTAGAGAATAGTTCGACCTTTTGCCTACTACATATTTTCCTATAATACACTATTGTAAGCTTCAGCGCAATTATTATTGACACTGTACAACAAACTTTTACTATGGCGGATAACTAAATTAATTGCACCTGACAACTCATTTCAAAAACCACTCAGCCATGGTTATAATTTTAAGAATTTGTAATGTTTTATTCACGTATTAGTAAACGTATAACTTAGTGTATAATCAAATAATCAATATAGAACATGAATAATAATTTTGTTAAATAATACATATGATTTATTTTAGTCTAAAAGTTTTTACTACTAATATAATCACTTAAGTTCAATAAATAATAATGATTATATTTTTAGTATTTTTACCAAAAACTCAAGAACTGAACAAATCTTTTTTCGCGATATATTCTATTATGCATGGGTTTTTTTTTAAAACGGTAATACATTAGAAAAGTTTAATACAATTTATATTATCCATTAAGTATAAAATTTATTTATTATTCATATAGCCATCCATTCGGCTGAAACTTTTAAACCTTTAAAACCATAGGTATTGTTTGGCTTTCATTACTACTCAAGAAGATTATGAACAAACTTAAATCAATTTTTCGAGTGGGTAGTTAATTGTTTTTTCTGATCAAATTTATTAAATAATAATGTATATATATATATATATTAAAAAAAATTAAAATTCTTTTAATTATCACTTGATAATCCATCACATTTTTAAAAAAATAACCATCTACTAGCGTTTATAAAAGGTATGAATACTCAATATTATGGTATATTTTCAAAAAATAAAAAAAAATATTAAGTGTTTGACTTATTTATGATTTTATTTAATGTGTAATATTGAAGTTAATATAGTTACAAACAATAATTCAATTATTATTTTCATAATATTATTAATACCCTTTTTATATTCTTAATGATAATTAATAGGTTTGAAATAAATTTGAAAATAATTTCAATATTATGACAAAAAAAAATATAAATATGTACATATATATATATCTATTATATATTCAAGATAGTGAATATTTTAGATACTAAGTGGAACAAGGAATGTATTGGTTTTATAATGATGTATATTTTTTTATTTTTTTTGTGAATACATTTTTTACTAGAAAACTTAATTGTTTTTACGTTAACAATGGTTTATCGTTGCTTACAGATATACATTAAATTCTCGTCTATATCCTACCTTTCCAACTTCCCACCTACAACAGTGTCTGTGCCCACGTGCGAAGTATGTCCGTCCTTTTTTTATTTCATAAAACTATAAACAAGCCTAACAAAAACGTGCAAATTACACATTTATTTTTTTCCATATATTGATGTGAATTGGCTACACCTAAAAAAATAACAAAATTATCTGTAATTTGTCACATAATATTACCCTGTAGGTATTCAATAGTATCTATCCAAATAAATACGTATAAAAATAAACTTAATTATGATGTTGAACTACGTATATTTATTTATAAATTAAATTAGTTCGTTGTCGTTTTGTGTGTCAATATAAAAAAAGAGCTGTTATTGGGGATGGGAGTGGCCATTGTTGTAGGAGAGAAGCTGGGAAGGTAGGATACATAAGGATTTATAAGGTTTTTTTATGTATATCTTTAAGCAACGTAAAACCATTGCTTGACGAAAGGCGATTTCGAGCGCAGTTCGGTAATACATAATTGAAGTGCCGTAATTTTTTTTTCGATTTTCGTTTAAATTTGATTTCAAAACGTTTATTAAATAAAAAAACAAATTGTTCGATGATTTTGGAAAATTACTATGTCTAGGTAAGTCCAATATAGGTATAATTATCATGTTGAAACAAGTCTCTACGTATATTTATAACTAAATTACAGCAATAAAACTCCCAAAAATTAAAATCACATAAAAGCTTAATAGTTTTGGCGATAATATCAAAAGAAAGTAAATCAAAATAAGTACAACAACAAAAAATGTATTTTATGATTTTTCGATTAAATCATTTTTTCTGGTAGAAAATGTCGTCGTGTTTTTATAAAATAATGAAATCGTGAAATTGTACGTTTTCCTACGTTTTTTCTCATTTAAGTGCATTTATTTAAAAAATAGCGTCGAAAATCAAAAAATGACCCATCTAAAGTACATTATTGAACTTTCAGAAAAATTGCTACACGTTAAAATTGGAGCAAGTTTACTAGGAAAAAACGTGTCCACAGACTAGAAGAAGAAAGAAAAAAACAATATTGTAAAACCAATAGCTACTTCGCTACGCTCGGAATTCAATAAGGGGTATGTACACAATGTAACGTTGTTTTTAGATTTTCGATATCACAACTTTTATGAAATACAAATAAAAATGTTGTGTTATTTTTTTAAAATCTAACCATTTGATGTTTTTTTCCATTAAAAATTACTCGTTTTCGTAGAAGTGTTATTGCAAAAAATAGAAGCAAACAGGGGAAGAGGCTTGAAAATTCTTACCGGGCAAATAGGTATATAATATGTCCAGACCACTTCAATGTTTACCATTTTTTGATGCCATATTGAGAGTTATGCACCTATTTATAATTGTTTTAAATATATAAACACATTTTTGGACCATACATTTATAAAAACTTTCATCGCCCAATTAACATCATTAACATCCTTTCCATAATATCCACCAAACATATTTTTTTTTTTAAGGGAAACCATAGAATACTTTTAATAACTTTATGTTAGCCACTCTTTAGGGGTTGAATTTCTATATAAAAAGTAGACAGTGATTGTCCTCTTGTTTTAAATATCAAGTGTGAAAAGTTTCATCCAGATTGGAATAAAATTATAGATTTACATTAAAAGCAAACATAAATCGAACTTGATTTTATATATAAATAATTTGTCTATGCTGAATAGTTTATGCTATTTTTTTTTTGTATTAAACATGGTCAATGGACCGTGGAATGGATCTATAGCCACCCCCACCGCTTTAGGTGCGCCATTATCAATGATGTAACTATTTTCCACTGTTTTAAGTTTCAATCTACATTAGATAATTTTAAACATAAAATTAAAAATAAATACTATTTCATTAAATTTTGACGATAGATAATTTACAACTTCTTGAGCATAAATGTGTTAAAAATTATAAAAAAAAATGAAACATTTAAATGATTTCTCCAATACACAAACTAGACAAAATTGATTATCAAAAACCACCCTTAGAATTGATGAATAGAGTATGATTTCTGGCAGTAAAGTGGTTTACAGATAGAAAAACAAAATAAATATAAGTCTAAAAAAACACACACATACATCACGGAAAATTAATAAATGTTTTGTTTTACGCTCAGAATCTAAAAATGCCTAGTGTACCGCAGCTCATGTGTCGCTTGGGTTTTCCTTTGTTTTTCGCTATTTTTGGCTCTATAAAGTTAACACAAACTAAAAGCAAACCTAACACCACAAACCTAACTAAAATAATAATATTACGAAATAGTAAATACTTAGTCTTTTAAAATTGCATGATTGATGACGAAATGATTTTTTAAAAATAAAAATGAATCAAATAAGATTCGATTACAAATATTTACCAGTACCCATCGGAATTCTTCGCAATTCTATAAGAATTTAGATAGGTATATCGTGCAATATAGTATACATTTATTATGATTAAATAAATACAAATCAATATCCGAATTGTTTTTCTTTTAAAAATTATTTAATTGTCAAACATTTATTTTCAAATAAAATAATTTTTAATTTCAAACTCTTCGGGCCACTCATAAGCCAAGCCACCGGGCATTTGCGGGTAAAATTTCTGGTAGACACCAGAACCACATGCCATAGTAAAACCAATACACGCCTCTCTTCGCTCAGAATCTAAAAAATCGTAATTTCTCCGACTTAACTAATTTGAAATAAAAATTTATTTAAAAAAAAAATAATTTTCGTTCTAATTGTATTGTTTTTTTTTTATTATAAATTTATAACGCCAATTCGACAATAAGTTATTGGACCGTTTGAATATAACTTTACTGTCGGTTTTATACATTCGGGAGGATAATGTTGGATGTGTCTAAGGCCGAAAACTACGTCTTGAGCCCCGTTTTGGCCAAGTACACGGGCTTGTATCACATAATCAACCCGGACTGCCCAAGACTCGGCGGCCTTAACATATCGCACCTGATGGCGGCGGTTTCGGTAGCGTTCACGGTGACTTGCTTGGCTTGTTGCCCGATCGGGTTTTACCACTGGGCGAACGACACCACGCAGTTGGTGTTGCAGATGACGGCGTTCACTAATTTTTTGCTAGGCTGCTACAAAACGGTGACGATTGTCCGGCACTCGGATGACATCCGGACGCTGTTGGACGTGACCCGGATCGATTTCGTGTCGACCGACCGGCAATCGTTCCGCGCCCTCCGGGAATGCCGCGCCGTGTCGTCAACGTTCATCGTCTGGTTCGCCGCGTTCAACTATTGCGTGCTGTTGGCGTGGACGCTGTTGCCGATGGTGGTCAACGACAAACACGTCTGGGTAAAAAACCGCGACGGAACGTTCAGCAGTTACCAGCTGAACCCGTTCAACATGTTCTTTCTGGTGTCCAGCGACACGTACAACCGTTGGCACATCGCCTTCCACGTCGTAGAACTGCTGCTCGGCCTGTGCTTCGCCCTGTCGTTGATACTTTTCGACACGTTCATGGTCATCATGTGTTTCTCTGTAACGTCCCAATTGAAACTCATCGCCGACTCGTACGAAAACCTGGGACACGCGGAGATCTACGATCACGGTGAATACGCCATACGCATACATACTCATAATTGTTTTTTTTTGAAACATTTTTCCACGCCGAAATACGCGTGGCATTTTATCAAATTATCATGTGCGAATCAATTAGATATAGCCGTGATTCGAGAAACGAATGTGGTTCAATCTGTCTGTGGATATGCCAAATGCGTAGCTAGGATTTCTTTGCGGGCGGGTGGGAGGGCGTTTAAAAATAATATCGATGGTATTTTGTTGAAAGGCTAAAATAACGCTAAAAATCGAAAAATTACGTAGTTTTTATTATCAAAAAAAAAAAAAATCAAAAAAATTAGGAGGATAAACTGGTAAAAAGGCGTATTAAAATACAGAAAATTAAGTTGGCAATGCCGACTAAAAGATATCCAGGCGCCCTTTAAAAATATAATTAAATCAACAATGATTAGTTAAAAGGGCGTATTCCACACTCAATGCATATACTTTGTGTACAAGGTATTATGTGTATACGAGTAATAGTATTGTTTTCCACGATAAACACCATTAAAAACTGTTTTGCTGCTTTTTTTTGCGTCTTGAAAAAAAGTGAAATTTGATAAACGCCCTTTCAACAAAACACCGTCAAAATAACCATATCAAATCTGAAATAAAACCGAACAAACTGTAAAAAGGACGGACATACTTCACACATGGGTGCAGGCACTGTTGTAGGTGGGAAGTTGGGAAGGTAGGATACAGACGGGAATTTAATATATATCTGTAAGCAACGATAAACCATTGCTAACAAAAAATCGATTCTAAGCGGAGTTCAGTTGATAGTGTTGCTTTGTCAACAATATATATTTCATATTATTGTAAAATAATTATGATGTGCGTTTCCATGACAACAATGATTGTTTAAAAAAGATTAAAATAATAAAAACATAATAATAATAAAAAATAAATAAAAACGGTTGCCAATGATAACCTTATTTTTAATTTTTCAATCTCATTTAACCTAAATACCGAGGTTTTCTTCATTATCTCGAATATTAATGAGAATTTCAAAAAATGACTCCTTTAATATACCATCCAGAAAAAAATTCTTCTTAGAAAATGTGCTATACTTGATAATCGGTGTATGCTTTTTAGTAGAAAAAGTGTTTATATAAAAAAAAAAATTAAAAAAAATATATATCATTGTAAAACTCGTTTCATGACAATTTTGTTCAATAAGACACGAAGATAAATCATCAGCATATAATAAAGTATAAATAAGTTCCTATTGTAGTGTATAGTTGATAGGAACAAAATCAATATTCATAAAGTTATTGTATATAGGCACGAAACTCAAAAGTAACATTTAGTAAATTTTAATGGCTAGATCCTCGAAATGGCAGCCAACTAAGAGGCCAATTATCAAACCAACTGTAGTACGTACGTGTGGTTCTAGCGCATCTACGATTCATAAATCTACTTTCCTAAAATTATAGAATAGTCAATGGCAGAATTACCAATTATTTCTAGTTACCATGAAAAAATTCTTCATTTTTTCAATATTTCAATCCGTTATTATCTATGGCTACAACGGTAGTTGAAATGTTTAAAATAAATTGAACTAAATCATAAAAAAAATAATATAGAAACTACTACTGGAAAAAACGCCAATGAGTGTTGATAATGAGTAAAATTATTAATGGGCGGTTAAAAACAAATGTATAAACATTAAAGCAACTTAAAGCACTTCAGCGCATAATTATAATACAACTTAATAATAACAACTGTAATAAAATACAACTATAATAACAAATTATAATTTGTTCAATAAAATTACTGATGCCAATTTTTTATTACAGGCAGTGGCAAGAAGAATGCAAAAGCATGCTCAAAAGATTTAAAGTCAATTATTAAAAAACATCAAAAAGTTATGGGGTAATATTTATTAGAATCTCCATTTCACTCGTATTTTATTAAGTTATATAGTAAAATATTATGGATAAACTATAAACGTAAGTAAAATGTACATATATTTTCAAACGAACATTACATAGAAGCAAAAGAAAAAAACATAATAATAATATTATATATATATATATATATATATGCAGTAATAAGAGTAAGTTAATAGTATATGAATATACAGGCTGTCCCACAAAGATATACCCCTTGAATATCTCCGGAGATAATAAAGATAATCAAATTCTGTTTTAGATTTTGAGTGGAGTGAAGAAGCCATTATAGTTTTACAAAGATGTTTATTTTTTTTCATCTGTGCATAACTTTTCTACCGAAGACTTGCTTAGATTTCTACGTGTAGCAAATTTTCTTAAAGAAAATCGACGTGGAAAGGTACTTTAAGGAGGTCATTTTTCGATTTTCTCAGGAGTTTTCTCATTAAATTCAAAAAACCGAAAAAAAAAACGGGAAAATATAAGAAATGTAGGTATTAGTTAAAATATATTAATACGGCCTTCTTTTTTTCTATGCACAACTATTCTATTAGCAATTTTGCTCCAACTTATAATGATATCAATTTTACTAAAATGATATTTCCCTAGAGAGATACTTAAGAGAGATCATTTTTTGATGTTCCCACGAGTTTTCCCATCAAATGTGAAATACCGAGATAAAACATGGAAAAACGTAGCAAAACTGGGAAAATGGGTACAATATTAAATAAATATTGCTAAAGAAAATATATAGAGCTTATTTAATTATTTTACTATAATATGGCATATATATTGTTGACAAAGCATTACTACCAACTGAGCTCCGCTCAGAATCGTTTTATCGTAAGCAATGGTTTATCGTTGCTTACAGGTACACATTAAATTATCTATAACAGTGGCTGAACCCGTCCCTATTATCCTAGGACGTCTTTTTTATGTTACTCACAGGGAAGAGGACTACAAATAATGATATTTGAATTATATTTTAGTAAAAAAATATAAATATTTGTATCTTATTCCCTGTGAGTAATGTAAAAAAAAAAAAAAAACAGAATTTGATTGTCTTTATTATCTCCATATTCAAGGGGTTTATTTTCGTGGGACAGCCTGTATATATATATATATATATATATATTATAAAGGTACATGTTAATTTTGTTTGACCTTATGAATTTCACATAAAAAAAAAAAAAAAAAAAAAGAAGATTAATAAAACTATGATACACCGTACAAAATGATTTAAATTAAAATACGCTGCACTATAGAATGAGGGGTTACAAAAATATTTCTACGAGGACTATATAGCCTCCGCAGACTCATATCAAACTACGTCCATTTGTGTTTATTTTTAAACAACATAATATGTCATTTACGTATTGAACTAATAATATTCTAACACTTTTGTTTGTCAAATAGGAAAATGTACGATTTTTATAAGATCATTCGGCCAGTTATTCTACCTCAGATAATGGTGGCTTCGTTTACAATAATAAATCTGTTATTTGTAATGACTTTGGTAATTTGACGAAACTGATATTATACATTTTAATGCGTTCAAACAATATTCAAGTGGCATACAGACGTACACATATATACCTAAATGCATTTTCTTTTTTGCCTATTAGAATTATTTTAATGACATGTTACTGACATCGACCCAATCGGTGAAATTTTGCTCGTTTCCCGTATTTGTCGCTCAACTGTATTATACATGTTTGGTGTTTGGAAATCTCAACGACCAGGTAATTTTTAATATAAATATTATTTTTTGCGTATAAATTTGTTTAAATAAAGATAATATTTTATCCCGTTGCGCGTGATTGTATTCGTATATTTTTACGGCGACGGTATGTTACGGCAATAAACAGTCACAAAACAATACAAGTTATTTTGAGTCGATACGTTAATATTATCAAATCTATTCATACCCGGTCGTATACAGGTATCACTAAATACTGAATTCGCCTATACATTTTTTACCGTTTTTAAACGAAAATAAACGCTACATTCACGCATCACGCTGTACTGTATTCACACTCTCGTTTATTAATTTCTTACGCCGGTACGCATCCGACACATAAGTTGCCTATTCCTTTACGCCTGGGAACACGCAAACTCGTATTTTTATTTTTTTCAATATTAATTATTTTAATACATATCTTCCAATTGTGTAACTATAATTAACGTAATGTAACTAACATTTCTCTCGACGAGTAGTAATTAATGAAAAATAGTTAATTGTATTTGGACTTTTAATTATATAGGTAATAGGTATCAATACTAAGCAACGGATTACTTTTATTGATATACTAATTTAAAATACCCTCAAGCGTAACCTGTTGCTAAAATGTATTTTCTTTATATTAAGTTATGAAATATCGATTAACGACAAATAATAAAAAATTGATTTGTTAGCAAAATACGTGCGTAATACAAATAAGAAAATTAATTTTATTAGGTTAAAAACTGACAATGGCGCAATTAGTTCCTGAACCATGGAGGGCCTTGAGCCCCACCATAATATTAATTAAATACAGTGGTGCAACAAAGGGGGTGTTTTAAAAAAAAATAGGGGCTTAAGGCGATCCAAGGAGCTTAGCTCCGTTAGTCTCCCTCAATTGTGCCACTGAAAACCGATATGCTTCGCACTGTAAGTGTGTCACTGTTGTAGGTGATCAATTGGCATAGTAGTTTAATTTGTAACTATAAGCAAAAATAATAAATCAAAGAGCAAACAGCGAAGTTCAATCAATTGAGTTTTGATAAACTTAAATTGAAAATTGTATTAATTCGTAACTATAAAATAAATAATTTTCCGAGTTTTTGGTTTCAAATTTTCAAAAATTGTTAAGAAACTAAACAAATTGTATCCACCTAAAACCAAATAATTATTGGTATCTATAAAAATGTTAATTCAGTTTTGATTATACACGTATATATTTTTTTATATTTAGAAAAATATAATGAATTTTGCGCTGTACTCGAGTAATTGGACACAGATGGACAAAAAATTTAAAAAATTAATCTTGTTGGCAATGAAAATGCACGATTCCAATAAACTGAATATGAAGCTTTCACCAAAGTTTATTTTTAATTTGGAGCTATTTGCAAAAGTATGTTTACTTATTGAATGTAATAATATGCATATCTAAAAAAAAAATGTTATTTGAGGATTTATATACATAAAAAAAAAAGACTGACATACTTCGCATGATGGATATAGAGGGAAATTTAATGTGTATTTGTACGCAACAGTTAATATAACGAAAATGATTCTGAGCGGAGTTCGATTATAATCAGGTACATGTTTATAAAAGACCGTAATATTTACGATTTTCATCAAAATTTGATATTAAAATTCTTATAAAAAAAGAAAAGAATATTACATTTAACTAACTTTTTCTTGTTGACCACTATAAGTACAACTTATTATGAACCTCCTATTAAATTGTCAAGCATTTCTGTTTGGTTTAACAATTTTTTCCACAGAATACCTACCGAATAAAAATTACATAAAAAACTGCAACTTAAAATGTTTACATAAATAGCTTAAAAATGGCTCAAATGTTTTTAAAATTGTATTACTTCTATAAGAGTCAAACATAAAGTTTTTGTCGAAATGTTAAGTCTCTGCGAATATTTTTCACTGAATTACAATAAAAAAATAAAATTGAAAGTATTAATTTCGTAAATTTTCCCGTTTTTCCAACATTTTATCCCATTTATTATGAAAACTTCTGAAGTACCATCTCGGGAAAATTCTATTTCAGAAAATTTGATATACTTGATAATTCGGAGCAAGATTTCCAATAGAACTTTGTACAAGGTATAAAAAAAAAATAAACATCATTGTAAAACCAATATATTGCTCGCTCCGTTCAGAATCTAAAAATAGGATACAATGACTTCTATGTTTATTAAACATTATTAATATAAGTATAGTAATATTTAATGTTTTATAAATATATGTTCATAATATACAAATAATATTATAACATTAATAGTGGCGATGCCGTCCTTAAAACTTTCTAATTATTTGAGATACGTGATACGACGTTAAAGCGTTAAATTAAAATCACGATTAGGTATAAAAGCGTACCACCTACGTGATGTAAAAATTAATTTTAACATCACGTATATCTATGGTCTGTCTAGCTTTGAACATGAGGAACTTAAAATGTTCAACTTGATTAACATTGATTACACATTAAATTATACCTACTAAATCGTTAAACCGGTTAGTTGACTGCAGACTACTAATATGCGGTAATATAAAAAATATTATACGACGAAAATGATATTGGATTATTACCGAAGACTTAATCAGGAACACCGTAGTTCATCAAATACGTAATATTTTAAACTGAAATGTTGAAATACAGATTTTAAAGTTCAATTCACATAAAACATTATTATTGATATTTGTATCACTTCTTCATAATTATTTCTACTTCAACTATCAGGCATGTAGCCAGGATTTTTATTTTATTTTTTTTTGGGGGGGGGGGTCTAAACGTACAATTTATCATCACCAACTATCAATAATTGTACCGATTATCTAATTTTTTAGTGAAAAGCTTAAATTTCGGAGGGTCCGGACACCATGGACCCCCCTGGCTACGTGTCTGATACTTGTATTATTATTCGGTTTATTATACAATTGTATATATACAAGTATTTAACTATAACGATAAATGTGTTGTAGAGTAAATTATATATTTTAACGTTATGTGTTATGTAATATTATTGCAATTTTTTTTTTTAGGTGATACACGCGTGTTATTCAATTTTTTCAGTGTTGCTGAATTATCAAGTAAAATTACGGAAATAATATTTATAAAATTAGTTATTTAATACTACACTTCATAACTCATAAGTACCTACGTGCGTGTAAACTTATTTAAAAAACAAATTTTAAAAAAAAAATGAGTATTGAATAGAAATTGATATAGTTATTGTGAATTTGAGATTATGTATTATTCCTTGGAAAATGATACGAAAATAAATTGTTTATAAAACTTAAACTATGACTTAGAAGTGTAAAAATTTGATAATACTATATAAGTTATTAGTGATGTAATAATACCTATACTATGATGAATTCAAATTAAAACAAATCGAATATAACTTTAAAATTATCAAAAAAAATTATAACAAACAATTTTAACGTCATTATAATTTGTCAATTTTCATTTTACGTCTTTTCGCGGTTCTTCCTAATTATTGTTAAATATACAGAGAAAATTAATAGAAAAAAAAAAAATTATTTCCTGAGCGAATAGATTCAAAGTTCAACAAAAAAGGTAGCTAGGTATTTTTTGATTAAGGCAATATTTCTAGTAGAAAGCATAATTTGAAAAAAATTTAAAATAATGAAATCAGTAATGCGCCTTGGTGCGCTGTAAATATTTACCATTTTGTCTAAAATTTTTTTCTTAAAAAAAAAATACAAGTACACACATAATAAAACCAATATATCCCTTGCTGCGTTCTGAATCTTTTGGCATTGCTGTAATTGGGGGGGAGGGTTACGCAGGCGAAGGAGCTCCTCTATTTATCAGAGCTCCTTTATTTTAATTTTCCCAGTTCGAGCACTGATTATAATAGATATAGATATATATAATATTAGTATACATCTAAATATTTTTTTTAACGTATTTTTGGTATCTATCAAAGTAGTTTTTACTAAACTAATGTAAAAAGTAGGGAGTAGTAAGTTGGTGTTATTTTATGTATTTATTGATCTAAAAATACATTAAAAAATCAAAATTCAAAACCAAAAGAAGTGGTGAGCATTTGATTGGTTTATAAGAGGCAGAGTTATATTACAGTGTTGATCAAAACATAAACAAAAAGTCAACATCAACAAATACAAATTATTTTAATTTCGGAGGCTTTGTTGAAATTTAGAGGGCTTTTAACATTTTTAGGGGAATAAGTTCCTTAAGCCATCAATGCCTAATTATGGGGCCGATGGGTAAAATATATCGGTTTTCACTATTGACTCGTAAAAACTGTTTTCAGGACCCTCTAGAATATTTTGCCTGTCGCCTTGCAAGAGTACAACATAATCGTACACATAATATTTTTCATATATACATACGAAATAGATTAAATAAATACTATGTTGCATCAAGGGTACATTGTTTTAGTTTAATAGAAACTATCACTAAAAACATCAAAATTGTTTAAACCGTTAAGTACATGAGTTTAAGGTCCGATAATTATTATAATTAAACTGTATTTTATCGATTTAATTTTATATTTGTTTACTATTATTCTTAAACTACTATCCGGATACTCATCTTTTCGATAATACAGGTTGGGGTTATCAGTCTGGCACCCAAAAAGGGTGTACGAAAGCGCTTTTTTCAATAAATAACACTGATAAACAACATCATACAAGACAAATTTAAACTCGAATAAAAACAAAATATCTATGATTATTATTCATCGTGCGAATTATTATACCTAAAAAATATTTATAAAATAAATTCAATACAAGTTTCCTGGTGTGCTAGGAAAATTCGATTCAAGACGTACAAGCGTACGAGCGTACGCGCTTGTATACGTTATAAACTAATACAATATGCGTACAGAAGCAATAAATTGGATTAGTAACCTCGACATACGGCTATGAAGAAATTATTTGAATAAGTATATTCCTATCTAAGTTTAATCATTTATAAATAAATATGTATTTTTAGTTAAGTTGATTTGTGGTAAGCAATACGAAATCAATAAATAAGAAATATAATATACTATTTTTGAAAATACATACCTACACTTGTTATGTGTTGTAGGGAGTGAAAATCGGGAAGGTACGATGTAGAAGAGAATTTGATTTATATGACGTGTATACCGTACCTTCCCAACTTATTCTCACCTTCCACAGTGACCCGCCTATCGCGTTTTCCCATGTCCGTCTTTTTTTTTCCTTTTTAACCATCAGAGAGCTCGTTTTAGATTCTGATCGAAACGAGGAATGTGGGTTTTACAATGACGTTACTGTACGCAACGATATAGCGTTACTAACGAAAAAAGATTCGGAGCGAAGTTCGGTTATATATGTTTTGAAAGGTCTTAATATTTACGATATTCTTCAAAGTTTGGTATTCAAATTCTCATAATAGAACTCAGGAGTTCTAATATAAAATAAAAAGTTGAACAGGTTCAACTTTTAAGGATTTCTGTTTAGCCTAACAATTTCGTACACAGAGTACCTATACCAAATAAAAGTCACGTAAAAAACTCATAAAAATTAAAATGTCAATAAATAACTCAAAAATAGCTCAATTTTTTTTAAAAAATATTACTACGTTTAGAAAAATTAAATATAAATTTTCTGACAAAATTTTAAATTAATTTCTAAAAAAAGATCTAACTGATATTACATCAAAAAGACAAAATTGAAAACAATAAAAACGTTATTTTCGTAATTTTCAATGTTCTTTCTACGTTTTCTTTAGGTTTTGCTCAATTATATAATTAATTGCAGAGAAAATCAAAAAACGTCATTAATATTTATCAACTATATTAAAAATTCAACAAAAATGTTCGTACAATTTTTCTATTGGAGCAATATTTCTGGTAGAAAATGTAGTTTGTATAAATTAAAAACAATGAAGTTAGTAATGCCATGGCATGTTGTCAATATTTTCCATTTTACCTATAATTTTGTTTTTGGTTAGGATTATCAAAAAGTGTCCTTTTTGTGCACCAATAAAATAAATTTTTTTTTCAGAAAAGGGGTTACACTTGATAGATGAAAGTAAGATTTCTGGTAGAAAAGTTGCTCACAAACAAAAAAAAAAAAAAAACACCCAAGATCAGCAGAACTTCGTCACCAGAGTCAAATCCCCTCCACCTATTTTGTAAAATGGAAAATATTCTTAACAAAGATGTTTATTTTTTTTTTACTGAATACAAAAATTCTACCAAATATATTGCTCCGAAGTATCGAGTATAGCACTTTTTCTGAAAGGGAATTTTCCTGGGGCAATACTTAATGAAGGTCACTTTTTTATTTCCTCAGGAGCTTTTCTAATAAATGAGAAAAACTGAGAAAAAACGAAGAAATATGTACGAAATGCCTATAGGTATTAGTAAACAAATATTACGACCTTTTTTGTTAGTATAAATTTACAAGTATAAAGTGTTACAGTGAATATTTCGAGTTTCTAACCCTAGAAGTTTAGGTTGTGTATTGATAGATCCGGGAGTCAATTTCTCCTTTTATACATACAAATATAATTATGTTATATATTGTATTATAACAATAATATGATTATTTCTGTATACCTAATATTATATGCGGTAAATTATATAACATATGGCAATTATTAAATGATTAAATATTAGAGAGTCTTTAAGTTTAACATTTAAATTTAATGTGATATTATAATTATTAATTTATATACATTATAAAATGTATAATATTGATATTTGACAGACCGGATGACAATACATACTCTCCCTGTAATGTACTTCCCGGACCAACTCTGTTGTCCGAATTTTCCTGGACCGATTCAGCCTGTATAACCAGCATCCGGTATTATAACGAAACGATACATCGTTGCCTAAATAATTGTTGTATGGTGTTAAAAATCACTAACATCCATTATCTACAGTATTCCGCACTATATTATAGCGGCGTTTTTTTTTTGTTTTTTTTTTTATTACCCATATCGATTTTTTTTTTTTTTGATTTTACTTCACAATTCACGTAAATTAGTTCTATCTGGTTTTTTTTTCTCTGTCACAACAATAAATAAGAGAAACCCGGAACAACTGAGATGAAATTATTTACTTCTGATGTTCGTGTTTTAGACGTAAGTAATAATTATCTCGCACGTTTCTTCTCGTTTCAAAATTGCCCAGAAGCAATAATACAATTTTTTCTCATAAAATGCATTTTTTAAGATATTTTTAAAACATATAGGTATGTAGGTACCTTCGGATAATGTAAAAAGGAAATATAAAACATAAATAGACATATTTTAGTAAATTATAACCCTTGATCAAATTTCGTTAGAACAATCAGATAAATCCAGAAAATAGAACATTTTTTTTACTATTAATTCTGTATAATTTTATAAAAAATAATTGCCATATAATGCCTACAATATGAATATATAAATAGGTATATGCGACATTTTAGATTATCTATGTTGGACGCAATAAATTTTCATTCCATAAAATACTTTATTCTGGTACAATTTATTGCAAGTTTGTCGTGCACCTACTTAAAATAATACTTAGATATAAAACTAAACATTCTAATAATATGATAAATATGATATGTTATTTTTTTCAATGAGAATATACTTTTGTCATATACGCAAGGTTAGGTTAGGTATATTCTTTTTTAGGCGTATAAGATACAACAAAACGCAAAACTAGATCAAGATCTTCGGTTGTTGATATTTTAACATTATACATTTTTAGTCATACGAGTAAAAGTTTAGTTTTATAGACACGAATAATCAACTCACAATATGTGATTCAAACACGTAAATTCAGATTTGTATGACCTGTATCATTCGATTGGGGAATATAATCGGTAAAAGCATCGCTTAAATCATTTATAATAAATGTATTGAATTTTTACACAATATAATAGTGCTATTTTTTTATAGGTAATATAACTAATAGTTTTCGGTATTATTTTTTTTTGTCACTGATAAAGCAAAATTCAAATAGTTATTCGACAGAAAATTAAATGAACGCACTCATCGGTCTAATATTATTTCCCCTAGTTAGCACGTATTTTAAACGTAATTGTGCATAATGTTTGTCAAATTTCACGAAATAATTTAATAATAGTGATAAAGACATTGGTTTTACTGATAAATTTACC